CATATGAATCTGAAAACCCCAGTATAAGAGCCTTGACATCCCTAATATCCATCTATAAAATCATTTCCCACAGACATCAGATCTGTTTCTTAAATCAGCCTCGGTGTTTCACATATGGACATCTCAACATAATGTTTCACATCATTCCCATGTTTATTACTAGGTCCTGTTTGGCTTTCTTTAATTATATTTCCTAGTTCATTTTTTTTTAAGATTTACTTATTTATTTGAGAGAGAGAGAGAGCACACAAGCAGGGGGAAGGGCAGAGGGAAAGAGAAAATCTCAAGCAGATGCCCCACTGTGGTGGGAGCTCAACTCAGGGCTTGGTCTTAAGACCTAGAGATCATGACCTGAGCCGAAATCAAGAGTTGAACACTTAACTGAGCCGCCCAGGTATCCCTATTTCCTACTGGTTAATAATGTATTCATTACTCTTAAATTGCCCAAACTGAGACAAGAATTCCGACTATTACTCACACACACTGGTCTCCATGCTCTTAAGACAACCATTGAGTTCGAGGCCATGACAGAATGCCAGAATTGGTGTAGCAGTGTCCATTCTGAGGAGTATAAGAGCAAGCAGAAAATAAAGTGTGATATCTTCTACCCATTGGTCCTTCGTATTTCACCTTTCATTTATTCAGCCATTTAATATTAATTTATTGTGCTATTTGCTTACTTTTCTCTTAATAAAACAAATGTCGAACTCACAATTAGTTGATTCAGAACAACAAAACTGATTATTACTTATCAGTACCTATGTAATCCTTAGCCAAAGGGGTAACACCCTTGGTCCATTTATTATCCATTCCACATAATATTAATAGCATTGCTTTCCTTACCACATCTTTTCATAATTTGGAATATGCCTCACTCTGTTCACCTTTAAGTATTTAAATATTTTTATTGATCCTTCCATTGATTCTTTTATATTAATATGATCATAATCTATGAGCCATAACTTTAGAAGCAAAAGATTCTTACATATCTCTCACATCTATCTATAGGATATTTTCCAACAATAAGAAGAGACTAGATTTCTATAGTATTAGTGTTGGACCTCAGAGTTCCAGACATGTAGTAGTCATCATCCATGACTCATACCGCCACCAGTGGTCATCATTGATCCAGACTTGGCCCTCATTTTAATTTGTGTCTACATGAATTTTATTAATTCATCAATAATATTAAAAGAAATACCCAAAGTCATAAAACATGAGAGTAAGATCCTTAAGTATCTCTAACATCTGTCTATAGAAGTATTACTCATGGCAATATACCTCTTTCATTAATTTATTTCAATGCTGTATGTAAAAATTAATCAAAACAATGCTTCACATCAACCCCATACTTATGCCAGGGCAATGGTTAACCTTCAAAATTTATATTTCATATTTTTAAAATAATACGTGAATGCCTTTAAAAAACAAACACTGAAACCAAGACAACAACCTTGACTATTACTCACATTGGTCTCCATGATCTTAATGCAGAGATGTAACCATGGAGCTCACAACCATAGAGGATGCTTACATCAGCTCAAGGGTGTCCATTCTAAGGCTTACAAGGCAGAGGAGGTGATAAAGAAAGGTTGAGACATTATCTGCATTGGTCCTTGCATTCCACTCTTTATTTAACCAGTCATTTAGGTAGTTATTTGGGATAACATTTTATCTTCTCTAAAGTAAACAGTATAGGTCTTGCCATTGACCCAGAACATGAACACTGACTATTGGTAACACTGTCTATATTATCTTTAGTTAAAGAGTAACACCCTTATGCCATTTACTTCCTAATGAATATCAGAGTTTTCAATATATATCAACAGTATTTCTTGTCTCATCAGATATTTTTATTTTTTATCAGATATTTTTATAATTGAACAATGCTTAACGTTATTCATCTTTACCTATACATTTTTAATGTTCTTTCATTGATCCAATTGTAATAATAGTTTGAAAATGCATGAGCGCAAAGACCAAAATGAAAGCCTTGTATTCTTCTGACATATGTTTATATAATCATTTCAAAAAGAGAAAATGGACTAGATCTCTTTTGGGTTGGACCTCAGAGTTCCAGACACGTAGCATTCATCGTATATGACTCATACGCCACCAGCCGTCATCATTGATCCAGGATTAGTCCACTTTCTCTTCATTCATTTCTATATTTATTAATTCATTAATTCACTAATCATACTTCTAAACTCCATGACTCATAAAAACTGAAAAAGAGTCCTGGTATCTCTAATCTGTATATAGAATCATTCTCATATCAATATATCTCTCTCATGAATATCCTTAGATTTTCATATACGCATCCATTGATAGAATGCTTCAAATCCACCTTGTATTTACCACCTGTCTACAATTGGCCTTATTTGATTATCTTTCAAACTTTGTTACACATTAAATACTCTTAAATGAAGAAATCAAACCAAAATAAGAACATTGATTATTACTCACATTGGTCTCCATGCCCCTAACAAATAGATGGAACCAGAAGCTCAAGACCACGAAAGATGCTCACATCGTCTCAAGTGTTTTCCATTCTGAGGAGTACAGAGCAGAACAGATGATAAAAAATAAATAAATAAATAAATATATATATATATATATATATATATATATATATGCCTTCTCTCCATTAATCCTTGCCTTTTAATTTAGACAGCCATTTATGCAATCATTAATTTCAAGTTTATTTATTTCATTTCCTCCTAAGAAAATAATTTTCAACTTGCCACTGACCCAGGACATAAACGTTTGTCTGTAATTAATAATATATTTCCCCCAACTTAAGAGGTAACTGTTATGCTGTTGGACTTCAGTGTTAACAATATATATTAATAGCATTTCTTGCCTTATCATGTATTTTTATAATTGGACGTGCTTCATCCCACTTCTCTTTCTTTCTCTACTTCTTTCTTTCAATTCACTTATCGAGTTATAATAATGAAATGAAAAACAATGAACCCAAAGACCAAAAATATCTTGGTGTATTCCTGATCTCTCTATATAGAATCACTTTAAACAAAAAGAATGGACTATATTTCTCTTCTGTCGGACCTCAGAGTTCCAGACATGTATTCATCGTATACGAATCATACGCCACCAGTAGTCATCATTGATCCAGTATTGTCTCTCTTTTTCTTCATTCATTTCCATCTGTTTATTGACCATAATTCACTAATAATAGACCATAATTCACTAATAATAATTTGTAATCACTGTGATTCACAAAGACCCAAGAGGAGTTTTATCCCTAATCTTCATAGTGAATAATTCTCACATCAATCTCTTTCATTAATTAACCTCAATTTTCTATACATGCAATAATCAGTATAATGCACCATCTCAATCTCACATTTATCACTACTGTACAATTGGCCATTTTTTAAGTAATACTTTGAGTACTCTTTTTTTTTTTTATACGTTGAGTACTCTTAAACCACCCACCCAAACTAAGACAAACACTGTGTCTACTACTCACATTCGTCTCCATGCTCCTAGCACACATATGCAACATGGAGCTCGTGATCACGGAAGGTGTTAAATCAACTCAAGTGTGTCCGCTCTGAAGAGTACAGAACAGAACAGATGATTACTAAAAAACAAAAATAAATAAATCTTATCAACAGATCTTTGATTTCTGCATTTCAGTTATGTATTGATATATGTATTAATTTTCCACAAATATTTTTTTCTCTTAACAAAAGGAATAATCTCAAACTTTGATCTGATCCAGAACAATAAAATTTACTCTTACTAAACAGTGTCTACATGATCTTAAACCAAAGAGATAACATTCTTAATCCATTTATTTCTGAATGAACATCAGTGTTTTCAGTTTTTAGTAATATTTTTTGCCTCACCACATAGGTTTATAATTGAAAAATGCTTCCTCTTCTTTATCTATTTATATTTGTTTGGTGGCTCTATCCCTGATTCATTAGTAATAGTGAATCTAAATCTGTGAATCTAAAATAATAACATGATATCTGTATACTCCTGACATGTGTCGAAGGGATCATTTCAAACAGGAAATAGACTAGGTATTGTGTTGAACCTCATATGTATTGCTCATCATCCATAACTCATACACCACCAATCATCATTATTGGTCCATGCTAGATCCTCACTTTTTTTATGTGTTTTACATTTATCCTCAATTAAATCGTTAATTCATAGATATTAATAAAAGACACACTTATTCAAGAAAACATGAGCACAAGATGCCTGAATATCATTAATGCTGTTCTATGGAATCCTTTCCCATATATACTATATTTTCCTATTTTATTAATCAACACAATGTTTCTTATTATATCTACTTTTGTGCCATGGATAACTTTATTATGTTTAATACTTTTTAACAATGCTGAGAATACTCTTAAACAAATGATTAAAACCAAGCTAAGATCTTTGACTATAACTCACCTTGTCTCTTTCCTGACACAGAGACAACATAATCTTAATTAAGGCAAAAGCTAAAATCAGCTCAGTGCATCCATTCTGAAGAGACAATGATTTAAAAAAATGAGACATTCTCCCCATTGACCCACAGTTTTCATCTTTAATTTACATAATCATTTAAGTGTTTATTAATGTATGGTAATATTTATTTTTCTCTCAATGCAATAAACATCAAACTCGCGACTGACTGACTCAGGGTGATACTACTACCTATCACCATCCATGTCACCCTTACTCAAAGGTGTAATATACTTGGTCTATTTATTATCCATTCCAGTGAATATTAATATTCATCTCCCTGACTATATATTTTAGTAATGAACAATGCTTCACCCTCTTCATCTTTATTCATTTATACATTTGCAAATTTATTCTTGCCATTGATTCTTTTATAATCATATTTTTAAAATTCATGAACACAAAGACCAAGGAAAAGATCATTGTAGAATGCTGAAATCTATCTACAAGTCTTAAAATATGGCAAATGAAAAAAAATATGGTGAATGGATTAGAGTCTTTTTGTGTGAGACCTCAAAGTTCTAGACATGAGGTATTCATTGTATATGATTCAAAAACCACCAGTTATCGTCACTGGACCTTGATTGCCCATCTTCATTCTCATCTACATTTGTTTATTAATTAATTAATGAGGAAATCCATGTAAATCACAAAAACACAAGAATAAAGTCCTTGAAGATTCCGTAATCACCTCTAGGATCATTCTCATAGAGATTAAATCTCTTTCATTTTACTGAACTCCATGTTTCATTTATGGATTAAACAACGTAATGCTCCATATCAATCTGATATTAAACATCACTATGGATAGCCTTCTTTGATTATATTCAGTACTTTTTAATAATTCAGCGAATAATTTTTTTAAAGCCACTCAAACTAAATCAAAAACTTTGACTATTACTCACATTGTTTTCCATGCTCCTAACACAAAAGATGAAACCATAGAGTTCATGACCTTGGAAGAGTCCTTAAATCAGGTCAAGAGTGTCCATTCTAAGGAGTACAAAGCATCACATCATAGCAGATGATAACACAATTAAGAAATTGTCTCCTTTGTACTCTGCTTTTTGCCTTCATTTGTTTAGTCATTTTGGCAACCATTATTTGGAGTATATTTGATAAGTAAATGACCAACTTTGACTTGAGACTGACCCAAAACAAACAATTTCTGTAACTTATACTATCTATATCACCATTAGCCAAAAAGGAAACAGTCATGTACTGTTATTTCTCTTTAAATTTCAGTGTTCTTAATTTATGTTAAAGTGTTTTTGTCTCATCACATATTTTTATAATTGTACAATGTGGAACTCTATTCTTTATGTATTTGTTTATTGATTCTTCCATTGATCCCATTAGAACTACAGAATGAAATTATATACAAACAAGGAACAAATAGAAATTCATTCTGTATTTCTGAAATTTGCCTACAAGATCATTTCAAATAAGAGGAATAGGCTAGATTTCTGTTGTTTTAGGTCTCAAAGTTCCAGACACATACTATTCATTGCATATGGCTCATGTGCCATCTGTCATCATCACTTGTCCAGGATTGGCCCATATTTCCATCATCTATTCCTTGTTTATTGATTATTTCATTAATAAGAATTTGATTTTTTTTATTTTTTTAATAAGAATTTTATTTTTTTTATTTTTTTTTTATGATAGTCACACATCGAGAGAGAGAGGCAGAGACACAGGCAGAGGGAGAAGCAGGCTCCATGCACCGGGAGCCTGACATAGGATTCGATCCCGGGTCTCCAGGATCGCGCCCTGGGCCAAAGGCAGGCGCCAAACCACTGCGCCACCCAGGGATCCCATAATAAGAATTTTAAATGCTATTACTTCACCCAATGGAAGAATTCAACAGGATGCTGTATATCCCCAATCTGTATATAAAATCATTCTAACATCAACGTATCAGTTTCATATATTCTCCTCAGAATTTCATATATTCATTAAAAATAATACTTCATATAAATCCCATTGTTATCACAGTTGGCCATCTTTGACTATATTTCAATTTTAATAATGCATTAAATACCCTTACACAAGCCACCCAAATAAGATAAAAACTTTGACTGTTACTCACATGATCTTTAGCCTCCTAACAAAGAGATGCAACATAGACCACAGAAGGTGCTCAAATCATCTTGATTGCGTTCATTCTAAGAAGTACAAAACAAAGCAAGTGACTTTTAAAATTGAGACCATATACACTGATTCTTGTTTTCTACATTTTATTTACTCAATTACTAAAGTATTTATAATTTTTCATAATGTATATATATTTTTTCTCTTAACAAAAGGAGAAACTCAGATTTGGAACTGATCTTGTACAACCAAACTGACTTTTACATATTACTGTCTATAAGATCTTAAGCTAAAAAGGTAAAATTCTTGTCTTTTTATGCTTTAATATGTATAGGTGTTTTCGATTTTTATTAATATTTTCTGCCTTAACACATAAATTCACAGTTGAATAATGCTTACCCTTCTTCTTTTTGATCTACATATTTTTATTTGTTTAATTGTTCTGTCAATGAGCCATAAATAGTAAACCAAAATCTATTAATCTAAAATAAGACCATAACATTTGTGCATTTCCGACTTCTGTTAATAGGATCATTTCCAAAATAAGAGATAAGCCGATTAATTATGTTTTGTGTTGGACTTCAGAATTCTAGATACATTTTATTCACTGTCCCTGACTCATAAGCCACCAGTCATCATCAATGGGCCATGTGAAGTCCCATTTTTCTTCATTCATTTCTAAATTTGTATCAAATCATTAATTTACTGATAATAACAAAATATACATGATTCATGATAACACAAGAACAATATCCCTGAATATCCCATCCCTAAAATCTATGAATACAAATCTTTCTCAAAACACTGCATCTAAAAAAAAAACACTGTATCTTTCTCATTAAGTGACATCAAAATTGCACATTATTAATCAATATTTCATATCACATTAATCAATGGGCCATATATATCTTTTTAAATTAGACTTAATACTTTAAAAGAATACAGCGAATGGCTTACATAAATGACCAAAACCAAGACAAGAACTTTGACTATTACTCTACCGTGGTGTCTTTCTGAGAACAGAGATAATGTAACAATTTTGATGGCAGAAAAAGGCTTAAGTCTTGCTTGTTGTTTCTGAAGAGTATCAAGCAGAAAAGATGATAAAAATATTGAGAGATTCTACTGATCTATAATTTCTATACTTCATGTATATCGTCATCTGGGTATTAATTACTTTATAGTAAAATGTATTTATCTTTCTCTCAATACAATAAACATCAAACTTTCAACTGACCTCAGGGCTATACTGACCACGACCTATCACTGTCCATGTCACCCTTACTCAAACATTTAACAGACTTGGTCAACTTATTATCCATTCCAGTAGATATTAATATTCATTTTCCTGACTATGTATTCTAGTAATGAACAATAATTCACCCTCTTCATCTTTATTCATTTATACATTTGCTAATTTATTCTGTCATTGATTCTTTCATAATTACATTTTTTATAATTCATGAACACAAAGACCAAGAAAAAGATCACTGTATAATCCTGAGATCTGTCTATGGTATGACTTAAAATGGGGAACAGACTAGATTCCTTTTGCACTGGCCCTCAGAGTTCCGCACAAATATTATTCATCATCTATGACTTATGTACCACTAGTCATCATCATGGTCCAAGATTGGCTGTCTTTCTGACCACTCGTATCTATATTTCCTTATTGATGATGTGTGTATTTCTAATTAATTAATGAAGAAATACACACAAATCACACCAAAAAAATAAGATCTTTCACTATCCCTAGCATTAATCCACAATATCCCCATAATATAAACAGGCTAAATCCTTTTCATTAACTGAACTTAGTATTTGTTTCTTTATGGATTACTTACTTTAATGCCTCCTATCAATCTGATATTGAACATTGGCATGGCTAGCCTTCTTTGAACAACCCAAACCAAGAAAGAGTTGTGACTATTACATTGATTTCTATGCTCTTAACAGGTAGATGCAAACATAAAGATCATGACTGTAGATGAATCCTTAAATAGGCTCAAATATGTCCATTCTGAGAGTAAGGAGCAGAGCAAATGATAAAAAATTAAGACACCGATCCATTGATCCATAGATTATACCATCCATTTATATACTTTTTATGTTAATATACTTTTCTTAATACATCAAATGTAAAACTTGAAACTGACAGCAGTAACTGACGGTTACTTATACTGTTCTATTACCATCCTTTCATCAGAGACCAAGCGGTCTGTTTACTGTCCATTCCAAGTTATAATATTATTTCTTTTTGTACATTCCTGATGTACAGTTAAAAGAGTCAATTCAAACAGAAGGAATGAACTAGATTTCTTGCATGTTGGACCTCAGAGTTCCAGACACGTATTCATCACATACGATTCATACGCCACCAGTGGTCATCATTGATCCAGTACTATTCCTCTTATTTAAATGTATTTTGCACTTTTTAACAAATAATCTTAAAATACAACACACTGAAACCAAGAAAATAAACTCAACTGTTACTCACATTAATTTCTGTCCTCCTATTATATAGAACCAACCATTGAGCTCTTGACCATGGAAGATGTTAAATCAGCTCAAGTGCATCATTCTGAGGAATACACATAGAGTAGATGGTAAAAAAAAAAGAAAAGAAAAGAAAAGAAACCTTTCTGAATTTCATTAATTAGGTATTTATTACTTTTTCTTAATATGTAATTTTTATCTTAGCAAAAGGAAAAACTCAATCTAAAGATTGACCCAGAAAAATAAAATTCACTCTTCCTCATCATGTGCCTATATGAACCTTAGCCTCTTGATTCACTGATTCCTTAAAGGGTATCAGATAATATATAAATATAATATAAAAATTATATCTTTTGCTTCACTACATACATTCATAATTGGACCATGCTTCACCTTCTTCTTCTTAATATATTAACTTATATTTATTTAAATATTTCTATCATTATTCCATTAATAATAACTAATCTATGAAATCAATATAAGAATATGATTTTGTATATTCCTGACATGTCTTCAGGGAAACAATTTCAGTGGAGGAAATAGAGTGATCATGTCCCATATGGGACCTCAGAGTTTCAGACACATATTTTTTTATCCTTGATTCCTATGTTTCCAGTCATCATCATCACATCATGGCTGTTTTTCTTTGTTTCTTCATCAGTATTGATTAAATTATGAATTCATTAGTAACAATACATGCTTCATAAAAACCCAAGAACAAATATTGAATATACATAACTATGGTTTACAGAATAATTTCTCACATAGACTATATCTTTTTCATTAATAGACCTCAATCCTGCACATTATAAATTAATCAACACAATGTTTTATATCATATTTATCATTAGGTCATGGTAAACTTTTAAATTAATTTAATAATTTTTAATAATACCATAAACACTTTCAAACAAATGACCCAATCCAAGACAACAACTTTGACCATTACTCACTTTGGTCTCTCTCTACAGAGGCACTATGACAATTTTGATGAGACAAAAGCTAAAACTGGTTCCAGCATCTCTTCTAAAGAGTACTAAGCAGAAAAGGTGACTAAAATGTTGACACTTTCCACTGATTCATAGTTTTCATCATTCATTTGCATAATCACCTGGGCATTTATTAATTTATGGTAATATTTATTTTTCTCTTAATAAATCAAATGTCAAGGTTTTGACGGACTCAAACAAGTATTACTTATCACTGTCTATCATTCTCACTCAAAACATATACACTTGATCATTTTTTTCCATTCCAATTATATCATATTTACTTATTATATATTTTAACAATAAATAGTGTCTTATTCTTTTAAGATTTATCCATTTCATTTTATTTATCTTGCCATTGATTTTTTTTTTGAAGTACAGTTGACAGACAATGTTACTTTAGGTTCAGATGTACAACAGAGTGACTTAATAACACTCTATACATTATGCTATGCTCACCACAAGTGTAGCTACCACCTGTCACCATACGATAACACAGGAAGCCTGTATCTGGAAACCTGTATCTCCCACTCCCCTTCACCCATTTTGCCTATCCTTTCTTCCCCCTCCCCCTCTAGCAACCACCAGTTTGTTCTCTATATTTCTACCACTGATTTTACGATAATAATACTTTTAAACATTCATGTACACAAAGGCCAAGAACATGACCCTCACAAATGCCTGACATCCCTCTATAGGATCACTTCAAATGAGTCATGGACACCTGTCTATAGGATTAAATAAACAGAATATTCTAGATATTATGTTGGACCTTGGTATCCAGACACATGGTATTCCTTGTCCATGACTCACCCACCATCATTCATCACCACTGACTCATGATTAGACCTCTTTCTTTTCATTCTCATTAAAATTTGTTTATGGTTTAACAAAATTAATTCATGAAATTAAAAATAAACAAATGTAAGATCCCTTAATATCCTTAATATCTCTCTCTACAATCTTTTCTAGAGACTAACTCTGTTTCAAAATCTGACTTCAAGGTTTGCATTTATGGATATAAATAATCAAATTAATGTTTCATATCAATCTGATATTTAATACTGGCATATTTTGCCTTCTTTTATTGTATTTAATATTTGGAATAATCTAATGAATGCCCTTAAACAAACCGCCTAAGCTCAAATACTGACACTCACACTGGTCTCTTCAGCATTCCTAATAACATAGACGCAACTGGAGAGCATATCATCTTGAAAAATGCTTATATCAGCTCAAGTGGGTCCATTCTGAGGAGTACAGATCAGAGCAGATGATAATAATAAAAAAAAAAAACTCAAGAACTCAAGTTTCTTTTGTGTTGGAGCCCTGGAGCTCATGATCAGGGAAGAATCCTTAAAGCAAGTCCAGTGTGTCAGTTCTGAGGAATTCAGGGCAGAGCAGATGATAAAAAAGTGAGACATCTCTCCAATAATTGTTGCTTTTCACTTTTCATTTAGTTAAGCACTTAGGTAATCACTAATTTGGTATAAATATTGTTTTTCTCTTAAGGAAAAACAACTTTGATTTTACCACTGACCCAGAATCTGAACATTGTTTATGCCTTACACACCATCAATAGCATCCTCAGCCATCCAGGCAACAGTCCTGTACCATCTTCTTCAAATGGAAACCCAGGATCTTCACAGGATGTTAACAGTATTTCTTACATAATCATATAATTTTATAATTGAACAATGCTTTACTCATTCATATAAATTTATATATTTATTTATAGATTCTCCTATTTATCCAATTATACTAATAGCATGAAAACACATGAACTTTAACACCAAAGATAATATCATTTTATATTCCTGACATGTGTCTAGAGAACCCCTTCAAACAATGGGAATGGACTAGATTTCTTCCATTGGACCTCAGAGTTCCAGACATGTATTCATCGTATACGACTCATACGCCACCAGTGGTCATCATCGATCCAGCATCCTCCCTCTTTTCCTTCATTCATTTCTTTGTTTAATGATTAAATTATTAATTCACTACTAATAATTTCTAAACACTATGATTCAGCAAAACCCAGGAAGAGTTATTGCATTCCTAATCTGTACATAGATTATACCCACATCAATGTGTCTCTTTCATTAATTATCCTGTTTTCCACACTTGAATTAATTAATGTAATTCTCATATATCCCAGATTTATCGCTGAGATACACTGCCTTCTTCAAGTACATTTTGTACTTTAAAAAAAATACTTAACCTAGAAAAGAATTCAACTGTTACTCACACTAATCTGCATCCTCCAATTACATAGAGGGAACCACAGAGCTCATGCCCATGAGGGTATGAAGTATGTCCATTCTAAGGAGGTCAGAGCAGAGCAAGTGATAAAAATAACTAAGATTTAATTGACATCGATCTTTGCTTTTTATTTCATAGGCCCAGGATTTAGATATTTATTTTTCATCTTGATATATATAATATATATTTTATATGTAAATAAAATTTTGGGGGATCCCTGGGTGGCGCAGCAGTTTGGCGCCTGCCTTTGGCCCAGGGTGCGATCCTGGAGACCTGGGATCGAATCCCACGTGAGCTCCCAGTGCATGGAGCCTGCTTCTCCCTCTGCCTGTGTCTCTGCCTCTCTCTCTCTCTCTCTGTGACTATCATAAATAAATAAAAATTTTAAAAAAATGTTTTTTAATTTTGTATATGATACACAAATATAATTTATTATATACTTATATACATTTTATTATATATAACTTATAAATACATAACTTATAAATACATAAAATACATAACTAAATGTTAAATATTTTAAAATATAGTTAAAATATAATACAAAATACAAAAAATATAATATAATGTGATCTATAAAATATGTAAATTAATAAAATACAATATGTAAATATATAAATACATAAAATATAATATGAATATGTAAGATATGTAACTAAAATGAAATATATAAAATATAAAATAATACATAAATACATATTTTATTATATATTTATCCAAACAAAATGTAAAACTCCACCTTGAGACTAACCCAGAACAACACAACTGATTCTTATAAATCAATGCCTATCTGATTTTTAGCCAAAGAGGTGATACATCTTGATCTGTTATTTCAAATAAGCACCAGTATTTTCAGTTTTATTAATATCTTTTATCTCACCACATATGTTCAGTAGGCAATGAATGTTTCATCCTATTTTTCTTTAATTTTTATTTATATTTGTTCAATACTTCTATCATTATTCCATTAATAACAACTACATCTATGAAATCAATACAAAAATATGATCTTTGTATTGATTTGTATTGACACTGACATCTTTCTGTGGAAAAAAAATTTGTCTATAAAATCAATAGCATTTCTTGCCTAACCCAGTAATCTTTTATCTGGACAATATTTCATTCTTCTTATATTTATTCATTTTTATATTTACTATCTCATTGATCCAATTATAAAAATAGAAACAAAAATACATTAACATAAAAGACAAAACTAAGATCTTTCTGTATTCCTGACACCTGACCGTTGAATCATTTCCAACAGGGGTAATTAAGCAGGAAACTTTCTGCTGGGCCTCAGAGTTTCAGACATGTTTACTATATACATGTTTACTATATATACAACCCATACTCCACCAGTGATGGTCATTGATCCAATATTGTACCTTTTCTTCATTTATTTCTACATTGTTTGTTGACTAATTCATTTATTCACTAACTATAATTTTACAACTATGATTCACAAAACCCAAGAAGCCACTGATATCCTTATATGTATCTAGAGTCATTTTCACGTCAGTATATCTAATTCATTAATCATCTTAAATTTCATTTATGCCTTAATAAATAAAAGTATATGTTTTCAGCCAATTCAATATGTATCAATGGGTTACAGTGGCCTTCTTCAATTCTATATGGTACTTTTTTTCTTTCTTTAAGTTTTTATTTAAATTCCAGTTAGTCAACACAGTGTAATATTAGTTTCAGGTGTATCATATAGTGATTCATCAATTCCATACAGGACCCGGTGCTCATCACAAGTGCCCTCCTTCATCCCCATCACCTGTTTCCCACATCCCACCCCCCCCTCCTACTCCCCACCAATGACCATCAGTGTGTTCTCTACAGTTAAGAGTCTGTTTCTTGGTTTGCGTCCCTCGTTGTCCCTTTTTCCCTTTGCTTTTTTTTTTGTTTCTTAAATTCCACATATGAATGAAACCATATGGTATTTATCTTTCTCTGCCTGACTTATTTCATTTAGCATAATGCACTCTAGCTCCATCCATGTTGTCGAAAATGGAAAGATTTCATTTGTTTTTATGGCCAAGTAATATTCCATTGCAAACATATACCACTTCTTTTTCTTCTGAGATCTAGGGTTAGAGTTACGGTTAGGGGCTCATGACCCTGAGATGAAGAGGGATGTTCTACTGACTGGGGCAGCCATGCATTCCCTTTAGTCTTTATACATATCTTCTTTATCCCACCATTGACACCTTACAAGTATCATTAAAATTCGTGAACACAAAGACCAAGAAAAAAAATCGTGTATATTCTTGACACCTGTCTACAAGATCCCTTGACACATGGGGAATGTACTAGATAACACCGTGTTGGACCCTAGAATTCCAGACATGTAGTATTCATTGTATATGCTTAATTTACCACTAGTCATCTTCACTGATCTGTGACTGGCCCTCTTTCTTTTCATTCTCATAAACATTTGTTTACTGATTAATTCATTCATAAGAAATCTTTAAAAAATTAGAATAAGATCCACCAACATCTCTACCATCCATTTGTAGAATCATTTCCACAGAGACTAATCTGTTTCATTAGCTGACCTCAATATTATACTTTGGCCAACAAAATGCTTCATCTCAACCTAATAAATAACATTGGCATATTTTATCTTCTTTAATAATACTTTTGAATAATACAGTAAATAGCCCTAAACAAATGACTCAGGCCGAGAAAAGAACTTTAACTATTACTCACATGGTCTCCATGCTCCTCAAACACAGATGCAACCAGAGGGCTCATGACATTGGAATGTTACAATCAGCTGGCGTGCATCCATTCTGAGGAGTACAAAGCAAAGCAGATGATAAAAAATTAGACATTCTTCCATTTACCCTTGATTTACATCTTGTATTTAGTTGGGCATTTAGACAATCATTATTTGAAGTCTATTTCATTTTTCTCTTAAGAAAAAGAACCAAAAAAAAAAGAAAGAAAAAGAACCTACTTTGAACTTTGCACTGACCCAGAACATAAACATTATCTATAATTGGTCCTCCATAGAGGTTACATTCGGGTACCATTTATTTCTCTTTGGACTACTCAGTGTTTTCAAAATATATTAATAGTATTTCTTGCCTCATTTTTTTACATCAGCTTTTTGAATCACGTATTTCCACAGTGATATTTCAATGATCCAATTTTAACAAAGAATATAAATGTATGAAGAGAAAGACCACATCTGTTTTGTGTTGAACCTCAGAGTTCCAGACATGTATTCATTGCATAGGACTCATACGCCACCAGTGGTCATCATCGATCCAATATTGTCCTTCTTTTTCTTCATTCATTTCTATTTATTGGTTGATTAAAATATTAATTCATTAATAATAATTTCTAAACACTATGATAAACAAAACCCTAGAAGAGCCTTTCTATCCCTAATCTGTACATAGATTATTCCCATATCAATGTATCTTTTTTATTAATTATCCTTAGTTGTCTACACATGGACCAATCAATGTTTCATATATTCCATATTTATCATTGAGATACAGTTGCCTTTTAAAAATTATATTTCAACATGAAAGACTCCTAACTCTGGGAAACAAACTAGGGGTGGTGGAAGGGGAGGTGGGTGGGGGGTGGGGGTGACTGGGTGGTGGGCACTGAGGTGGGCACTTGACGGGATGAGCACTAGGTGTTATTCTGTATGTTGACAAATTGAACACTAATAAAAATAAATTTATTAAAAATAAAATAAAATAAAATAAAAATTATATTTCACACTTTTTAATAATATAGTGAATTGCCTTTTAAAAACCACCTGGAGGAGTACCTGAGCAGCTCAATCAGTTAAACCTCTGACTCTTGATCTCAGCTCAGGTCTTGATCTCAGGGTTGTGAGTTCAAGTTCCATGTTGGGATCCACACTGAGTGGAATAAAAAAACAAATACATGGAAACCAAGAAAAGAACTATTACTCACATTAACCTCTGTCCTCTTCTTATACAGAGGTAACAAGGACCTCAAGACCATGGAAAATGCTTTCATCAGCTTGAGTGCATCCATTCTGAGGATGACAGAGCAGAGCAAGTAATAGAAAAAATTGAGACCTAACTGCAATTGATCTTTGCTCCTCACAATTCATACAGTCAATATTTAGTTATTTTTTTCAGTATGTATATATTTTTATCTTACAAAAGGAAAAATTTAATTTCACTACCAAAAAGAATAAAATTCACTCTTTTTTATCAGAGTATATGTGACCTCAAAGAGGTGTGAGAACTTTGTCCATTTATCTCTTAATGGGTATTACTAAAAAAAAAAAAAAATGGGTATTACTGTTTTCAATGGTTATTACTAATATCTCTTGCCTCATCACAAAACTTAATAACTAGACAATGTTCTGCTTTCTTGTTTTTTACAAATTTGTATTTTTTAATAGTTCAATCATTATTCCATTAATAACAACCAATCTATGTCCATAAAATCACTATGAGAATATGATCTTTGAACATTCCAGACATATCTTCACTGAAACAATTCCAAAAGAGGGAACAGATTAATTAATTTCCATGATTGCCTCAGAGTTCCAGATTCATACATGAGCAGTCACATTTGGGCCTCATTATAGTCATTAATGTCTACATGCTTTTATTGAATAATTCATCAATTAATAACGATAAAATAAATGCTTGGGGAGCACAGAAACTTGAAGCAAGATCCTTAAATATCTCCAACATTTGTCTTTAGAATTACTTCTTGCTGACAATAACTTTTATTAATTAACCAAAATGTTTCCTATATAGATTAATTAATATAATGCTTCATATTAGCCTCAAATTTACTCTCTGGCTATGGCTGTGACCATTAACTTTATATCACATTATTAATCATGCAGCTAAAATCTCTTTTAAAAGACCTCAAAACCGGGGCACCTGGGTGGCTCAGTTGGTTGGGAGTCTGCCTTCAGTTCAGGTCATGATCCCAAGGTCCTGGAATCAAGCCCTGCATCAGGCTCCCTGCTCGGTGGGGAGCCTGCTTCTCCCTCTCCCTCTGCCTGCCTCTTTCTCTGCTTGTGCTTTCTCTTTCTTTGTCAGATAAATAAATAAAATCTTTTTTTAAAAAACCCACATAATAAATTTGTGCTCTCAAAGAATTTTAACTATTGCCCACATTGAGCTCCATGCTCTTCACACATAGATGCAACCACAGAGTTCGTGACTGGCGGAATGTCTAAATCAGCCAAGGGTGACCATTCTAAGGAGTACAAGACAGAGCAGATGATAAAAAAATGAGACCTTATAATCATTGGTCCCTGCATTCCCCCTTTCATTCAGTCAATCATTAATAAGCAATGAATTGGGATAACCTATATTTTATTTTTCTTAAGAAAATAAATAGTATCAATCTTGTAGCTGATAGACAGCATGAACACTGACCATTATTCAAAGAATAATACCATTATACCACATATTTCCTAATAGATATTTCTTTTCAAAATGTATGGACAGTATTTCTTGTTTAACCACATACTTTTGTAACTAGACAATATTTTACCCACTTCTTATTTATTTATTATTTCATTGACCAAATTTAAAAATAGAATGTATCAACATTAAAGACCAAACACATGATTATAGATTTATTTATAAATCATTTATCCAAATATAATAATAAAAGCGCATGAAGACAGCTAAAAACAAGATTCTCATATATTCCTGATATCTCTGTATAAGATCCCATCAAACGATGGGAATAGACATTTTATTGTGTGTTGGACCTCAGAGTTCCAGACACATACTCATCATATACGACTCATACACCACCAGTGGTCATCATCAATCCAGCATTATCCCTCTTTTCCTTCATTCAGTTCTACACTGTTTATTGACTAACTTATTAATTCATTAACAATAATTTAAAATCCTATTATTCAGAATAATGCAAGAGTCATGATAATCCTAATCTGTATATAGAATAATTCTCACAATATAGCTCATTCATTAAGTATCTTAAATTTCATCTGTGATATAATAAATAATAATAATAATAAAAGAAAATGTGAAAAACTATCTTAAATTTCATGCATGTAATAATATAATGTTTCACAGGAATTCAGTAGTTGTCACTAGGCTACACTTGGCTACCTTTGACCTTATGGTACTTTTAAAAATACAATGAATATCCTTAAAAAAAAAACACAGCAAAAACCAAGAACTTGACTATTACTCACATTGGTCTCTGTGCTTCTAACGTACAGATGCGATCATAGAGCTCACCACCATAAAACAATTCTTAGCTTGAGTATGTCAGTTCTGAAATACACAGCACAGTAAATGATAAAAAGAAAAAGAAAGTTAAGATTTTATCTCCACTGATCCTTGCTTTTCACATTTCATTTACTCACTTATTTCATGACATGAATATATTTTTCTCTTAATAAAAGGAGCTACCTCAAACTTGACACTGACTCAGAAAGATTACACTCTTACTTATCTGTATAACTCTTAGCTAAGAAGGTAACACCCTTTTCCACTTCTTAACATAAATATTTTCAATTTGATTATTTTTTGCCTCACCATATAATGATACTTCATAGTTAGATAATCCTTCTCCCTCTGTTCTTTACCTATAATGTATATTTCTTTAATATACATAATATTATTGATCCACTAATCGTTGATCTACTAATAATAACAAACCCAAACTTACAAACTCAAAATAAGAATATGATCTTTGTATATTCCAAATATCCATGTACAGAGTCAAAGAGAATAGCAGGAGTGGACTATTATGTTGGACCTTGTATATCCAGACACAAATTGCTCATCACCCATGATTCATCAATCACTTGTCATCATTGTTCCACTAGAGGCCCACCTTTTCTTCATTCCTTCCTACATTTGTATTGATTAAATCATTAATTCATTGAAAATATTAAAATGAGTATAATTCACAAAAACTGAGCATCTAATTGTTGTTTGAATGCCCTCAACTTCTAATATAGAATCACTGCCAACAGAGGCTCTATTTCTTTCATTAATCAATCTCAATGCTATGTAATAGATTAATGAACACAATGTTTTATATCATATCTATTTGTTAAGCATAGTGAACCTTTTTATTATATTTATTACTTTTTAGTAATACCATGAACACAAACAAATGACCAAATCAAAACACTACTATTACTCTCCTTATTCCGTTTCCTAACACAAAGGAGAATCACCTGACAATCCTGATCACAGCAGAAGATGAAATCAGCTCAAGCATCTGTTCTGAAGAATATGAAACAGAGAAGGGGATGAAAAGATTGAGACCTCCTCTCCACTGACCCATGTATCCCACCATTCATTTATATAATCATTTAAGCATTTATTGGCTTAATGGAAACATTAATTTTACCTTAAAAATAAACTTCAAACTTGAAACTGAGTCAGACAATAACTGACTATAGCATTTCACTGTGTTTTTTTTTCCAGTCCCACCCATTTCACTGTTTATATCAACCTTAGTCGAAGATGTAATATACTGGGTCCTTTTATATACATCCTAATGTATATTAATATTCTTTTACCTTGCTACATATTTACCAAAAAACAATACTTCAACTTCCTCACCTTTATTCATTCATATATTTATTTATCCTACTATTAATAGTTTTATAAATTTTATTTTAATTAATTTTATAAATTATTAAAATTCATGAACAAAAAGACCAACAAAATTCTTATATATTCCTAACATCTGTATATAGGATCCCTAGACACAAGAGAAAAAGACTAGATTACTTCTGTATCAGATCTTAGTTCCAGAAGCATAGCATTCATCGTAGATGAACTCATACACCACCAGCTTTCATCACTGGTTCAAGACTGACCCTCTTTCTCTCCATTCTCAAGAAAATTTATTTATTAATTCATTAATCAAAAACTATACATAAATTAAAAATATAAGAATATAGTCCTTCAACATTTCTAACATGTCTATATAATATTACAGAGACTAAATCTCTTTCATTAACTACCCCAGGATTACATTTATGGATTAGTAAACATATTGCTTCATATCAGTCTAGTATTAAACATTGCTATATTTTGCCTTCTTTGATTATATTTAATACTTTTGAATAACGCACTGAATAGCCCTAAACCAAGACAAGAGCTTTGAGTCTTACGTGGTCTCGATGCTCCTCCAACACAGATGCAACCAGAGGGCTCACGACCTTGGAAGAATGTTACAATCAGCTGGAGTGCATCATTTCTGAAGAGTACAGAGCAGAGCAGATGATTAAAAAAATGAGATATTTTCCCACTAATCCTTGCTTTATATTTTTCATTAAGTCAGGCATTTAGGAAACCATTACTGGAGAATATTTATTTCATTGTCTTTTACAAAAAATGAACTACTTTGAACTTCCCAGTGATCCAGAATATAAAAACTGTCTAAAATTTGTCCTGTCCATACCATCCTAGCCAAAGAGGGGACAGTCATGTACCATTCATTTCTCTTTGGACTTCAGTGTTTTCAAATTATATGAATTGTACTTCTTGCCTCTTCACATATTTTTAAAATTGGACAATGTTTCTACAATTCACTTTTTAAAAATATATTTCCTTATTGATATTTCAGTGATCTAATTATAATCAAGAATGGAAACGCACGAAGAGAAAGACCACATCTCTTTTGTGTTGGACCTCAGAGTTCCAGACACATATCATTCATCATCCGTGACTCATACGCTGGCAATTATCATCATTGATCCAAAAAGACCGCCTTCTCTTCATTCATTTCTACATTCTTTATTAATTCATTAATACCCTAATAATAATTTTAGCACTGTATGATTCACAAAAACTCAAAAGGGCCTTGATTGCCTTAATATATATCTGAACAAATCCCACATTATTATATATCTGTCATATTTACTATCATTTTTTCATAAATGCTTTCATCATTGTAACATTTCATTTTAACCCCATATTTGTCACTAGGACACAGTTGAACATCTGAGTATATTTCATCTTTTTTAGTACTACAGTGACTACTCTTAGACACACCACCCAAACCAAGACAAAAATATTGGTTATTACTCACATTGGTCTTCCAACTCCTAAAACAGAGATGGAACTGGAGCTCCATAATCAGGGAAGGTGTGGTATGTCTGTTCTGAGGAGTATAAGGCAGAGCAAATGATAAGAAAGGTTGAGACATTCTTTCCATCGGTCTTCACTTTCCCCCGCCCATGTAGTCAGTCATTTGGGCAATCATTAATTTGGTGTACATATTTTTTCCCCTTAAGAAAACAAACTTCAAATTTACCACTGACTCAGACGATGAGCATTTTCTATAACTTATCCTGTTAATATCATCATCCTTAGCTGCTATACCACTTGCTTCTAAGTGAACTGCAGAGTTTTCATGATATATTAATAGTATTTCTTGCCTAATTGTATATTTTTATAATTAGACAACGCTTCACTTCTTTCATCATTTTTATTTATATATTTATTTATAGAATCTCTTATTCGTCTAATTGCAATGATACATATAAATGCATGAACTTTAAAATCAAAAACAAGATCTTAGTGTATTCCTGACATATATCTATTGGATACCTTCAAATAATGAGAATGTACTAGATTAATTTTTCGTTGGACCTCAGAGTTCCACGTATTCATCGTACAGACTCATACGCCACCAGTGGTCATCATCGATCCAATATTGCCCCTCTTTGTTATATTCTTTCTGTATGTTGATTAAATCATTGGTTCACTAATAATTTAAAACCCTACTATTCACAAAAATTGAAATGAATCTTTATGTCCCTAAACTGAATATAGACTTGTTCTCACATTATTATCCTTCATTAATTATCTTCAGTTTTCCATATATGCATTAATCAATATGATATTTTCCAAAACTCAATATTTATCACAGAGCTATAGTTAGCCTCCTATGATTCCACATGGAATTTTCAAATAATACACTAAATGTGTCAAGAAAAAAATCAATGAATCAAAGACAAGAAATTTGATTATTACTCACATTGGTTTCTGTGTGTTTCTGTCACACAGATGGCATCATAGAGCTCACTGCCATGGAATAATGCTTGGTTAGCTCAAATGTGTCCATTCTGAGAAGTACAAACCATAGTCGATAACAGGAAAAAATTATAAAAGTTTTATCCTCATTGATTCTTGCCTTCCACATTGAATTTACTGAGTCATTTAGGAATTCATAAATTTTTTGTAATATAGATCTTTGTCTCTAAACAAAAAGGAAGGGATCCCTGGGTGGCGCAGCGGTTTGGTGCCTGCCTTTGGCTCAGGGCGCGATCCTGCAGACCCGGGATCGAATCCCATATCGAGCTCCCGGTGCATGGAGCCTGCTTCTCCCTCTGCCTATGTCTCTGCCTCTCTCTCTCTCTCTGTGACTATCATAAATAAATAAATTTTTTAAAAAAAGGAAAATTTCAAACTTGACACCAGGAATAATGAAACTGACTCTTAATTATTCATGTCTATATAATCTTTGGCCAAAGAAGGGGCATCCTTGAAAGATCTATTTCATGGAGGGCATCAGTGTTTGCAAATTTTATCAGTATTTCTTGCCTCAACATATTATGTTCATAGTTAGATAATAACTCACTTTTTCTTCTTTTTTTTTTTAAAATATTTTTTATTTATTTATTTTTATTTATTTATGACAATCACACAGATAGAGAGAGAGAGGCAGAGACACAGGCAGAGGGAGAAGCAGGCTCCATGCACCGGGAGCCTGACGTGGGATTCGATCCCGGGTCTCCAGGATCGCGCCCTGGGCCAAAGGCAGGCGCTAAACCGCTGCGCCACCCAGGGATCCCTCACTTTTTCTTCTTAATCTATTATTTATCCTTTAATGGTTCTATCATTTGTCCACTAATAATAACAAATATAAATATATTCATCCAAGGGACACCTGGGTGGCTCAGTTGGTTAAGTGTCCAACTCTTGATTTCAGCTCAGATCATGATCTCAGAGTCATGGGGTCAAGCTCCAAGTCAGGCACCACATCCAGTGTGGAGCCTGCTTAGGATTCTCTATTCCTCTCCCTCTGCCCTTGTCCTCAATCAATCAATCAATACCTCTAAAATAAGAACATGATCTTTATTCATTCCTAACATCTATCCATAGGATCAAATAAACAGAGAAAACAGAATGCTTATTGTATTGCACCTCAAGTTTCCAAACACATACTGTCCACTGTCCAGGACTCATCCCCCACCTGTCATCCTCACTGGTTCCATTAGAGGTTAGTTTATACACTCATATAGTTCTATCAGTTAAATCATATCTTCATTGGTAATAATGAAATCAATACACGATTAACAAAAACTGAAGAACATGATACTTGAATATCCCTAACCTCTTCCTATAGAAGCATTGCCAAAATCAATCTCTTTCATTAATAAATATCAATATTACATAGTATCAATTAATCAGCATATTTCACATAATAGCATTGAGCCATAGTTAATTTTTCATTATATTTATTACATTTTAATAATATCATGAAAGCCCTGGAACAAACGACCCAAACCAAGAAAAGAACTTTGAGCATTACTCACATGGTCTCTTTCCTATAAAAGGGAAACATGGTGACCTTGATCACAATAAAGGTAGAAATCACCTTGAGCTTCTATTCTGAAAAGTACCGAACACAAAAAGTGATAAAAAGATTGAGACTTTCTCTCAACTGATCCATGTATTTGTCTATTGATTATTTCATGGTTCAATTATAGTAAGAAATGGAAATGCATGAAGGGAAAGAACACATCGCTTTTGTGTTGGACCTCAGAGTTTCAGACACATATTACTCATCATTCATGACTCATACGCCGGCAGTTATCATCACTGATCCAGAAAAGATGGCTTTCTCTTCATTCATTTCACTATTGTTTATTGATTAATGTATTAATTCATTAATTATAATATTTAAACTATTATTTATAAAACCCCAACAAAGCTTTGATAATATCTAATATGCTTCTAGATCCATTTTCACATCATTATAGCTCTATCATTTATTAGCTTTTCATACATGCATTAATCAATATCACACTTCCTATAAATCTCTTATCAATAGGATGAAGATAACCCTCATTGTTTATATTTCAAATATTTTTATTGCTATAGTAAATATCCTTAGACAAACAATCCAAACCAAGACAAGAAATGTGATTATGCTTACACTGGTCTCCAGTCTGCTAAAATAGATGCAACCTTAGAGGTCGGGATCAAGGAAGAATCTTTAAATCAGGTCCAGTTCTCTTCTAAGGAGTACAAAACAAAGTAGGTGATTAAAACAGTTGAGACAGTCTCTCCATTGATCCCAGCTTCAACATCCACATAGCTCTCTAGACAATCATTAATTTGGTATATATATTTAGTCTGTTAAGAAAACAAACAACTTTGATCTTGCCACTGAGCCAGAATAGAAACACTGTCTATAACTTATACTGTCTACATCATTCTTATCCTAAGAGGTAATGGTCAAATACCACTCATTTCTAACTGAACTTCAGGGTTTCCATCACAGGTTAATAGTATTTCTTGCCTCACCACGTATTTTTATAATTGGACAATGCTTTACTCTAGTCATCTTTAATTATTTCTATATTTATTTGTAGATTCTCACATTTATCCAATTATAATAATTTTAAAATGCATGAATACCAAGATCAACAACACACCCATCATTTATTCCTGACTATGGGATGTCTATTGGATGCTTTCAAACAATGGGAATGGACTAGACCAATTTTATGTTAGCCCTCAGAGTTCCAGACAGGTATTCATCATATACAAATCATACGCCACCAGTGGTCATCATCGATCCAATATTGTACCTCTTCTACATGTTTCTATTTGTTCATTTATCAAATCATTAATTCACAAATAACTTGAGAACTAAAACTCAAAAAAAGAGGCTGTAAGCCTCAAATCTATATACAGAATTAAAATCACATCAAATATAACTCCCGTTAATATCCTCAGCTTTTCACACATGCATTAATCAATGTGTTTCATATATCCCATATTTAACACTGAGATCCAGCTGCCTTCTTTAATTATATTCTACACATTTTAATAACACAGTGAATAACCTTTAAAAAATCCACTTAAATTGAGAAAAGAACTTCAACTGTTACTCACATTAATCTCCATCCTCCTATTATATAGAGGCAACCACAGAATTCATGCCCACGGAAGACACTGAATCATCTCTTGTGAGTTCATTCTGAGGAGTACAGAACAGAGCAGATAATTAAAAAAAATTGAAACCTAATCCACATTGATCCTTGCCTTCTGGTTTCATTTACTCAGTATTTAGGTATTTATTATTGTTTCTTTATATATATTGTCACGTTATAAAAATTCAATCTTTAGGCTGAGGAAGGACAATTAAAGTGACTCATACCTCGTACCCAGACTTGCCCATATACCCGTGGTCAGAGAGATGACCCTTTGATCCACTTGCTTCTTAATGGACATCATTCAATGTTTGCATTATTAGTAATAAATTATTACTAATAATTCAATCAATTGAATTCAATGTTTGGACATCATTCAATGTTTGCATTATTATTAGTAATAATATAGTCTGCCTTGCTACATGGGCTTGTATTTCGACAATTCCTCACCCTATTCTTCCTTATATGTTTATTTATATTTACTTGATGGTTCTATCATTAATCCATTAATAATAACAAGTCTGTATCTATGAAACAATACAAGAATATGATCTTATTCCCTATAGCTCTCTGTAAAATCAATTTCAACAGAAGGACAGAACATCTTGTTCTGTGTTGGACCTCAGAGTTTCAGACACATAGTTTCATCGTCCATGACTCCTATGCCACTGGTCATCATCACGGGTCCAGGACTGAGTCTCTTCTTAGTTCATTTCTACTTTTGTATGAATTAAATGATCAATTCATAGATAATTATAAAAATAATACATGGTTCACAGGAACCCAAAAATAAGATCCTTTAATATTACTAACATCAATTTACAGAATAATTATCCAAATGGACTGCATGACCTCTATCCTATACATTACTGATTAATCAACATAATGTTTCTTATCACATTTATCTTGAGGCCACAGTTAATTTTTTATTAATTTAATACTTTTTAGTGATATCATGATTATCCCTAAACAAATATCCCATTCTAAGACAACCACTTTGACCACTGTTCACCTTCGTCTTTTTCCATACTCAAAGGGAACACTATGATCTTCATTACGGCAGGAGCTGAAATCAGCACAAGCATCTGTTCTGAAGAGGAACAAGCAGATAATATGATAAAAATATTGAGATATTCTCTCCATTGATTCTATTAACTTGTAGTAATTTAGGCATTTATTTATTATAATTTTCCCCTTAATAAATTCAAATGTCAAAGTTGTAACTGACTTAGTAACTACTAATTAGTCTCCATATCACTCTTACTCAGACTTGTGCACATGAATCTTTTATTTCCCATTCTGATTTATATTAAGATCATTTTACTTATTACATATTATAGCAATGAACAATGCTTCACTCTCTTCATAGTCATTTACTATATATTTATGCTACTATTCATTTTTTATAACAATACTTTTAAATATTCATGTACACAAAGGCCAAGAACATAATCCTCACATATGCCTGACATCTCTCTGTAGGGTCCCTTCAAATGGGAAAAAGGACTAGGTTTCTTTTCTGTTGGACCCCAGAGTTCCAGGCCTGTAGTGGTCATCATCCAAGACTTGCATGCCACCACTTGTCATCATTTATCCAGTTATGTCCCTCATTATCTTCAATCATGTCCACATATTTTTATTAATTCATCAATTCACTAATAATAATAAAATAATATGTAGGGGTCCCAAAAAGTTAAAACAAGTCTCTTGAATATCTCTAACATTTATCTACAGAATTAACTCCCACTGATAATATATAATATTCAATAACTGACCTCAATGTTTCCCACATAGATTAACTAACATAATGCTTCATATTAACCTGTTTCTAATTATTTGGTCATAGCTGGCCATCAAAAATTATACTTCACAATTTTTTAATAATGCAGTGAAAACCTTTTTGAAAAACGAAGAAAAGAATTTTGACCATTACTCACATTGGTCTCCATGCTCGTCACACATAGATGCAACCACAGAGCTTGAGACAATGGTGAACTGCTTAAATCACCAAAGATGACCATTCTAAGGAGTATAAGAAGATCAGGGGATAAAAGATTGAGACCTTATGTTCATTCTTCCCTATATTCCATCTTTCATTCAGTCAGTCATTTAGATAGGCAGTGACTTGGGATTACATATATTTTATTTTCTATTAAGTACACAAACAATAACAATCTCCACCCCGCCATCAAAGAATATTAACACTACCACTTAACACAGTCTATACCAACAACTTTAGCCAAAAAAACAATAACCTTATACCATCTCTTTCCTAATGGATATGTCTTTTCAATATAATTAATGTGTTACTATATTAATTTTTGCCTAACCAAATTGGCAAGGCTTGGTTAATTGGACAAGGCTTCACCTTCTTCATTTAAATTTGTCTACACATTTGTGTATTAATAATTTCATTGATCCAATTATAAAAATAGGAAGAAAATTCATGAACATAATGACCAAAATCACAATCTTTATATATTCCTCTAGATCACATCAAACAGGGAACAATGGAGTAGATTCCATCTGTGTTGGACCTCAGAGTTCCAGACACATATTCATCGTGCACAACTCATACGCCACCAGTGGTCATCATCGATCCAATACCGTCCCTCTTTTTCATCTTTTGTCTCTGTTATTTATTGATCAACTCATAATTTAGTAATTATACTTTTAAAAAAATTGTTCACAGAACCCACAAAGTGCCTAGAAATCCCAAATATCTATTTAGAATCATTCTCATGTCAATATCATTTTCATTAATTATTCTCAATTTGTATTACATGAATTAATCAATATAATGCTTCATATTAATCCCATATTTCTCAGTGGGATATTCAGACTCCACTGATTATATTCCATGATTTTCAATAGTGCACTGAATACCCTTAAATAAAGTATGAAACTAAGACCATAAGCTCGACTATTACTCACATGGTCTCCATGCTCCTAATACATGAATGCAACCCGAGAACTTGGGACCATGGAAAAATCCCTATTATCTGCTTGACAGGTCCATTCTAAGGAGTACAGAGTAGAGCAGACAATAGAAAATTTTAGATCCTATATCCATTGATCCTTTTTTACTGCATTTCATTTATTCATTTAGGCATGCAGTATTTTTTCTTTTATCTAAAGGAAAGCTTAAACTTGAGACTGATCAATAACAATAATGACTTTTAATTATCAGTGCCCATATAATTCTTAAGCAAAAGGGCAAAAATTTATTCTATTTATTGCTTCATGACCATTTTTGCTCATTTCTTATGTCACCACATATATTCCTATCTGGACAATGTTTCACCTTATTTATCTGTGTTTTAGATTCTTAATGTTTTAATCACTGATCCATTCATAATTATATCTAAAAATATCAAATCAAAATAAAAATATGAGTTTTGTATATTTCTACATTGACCCATGGGATCATTTACAACAGAAAATAGGCTAGATTTTGTTTTGTGTTGACTCAGAGCACCAGACATGTAGCAACCAAACATGAAGAACTCCTATGCCAACAGTTTTTATCACTGGTCTATGTTTGGGCCTCCTTCTCTTCATTTGTTTCCACATTTGTAATAACTACATTGTTAATTCATTGGTAATAAAAATCAATACATGATTCACAAAATTAAAAAAAGACCCTTGAATAAACCAAATTTCTATCTTTAGAATCATGTTACACAAAGATCACATCTTCCATTAGTTGACCTCAATGTTGCACATTATCAATTAATCAACAATATTTCATATTCTATTTCTCATCAGGCCATAACTAACTTTTTGATTTCACTTACTACTTTTAAATAATACCATGAACTCTCTTAAACAAATAACCCAGACCAAGGTAAGGCCTTTGACAGTTATTCACCTTGGATTCTTTTCTAACACAAAGGTAACATAACAACCTAAATCACCGTGGATGCTAAAGTCAGCTCTGTGCATTCACTCTGAAGACTTGATTAAATATATGATATAAGCAGATATATGATAAAAGATTTAGTTGTTATCTCTATATTATCCACCACTTATAATATATAGTCATTTAGGGATTTATTAATTTTTGGTAATATTTATTTTTCCTTTAATAAAATAAACTTCAAATTAATATTGACTGAGAGCAATAACTGACTATTCCCTATCATTATCTAAATCATCCTTAGCCAAATACATGACATACTTGGTCCTTTCTTTTTTTAAGCCATTCCTTTACACTAATATGCATTTCTTTAGTATGTTTTATTTTATAAACAAAGCTTCATTCTCTCCATATTTAGCCATTTATACATGTTTATTTATTCTTGCATTAATACTTTTATAGTAATATTTTAAAGCTTCATGAATTCAAAGACCAAGAATAAAATCCTTATATATTCCTGACACCCGTCCATACATTCCCTTCAGAAAGGAAAGTAGACCAGATTCCATTTGTGTTGGAACCTCAGAGCTCCAGAAAATGTCTCCATCATATATGATTCATATACCATCCATCATCACTGGTGGTCCACGACTAGCTTTCTTTCTCCACAACCACCTACATTTGTTCACCATGTAATTCATTAATAAAGAAATACACATAAATCACATGAAAAAAACAAGAATAAGATCCTTTAATATTTCTAACATCCATATACACAATCATTTCCACTGAGACCAAATTTCTTTCATTAACTTACCTTAGTGTTTTATACATACATTAATCAACACAGTGCTTTGTATTAATCTGATATTTAACATTAGCCTATCTCACCTTCTTTGATTATATTTAATATTTTTAAGCCTTTATTTCATTCCAGTTAGTTAACATACAGTGTTATGTTAATTTCAGGTGTACAATTTAGCGATTTAACACTTGCATACAATACCCTGTGCTCATCACAAGTGTTCTCCTTCATCCCCATCACCTCTTTAGCCATCCCCTCCTCCCTCCAGCTCTGCTCTGATAACAATAACCATTGGTTTGTTCTCTGGAGTTAAGAGTCTATTTCTTAACAGGAAAAAAAAAAAGAAAGAGTCTATCTTGGTTTGCACCCCTCTCTTTTTTCCCCTTTGTTTATTTTGTTTCTTAAATTCCACATTTGAGTGAAATCATATGGGTATTTGTCTTTTTCTGACCGAGTTATTTCACTTAGCATAACACTTTCTAGCTTCATCCATGTCACTCCAAATGGTAAAATTTCATTTTAATATGATTATATAACATGAATTTTAATAATACAATGAAAATGTTTTTTAAAACAACAGTCTAGCCAAGAACACTGAATATTACTCACACTGCTCACCATGCTTCTAAAACTATAAAGCACCTGACCATGGAAGATCTTAAATTAACTGGAATATATCCATTCTGTGGGGCACAAAAGGGCAGAGCAACAACAACAAAAAGATTGAGACATTCTCTCCATTGGCCATTAATTCTACCGTTAATTATTCAGTCATGTAGGCAATTAGCAAACTGTGATCATGTCTATTTTATTTTTTCCTAAGTAACAAATGACATCAATATTGCCACTGACAAAGAATATGAACATTGACTGCTACTCATTACTGCCTATGTCATACTCAGCAGAAGGGGCCACATGCTTATATCATTTATTTTCATTCATTTGCCAGTGTTTGCAGTATGTACTAATAGTACTTCGTACCTCACCAAATATTTTTATAATTGGACAAGCTTTACTCCTATTATCTTTATTTATTTGTAATATGTTTATTGCTATTTTCACTGACCCAGTTATTTTTGTAGAATGAAAATGAATAAAACCCAAGACTAAAAGCAAGAGCCTTGTATATCCTGACATCTGTATAGGACCATTTCAACAACATGAAATGGATTTGTTTTGTGCTGGACCTCAGAGTTCCAGACACAGAGTATGTACCACACAAGACTCTTAGGCCAACAGTTATCATCATTGCTCCAGGACTAGCTCTTTTTTCTACTGTCATCTGCATCTGTTCATCGATTAACTGCCTAATATAGAAATAAACATGTCATCAAAAAAATCACAACTAAAATCTTTGAGCATCCCTAACATCTATCCATACAATCATTTCCACTGAAGACAAACTCTTTCATTAACTGAACTCGGTGTTTCACATGTGGATTAACATCATATTGGTTCAAATCGATGATATTTGATATTGGTATGTTTGGACTTTTTGATTATATTAAACACTTTTTAATAATAGAGTAATTTAAAAAAAATATTCCATCCAAGATAAAGACATTATTACTCACATTGTTCTCCATGCTCCTAAGATACAGACGCAACCACAGTGCTCCTACATGTGAAGATGCTTTAATAAGCTTTTGTGTGTCATTCTGAGGAGTAGAAAGCAGAGAGGATGATAACAAATTGCAAACTAATCTTCATTGATCCTTGTTTTTGTATTTCGTTTTTCAGTTAGACAATCATTAATTAGAAGCATACTATATTTATTTCATTTTCTCTTAAGAAAATGAACAACTTAGGCCTTGTCCTCAACCCAGAAAATGAGCATCAACTATTATTTATCTATATCATCCTCAGCCAGAGATTTTACAGTCATGTAACCATTTATTTGTCTTTTATTTTTATTAAAATTTTTTTAATTTATTTATTTATGATAGTCAGAGAGAGAGAGGCAGAGACACAGGCAGAGGGAGAAGCAGGCTCCATGCACCGGGAGCCCGATAGGGGATTCGATCCCGCATCTCCAGGATCGCGCCCTGGGCCAAAGGCAGGCGCCAAACCACTGCGCCACTCAGGGATCCCTTATTTGTCTTTTAGACTTCACAGTGTTTTCAAATTTATTAATACTATTTCCTGCCTCACTACATATTTTTATAATTAGAGCATGCTTTCCCATATTCCTCTTTATTTATTTATATTTACATATATTTGTTTAGTGACTATTTCAATGCTCCAATTATAATTGTGGAATGAAAATGCATTAACAAACACAGAGACCCAAAACAAGATCTCCATGTACTCCTGACTTCTGCCTATAGCATCCTTTCAAACAAAGAGAATGGACAGTAGTGTGTCGTTGGACCTCAGAGTTTCAGACACATGTTATTCATCATCATCCATGACTCATACGCCACCAGTCATCATCATTGGTCCAGGATTGGCTTCTTTCTCTTTGTGTACTTCTAAGTTGTTTATTAATTTACACTAATGATGCAGGGAATATTCTTAACAAACCACCCTACCCAACACAAGAACTTTGACTTTACTCACGTTGGTCTATACATTCCTAATGCATAAGTGCAGACATGGAGCTCATGACCATGGAAGATGCTTACATCAGCCTCAGTGCGGCCATTCTGAGGAGTACAGAGCAAAGCAGTGGATAAAGAAAATTAAGCCCTTATCTACATTTACCCTTCCTTTCCACATGTCATTTACCAATGTTTTACATATGTGTTAATTTTTCATTATAGTTATGTATCTGTTTTTTCTATTAACAAAGGGAAAAACCTTGAACTTGGAACCAATTCAGAATTGAAAAATTGATTTTTAACTACCTGTGTCTACATAATCCTTAGCCAAAGAAGTAATACTCTTGATCTTTTTATTTCTTACTAGGCATCAGTGTTTTTGTCATTAATAATACGTCCTGCCATAAAAGGCATTCGAATTGGCAAAGAAGAAGTCAAACTCTCCCTCTTCGCTGATGACATGATACTCTACATAGAAAACCCAAAAGACTCCACCCCAAGATTGCTAGAACTCATACAGCAATTTGGCAGTGTGGCAGGATACAAAATCAATGCCCAGACGTCAGTGGCATTTCTACACACTAACAATGAGACTGAAGAAAGAGAAATACGTGCTGCCTCACAACGTATGTTCATAATTGGACAGTGCTTCATTTTCTCTTTATTTATTTATATTTCTTAAATGGTTCTAACACTGATCCATTGACAATAATAAATTTAAGCTATAAATCCAAGTGAGAATATGACCTTTATAGATTTCTGATATTTGTCCATAAGATCATGTACAAAAAAGGGACTGGACTAATTATGTACTATGTTGGATCTCAGATTTTTAGATATTTATTTCCCATCGTCCATGCCTCATATACCATCTCTTGTAAGTATAGAGAACAAACTGAGGATCGCTGGAGGGGAAGTGGGTGAGGGGATGGGAAATTGGGTGATGGGCATTAAGGACATTTTGATGTAATGAGCAGTGGGTGTTATATGCAACTGATGAATCACTAAATTTTCCCCTGAAATTAATAATACATTATATGTCAACTAATCTGAATTTACATAAAACAAAAAAAAGCAATCACACATACTATTCCATATCACCATCTGTATCATCCTTATGCCAAAATGTAATCCCCTGACCCATTTATTAATGAATTCCATTTGTTCCAAGTTATATTAATAGTAATTCTTGCCTCATCCCATATATTCATAGTTGGCTATGCCTCACCCTTTTCATCTTTATGCACTGACATATTTGTTTCTCTCATTTATTCATTATGAGAACAAAAAAAAATCCATGAAGCACCAAAGGCTAAGAACATGATCCTTGAATATTACTGAAACCTATAGGCTCAGTCTCACAGATATAAATACTTAAATCCCTTTTTGTAATGGACCTTAGTAGGTCATAGATGTTTTAATCATAAAATATAGTTCAGAATGTATTCCATTCACATCACTGGTCCATGGCTTGCCCTTTTTCATATAATTTGCATATCCTGTTTATATATAGTCACCACTTGCACCAGAACTAAAACACTGACTACCTCTTACATCTCCTATGTGCTTCTACCTCATAATAGAAGTGGTTAAGATCTTTATCAGTTAAAGAATGTTTAGTAAAAACCTGAAACAGAAATTAAAAGAACTATAAAAATGAGTAACATGGACTTGGTCTATTTTTATTTTTCTATTTTTATTATTTTTTATTTGTATTTTTTTTTGGAGTTCGATTTGCCAACCTATAGTATAACACCCAGTGCTCATCCTGTCAAGGTGCCCCCCTCAGTTCCCATCACCCAGTCACCCCATTCCCACCCACCTCCCCTTCCACTACCCCTTGTTTTTTTCCCAGAGTTAGGAGTCTCTCATGTTTTGTCACCCCCTCTGATTTTTCCCACTCATTTTCTTTCCTTTCCCCTATAATCCCTTTCACTATTTTTTATATTCCCCATATGAGTGAAACCATATAATGATTGTCCTTCTCCGATTGACTTTCTTCACTCAGCATAATACCCTCCAGTTCCATCCACGTTGAAGCAAATGGTGGATATTCATCATTTCTAATGGCTCAGTAATATTCCATTGTATATATAGACCACATCTTCTTTATCCATTCATCTTTCAATGGACACCGAGGCTTGGTCTATTTTTAAAATCATCCTGAGTAGGGGAGGTGGATTGGGGGAAAAGATGGCTAAAGCGGTGATGTTGATGAAAGAGTGCACTTGTGATGGGCACAGGGTGTTGTATGCAATCACTATATTGTATACCTGAAACTAATATTACACTGTATGTTTACTAACTGGAATTGAAAAAGAAACTTTAAAAAAAAGTATTAAATATAATCAAAGAAATGCTGAGGGTAAGGCCAGCAATCTATAGTTTAACCAGCCTTTCAGGTGACTGTGGTACTCACTCAAGTTTTAGAACCATTGCCCTTATAGTCAGCTCACCCAGAGAGGTAACACCTTTAATCTACTGAGTTCTTAATACACTACAGAATTTCCCAATTATATAAATGAAAATTTCAACCTCAGAACATTTTTTCTAGCATTAATTACTTTCTTTATCTACCTACCATCATTTATCTATCTACCTATCAACTATCTACTTATCATCTACTGATTTTTTTATTTATTCCCTTAGAATAATGTACTAAATCCCCAGGATCCACATATACCTTATAATTAGATACTTGCAAATTACTGAAGTCTAGCTATAGTCTTATTCCCGCAGAAGTAATATACCAAATCTCATTTTTAAACAAACTTCAGTACTGCAGAAATGAATTAATCAGAAGACACATTCAAAATGCATTCCATTCACATCATGGGTCCTTGCTTGGCCCTTTTTTTCAAGTTTTTATTTAAATTTCAGTTAGTTAACAGATAGTGTAATATTAGTTTCAGGTGTAGAATTTAGTGATTCATCACTTATATTTAACACCCAGTGCTCATCACAATAAGTGTATTCCTTATACCCATCCCCCACTTAGCCGATTCCCCTGCCTACTTCCCCTCTAGCAAGCCTTAGTTTATCCTCTAGAGTTAAGAGTCTGTTTTATGGTTTGCCACTCTCTCTATTTTCCCCTAGGTTCACCTGGCTCATTGCTTAAATTCTAATATGAGTGAAATCATATGGTATTTTTCTCTGGCTGACTTATTTCACTTAGCGTTATACCGCCTAGCCCCATACATGTCATTATAAATGGCAAGATGTCATTCTTTTTGATGGCTGAGTAATATTCCTTTGTATATATTCACTACAACTTACTTTTTTTTAATAAATTTATTTATTATTGGTGTTCAATTTGCCAATGTACAGAATAACACCCAGTGCTCATCCCGTCAAGTGCCCACCTCAGTGCCTGACACCCAGTCACCCACATCCCCCGCTCTCCTCCCCTTCCATCACCCCTAGTTCGTTTCCCAGAGTTCGGAGTCTTCCATGTTTTGTCTCCCTTTCTGATATTTCCCACTTATTTTTTCTCCTTTCCCCTTTATTCCCTTTCACTATTTTATATATTCCCCAAATGAATGAGACCATTTAATGTTTGTCCTTCTCCGATTGACTTATTACTACAACTTCCTAATCCATTCATCTGTCGATGGACATTTGGGCTCTTTTCATATTTTGGCTATTGTAGATAACGCTATGATAAATATCGGGGTGCATGTGCCCCTTAAAATCAGCACTTTTGTATCCTTGGGCAAATATCTAATAGTACAATTGCTGGATCATAGGGTTGTTCTACTTTTAATATTTTGAGGAACCTCCATATATTTTCATTTAACTTGTACATTCTTTAAAGATATAGGTACACTCATGAACCCACTATCCATTCCCCATTCCAAAGACTGTACCTTACATCTTTCTATGAGTTGTTTCATTGATTTAACAACTTAGATCTTTTCCACAGAAGAATGATTATAAACTGTGGTGCAAATCTAAGATGGAAAATTAGATACTTAAGAATGTGAATGTAGACTGGGTGACGGGCACTGAGGGGGGCACCTGATGGGATGAGCACTGGGTGTTATTCTATATGTTGGCAAATTGAACACCAATAAAAAATAAATTTATAAAAAAAAGAATGTGAATGTAAAATCCTCAATCCTTTAAAAAAATCATACTGAAATTGGTTACTTCATAAACCTTGCCACATATCTCCACCATAGACTCATATTTGGTCTTCTTTAATTTTATTTATGAATATAAATATTTGTTGATAGCTTTAACATTCATTCATTCAAACTTTAATTCATAAAAAATTGACAAACTATTCACTTTTTTTAAAAAATGAAAACCATTGAAAAAAATGAAAGTTCTTTAACTTCCCAGAAACCCAGAATAGAAATGCTAATTGTACATCTGCACAGTTCCCCTAAATCAACTTGGAGAGAACCGAGATTTGTTTCTTGGAGGGACAAAACATGAGTAGAACTACTGAATCATGTATCACCCAATGCTCATTGCTGGCCACGTGTTTTGTCCTCTTTTATCTTATTAGTTTATTTATTAATTTATAATGATAAAATGTGTACTATTATATACAAACTTAAGATTATAACACTAATTAATAATAACTGTGTACAAAAATAATAATAGTAGTAATAATAATAATAATAATAACTGTGTACAGGTACTCACTATCATAAATGACAAAGGACTATATACTTCTTTTCCAACTTTACTGAGAAGTTATTGATAAACACATTGTATATATTTAAAGTATACAACGTGATATTTGATTTACATATACATTGAGGAATGATCACCAATAGAACATAGTGAAGCCAATTGGATTGATCATATCTTGTTATATGACTTAATTTTGTCACTGGTTCATGCTTGACCCTCTTTAAAATAGTTGATGACATTATATGAACTTTTTCCCTATTTCTCAACTGAAAAAAACAAAAACACTTGCAATCCAAAGATGGCATAGAACATGAACATCAACAATGACACACATCTGTCCCTATGTCCCTTCTGATGAGGAATAAATGCCTTTATATTTTTTAATGGATTTCTGTTCCTTAGAAATGAATTTGGAATTATGTTAATTTCATTACATGTGCTATAATCACACCGCATTTGTACCTATTTTTCCCTCATTTATTCACGCTTTTAGCTATTGTTGCATTGCTTAATTTTTAATAAGCAATCAATATTTGTGAAACTCAGTAGCCCAAGAATAATATTCCCGGATATCTCTAACAACTGCTTATAGGACCATTTATAACAGAAGCAATAGACTAGATTTCCTTTTGCACTGGATCACAAAGTTGTAGATAAGCCTTATTCATACTTGCCTCTTCTCGGACTAGTCTTCAATATTGGTCCAGATTTTGCCCTCTTTTTCTTCTTTGAACCATGATTTTGTTTAGATATTAATTCATTAATTCACTAATAATAAAAAATGCTCATGAGGCTTTGAAAACTTTAATATCCCTAATATCTGTACATAAAATCACTTTCTACAGGGCAAATAGTCTAGATAGACTTTGCTACCTGACCTCGGTGTTGAATGTATAGATTAGCCAACATGTTCATTTTAACCTCTTACTTTATTATTAGTGCATGTTTGACAGGGACTAATGTGTAACATCTGTCTATAGTATTATTTCCCCCAGCAACTCATTTCTTTCATTAACTGACCTCAATGTTTTGAATATGCACTAATGAACACAATGTTTCATATTAGCTGCATTTTAGGGCCATGGTTGGCATTCACTGATTATATTTTACATTTTTTAACAATACAGTGAATATCCTTAAATCACCTAAACTGAGACAAGAACATTGACTATTACTCACATTGGTCTCCATTTTCCAACACAAAGATGTAGCCATAGAACTTGCGATCATGGAAGAATGCTTAAATCAGCGTGCGTCCATTCTGCAGAGTAAAGAGCAGAGCAGATGAAAAGAAAAAACTTGAGACCTGATTATCTCCATTGGTCCTTGCACCCCACCTCTTATCTAGTTGGTCATTTAGGGAATTTGCAATTGGGGGAATTGTTTACTTAGTTTCTCCTAATAAATGAATAATAGTGAGCTTGCCACTGACACAGAATAGGAGCATTGCCCATTACTATTTAACACTGCCTATGCAGTCACTCGCCAAAGAGGCAACACCTTTGTTTGTATCACTTATTTCTTAGTGGATAAGGGTGTGTTTTCAACACACATTCATAGTTATTTCTTGTCTCGCTAGGTGTTTTTATAATTGGACAATGCCTTATGACCGTAATCTTTATATAGTTTATTGATCATCTCATTGATCCAATTATAAAAATAGAGAATGCATGAACATGAACCCAAAACAGGATCCTTCTGTATTCATATCTGTCTATAAGATCACTTCACACAGGGTGGTGGACTAGACTGTATTTCTGTTGGACCTCGGACTTCCAGACACATATTCATTGTATACGACTCACACGACACCAGTGGTCATCATCGATCCAATAATGTCCCTCTTTTTCTCCATTCAGTGCTATATTGTTTATTGACTAATTCATTAATTCACTAATAATAATTTTAAGATGCTATTATTCACAGAAGTGCAAAGAAAGCCTTGATATCTCTAATATGTCCGTAAGATTATCAGTTTTGTTAATTATAATGTTTTTTTAAAGATTTTATTTATTCATCCATGAGAGACACAGAGAGAGAGGCAGAGACACAGGCAGAGGGAGAAGCAGTCTTCATGCAGGAAGCCCGATGTGGGACTGCATCCCTGATCTCCAGGATCACACCCTGGGCTGAAGACGACCCTAAACCGCTGAGCCACCTGGGCTGCCCTAATTATAATATTTTATACAAATGCATTAATCACTACAATCAACCCCTACTAATCAATATAATCAATTCCATATTTGTCACTGGGCTATAGTAGCCCTTAATTATATTGCATACTTCCTAATGATATAGTAAATACCTTTTTTTAAAAAAGAAACCAGGAAAAGACAAACACTTTGACTATTACTCACATTGGTCTCTATGCTCCTAACTCAGAGATTCAACCAGAGAGCTCGTAACCATGGAAGTGCTTATAGCAGCTGGAGTGCATGCATTCTGAGGAGTACAGAACAGAGCAGATGATAACAAAATGGAGAGACACTCTACTGATGCACTTATTTTACCTTCATTTTGTCACTTAGAAATACAGCACGTTGGAGTCATATTTATTAATTTGCCCTGAACAAACAGTATCAATATCTTGCTCTTGACACAGAGCAAGAATAAGAATTTGGGCTGTTATTTACTGTCTATATCCTCCTTAACCAAAGAGATAAGACACTTGAACCATTTACATTTTGTAATAAACTTCAGTATTTTCAATAAATGTGAATAATTTTTACTAAGAGCAGATATGCTTCACCCTCTTGATCTTATTTATACTTGCATATGGATACTTCTTTGAGTCATTTATTACAGTAGAATCAAAATTCATGAAAATGAACCAAGAAAATGGTCCTTTTCCTTTCCCTAGCATCTGTCCATAGAATTATTTTATTGGACCTCAGAGTTTCAGACACGTAATATTCATCATCCATGACTCATACGCCACCAAGTGTCATCATTGGTCCAAATCTGAGCCCCGTTTTCTTCATTCTCTTGTATACTACTTCACTAACTACTAAATTCACTAATGTTAATTTTTAAAACCTGTGATTCACAAAAATCCAATGAATATTATACATCTGCCTATAGGATTATTTGCCACATTGTTAGATCTCTTATGATCATCAATACCTCACATATGCATTAGCAAGTGTTATATACCATATTTACCTGTTCCCATATTTAGGGTTTTTTTTTTATTTTAATAATAAATTTATTTTTTATTGGTGTTCAATTTGCCAACATACAGAATAACACCCAGTGCTCATCCCATCAAGTGCCCACCTCAGTGCCCGCCACCCAGTCACCCCCACCCCCTGCCATCCTCCCCTTCCACCACCCCTAGTTTGTTTCCCAGAGTTAGGTGTCTTCCATGTTCTGTCTCCCTTTCTGGTATTTCTCACTTATTTTATTTTATTTTTAAAGATTTTATTTATTTATTCACGAGAGACACAGAGGCAGAGACATAGGCAGAGGGAGAAGCAGGCTCCCCATGGGGAGACTGACATGGAACTTGATCCCAGAACCCTGGAATCATGACCTGAGCCAAAGGCAGACGCTCAACCACCGAGCCACCCAGGTGTCCCTAGGGATTTAAATTATATTTCATACTTTCAATAATACAGAAGATACCTTTTTAAAAAACATTTAAACAAATACAAAACTTTAACCTTTACTCACATTCATCTCTATGCTCAGAACACACAGGACATCACAGATCTTTTGACTATGGAAAATGCTTATATCAGCTGGAGTGTGTCGATTCTGAGGAGTGTTAACACAGAGCAGATAATTAAAATTGAAACTTCATCCCTATTAGTCCTTGTTTTCCTCATTTCATTTTTTCAGTTATTTGGGTATTGGTTAATTTTTCACAACACATATACATATGAAAATATAAACATACATATTACAAAACTAATATTCTCAACTCGAAAATGCCCAGGCTTAGAAAATTGGATACTGCATATTAGTGTCAGTGTCTACATGATCCTTAGTAAAAAAGATAACACCTTTGGTCCATTAATTTCTCAAGTTTCTTTAGTTTACATTAAAAGGATTTCTTGCCTCACCAAATATATTCATACTTGGTAAGTCTTCACCCTCTTTTTATTTATAGATTTTTTATTGGTTCTATCATTGATCTATGTATTCTAATAATATAGAAATCCATAAATCCAAAATGACAAGAACACTATCTATATATTCCTAACATGTATCCACAGGATCATTGTGTTGGACCTCAGACTTCCAGACACGTAGCATTCATCGTATATGACTCATACGCCACCAGCTGTCATCATTGGTCCATGCACAAGCCTCCTTTTCTTTATTCTCATATGCATTTTTTTAAGGATCAATTCATCAATTCACTACGGTAATTAGATAAATATCTATGAATCTCAAAAGTGGAAGGACAAAAGCCTACAGTATTTCGATCATTTTTCTTTAGAATCACTGGCTAATTAAATAAACTTCTTCATTAACCACCCTCATTGTGGTAAAGGTAGGATGGTCAACATAATGTTTCATACATTTCCAACTTAGTCATTGGGCCATGGTTGGTCTTTTTTCTTATATTGAATACTTTTTAAACAATTACAGTGATACCCTAAACAAACCCCCCAAAGCAAGGAAAGAACTTTGATTATTACGCACGTCGGGCTTCATGCTCCCACACAGAGAGGCTGGCCTGGAGCGCCTGAACATGGCAGATGCTTACATCGGGTCAGGTATTTTCTTTCTGAGAAGCACAAAGCAAAATAGGTGAGAACAAGATTGAAATGTTGTCTCCCGTGTTCTGCACATTCCATTTTACATGGAGTCAATCATCTGGAAATATATTAATTTGCAATCATGCTTATTAATTTTCTATTTAAAAAATGAATAATACTTGCTACTGACCCAGAATAAGAACTTCTCTATTCTCACTAAAGAGGTAAAGCACATGAACCATTTATTTTTCTTAATGGAATTCAGTATATTCAATATCTTTGAATAGTTTTTATTGCCTCACCACATATACTAAGAGTGCATTTGCTTTATGTTCTTCATTTTTACTTTTTAATATTTGTGCATTGATTCTTAAATTGATTCATTGATAATAAAAGAATCAAAATTCAAGAAAGCAATCTAAGAAAATGGTCCCTTTGCATTCCTAAAATCAGTCTATAGGATAATTTCAGACAGGTAATAGATTGTATCTCTTTTTGCATTGGACCTCAGAGTTCCAGACACGTAGTATTCATCGTCCATGACTCCTACGCCACCAGCCATCATCATTGGTCCATATTTCAGCCCCTTTCTCTTCATATTCTATATATCATTTCACTAATTCCTTAATTCACTAATGTCATTTTTTAAAAAAACCCTATGATTCACCAAAAAATGATGAATAAGAACCTTGAATATTCTACATCTGTCCAGAGAATCATTTATCACATTGATATAACCTTTCATTAATTATACTTAATCTATCATAAATGCATTAATAAATATAACGCTTGGTAATACTCCCATATTTATCATTGGCCATGATTGGCCTTTCGAATTATATTCACACTATTAATAATACAGTAAATGCTCCTTTTTTTATAACCTGTCAAATGAAAACATGAGACTTATTACTCACACTGGTCTCTGTAATCAGAGATGCAATCATAGAGATTGTAACTAAGAATTCTTCAACCAGCTTTGGGATGTCCATCCTGAGGAATACAAAGTAGAGCATGTGATAAAAAAGATCAGAGATCTCATCTAAATTGATCCTTCTTTTCATATTTTATTCACTCTATCATTTAGGTATTTATTAATTTTCATTCTCTTAATAAAAGGAACACCACAAATTTGAGACTTACCTAAAAACTAAAATTGACTCTTAGTTATGAGTTTCTATGACCTTTAGCCAAAGAGAGGACACTCTCAATCAATTTATTTCTTAAGGGGCATCAATGTTTTCAATTTTTGGTAATAATTATTCTTGCCTTACCACATATATTCACAGCTGGACAATGCTTCACTCTCTTTTTCTTTAAAAGAGTCTATTTATATCTCATTAATGGTTCTATCATTGATCCATCTATAATAATAAATCTATATTGGTAAAACCAGGGCAAGAACGTGACCTTTGTATATTTCTAGTATCTGTCTACAGGAGCATGTCTAAAAGAGGGATCTGACTAATTATGTCTTATATTGGACCTCAGAATACCAGGCACATATTATTCACCATCCAGATACATATGCCACCAGTCACCATCAAAGGTTCAGGTTTGGGTCTCTTTTTCTTCATTCATTTCTACCTTGATACCAAATAAATCATTAATCCATTAATAACAATAAAATAAACACATGATTCACAAAATCCAAGAAGATCCTTTCAGATCTCTAAAATCTCTCTATAGAATCATTTCCCACAGAGACTGATTCTGTCTTATTAATCAACCTCTATATTGCCATTATTGATTAATCAACATTACAGTTGATATATTTCTCACTGGGACATAGCTAACTTTTTAAAATTATGTTTCATACTTTTTAATAATTCAATGAATACCTATAAACAGATGGCCCAATATAAGATGACAACTTTGACCATTACTTACCATGGTGTCTTTCCAACACAGAAGCAGCATAACAACCTTGACCACAGCCAGACAGCTCGAGGTTCCATTCTGAAGAGTACCAGTTAGAAAAAATGATAAAAAGATTGAGACATTCTCTCCATTGATCCAAAGTTCCTACCACTCATATATGTAGTCATTTAGATATTTACTAATGTATGGTTAATATTTATTTAACCTTCATAAAGTAAACATTAAACATGCAAGTTTCTCAGTTTAATAATGGACTTTTAAAAATAAAGATCTCTCATTTTAATTGAGATAAAATTAGCCATTGAAAGTTAACAAATTAGTAGCATTCAGTATTTTCACAATATTGTGCAACTGCCATTTCTATGTAGTTTCAAAATACTTGCATCACTCCAAAATAAAATCCCATACTCATTAAGGAGTCTGTCCTCCTCCACCTGCCTCAAGCCCTGGGCAACTACCAATCTTTATTCTCGCCCTATGGATTTACTTACTTTGGAGATTTCATATAAATGGAGTTATGCATGGCATGACCTTTTCCATATGCCTTCTTTCACTTGGCACAATGTTTTCAAGGGACATCTGCATCGCAGCACTACTTCATTCCTTCGCAGCCACCCTGGAAAACAGTATGGAGGGTTCTCAAAAAGTTAAAAATAGAGCTATCCTATGATCCAGCAATTCCACTACTAGGTATTTATTCAAAGGATTTTATAAACATGTTGATTCGAAGGGTCACCTACAACCCAATGTTTATTTATTTTTTTTATAATTTTTTTAAATTTATTTATGATAGTCACACACACAGAGAGAGAGAGAGGCAGAGACACAGGCAGAGGGAGAAGCAGGCTCCATGCACTGGGAGCCCCATGTGGGATTCGATCCCAGGTCTCCAGGATCGCACCCTGGGCCAAAGGCAGGCGCCAAACCGCTGCGCCACCCAGGGATCCCCAACCCAATGTTTATAGCAGCAATGACCACAATAGCCAAACTATAGAAAGAGCCCAGATGCCCATCAACAGATGAAGGGATAAAGAAGAGGTGGTACATACACACAATGGAATATTACTCGGCCATCAAAAAGAATGAAATCTTGCCATTTGCAACAACATGGATGGAACTAGAGGGTATTACTCTAAGTGAAATAAGTCAGTCTAAGAAAGGCAAATACCATAGGATTTTGCTCATATGTGGAATTTAAGAAACAGAACAGAGGACCATAGGGGAAGGAAAAATAAAAGAAGATGGAAAGAAACCATAAGAGACTCTTAATCATAGGAAACAAACTGAGGGTTGCTGGAAGGGAGTGGGGTGGGGAATGGGGTAACTAGTGATGCTCATGAAGGAGGGCATGTGATATAATGACTACTGGGTGTTATATGCAACTGACAAATCACTAAATTCTACCTCTGAAACTAATAATACACTATATGTTAATTAAATTGAATTTAAATTTTTTTTAATTTTCTTTTTATTTGAGTACAGTTGACACACAGTGCTACATTAGTTTCAGGTGTACAATACATGATCCAACATCTCTAAACATTATGCTATACTCAATATGCTATTATGATATCATTGACTATATTCTTTATATTGTACCCTTTATTTCCATGACTCAATAATTGAGTATTACTGATTGCTGTCATATTATCATTAGTCAAAAATGTAAAATAAATTTCATTCATTTATTATCCATTCTTCTATTAATATTTCTCTTTACTATATATTTTAATAATGAACAATACTTAAGCCTCTTCATCTTTATTCATTTGCTCATTTATTCATTTATTCATTTGTTTATTCTGTCATTAATACTTCTATAATATTTCTAAAAATTCATGAACACAAAGAATAAGAACAAAGTCCTTGTATATTCCTGACCTCTGTCTATAGGAACACTGTGAACAGAGGGACTAGACTAGATATCTTTGTGTTGGCTGGACCTCAGACTTCCAGACACATAGCATTCATCGTATATGTTTCATACGCCACCAGCTGTCATCATTGGTCCATGCTTGGATCTCCTTTTCTTCATTCTTGTTTACATTTGTTTACTATCAATTTATTAAGTCAATAATAATAAAATAAGTATCTGTGAATCACAGAACTCAAGGACAATATACTTAAGTATCTTTGGCATCTGTCTATAGAACCTTTTGCCTCACTGAATACATTTATTTGACCAATGGTCCTCATTGTGGAACATATTGATTAGTTACCATAATGTTTATTGTCAACACCATATGTATCATTGAGCTTTGTTTGGAAATCCTTGAATTTTTAATATGACACTGAATATCCTATACAAACCACCTAAACCAGGAGAAGAATCTGTCACTCACATTGGCCTTCATGCTCTCACACACAGGGGCATCCATGAGCACCTGATCACAGCCAAATGCCTAAGTAAGTTCAAGTGTATCCATTCTGAGGAATACAAAGCAGAACAGACAATAATGGTATGAGAGACTATTGATCCATACATTTTATCTTCAGTTAGTCATTTAGGAATGCAGTGAATTGGGATCATATTAACTATTTTTCTCAAAAAAAATGTCAAACCTAACACTAACATAAAATAAGAATTTTTATATTCATTGTCTATATAATCATTCTTTGCCAAAGAGTAAGACACGTGAAACATTTACATTTCTTAATGAACTGTAGCATTTTAAATATATATTAATAGCTTTTATCCCCTCACCACATATACTAAAAGCAAACATGTTTCACTCTCTTTATCTTATTTGTAATTGTACACTTATTGTCTTTTTGGGCCATTTTTAACAGTAAAACCAAAACTCATAAACACAAAGCAAGAAAATTAGTCTTCTATATTCCTAATATTTGTCTAAAACACCATGTCAAACAGAGGCAACAGATCAGCTTTCTTTTTTTATTGGACCTCAGGGTTTCAGACACATAATATTCATCATCCATGACTCATACGCCACCAACTATCATCATTGGTCCAAACCTGAGCCTCTTTTCATTCTTATCTGCATAAGTTCACTGACCAATTCATGAATTCACTAATATTAATTCCTAAAATTCTATGATTCACAAAAACCCAAGAATAAGAATATTCTATATCTGCCTATAGGATCATCTACCACATTGATATCTCTTTCACTAAATATCATCAAAGTTCCATATATGCATTAATACAATGCAGCAGACCAATCCCATATATATCATTCCTGATGGTTGACATTTCTTATTATATTTCATACTTTTGATAATACAGTGAATACTTAAAACAATAAATTTGCAAATGCAGACACACAACTATTACTCACATTCATCTCTGCAACATAGAGCTCATGACCACGGAGATGCTTCAGCCCACTGGAGTTGTGCACCCATTCTGAGGAGTACAGAGCAGAGCAGGTAATAAAAAAAATTGAAGTCTTCTCTAAATGGATCCTTGTTTTACTCATTTCATTTATTCAATCATAAAGGTACCTTTTATTTTTCATAATTTCTACACATATATTAGCATAAATATAAATGTAACATTATGATCCTTAGATAAAGAGGCAACACCCTTGGTCCATTTTATCTTTTAACCTGCATTGGTTTCTTCAGTTTATATTAATAGTAGTTCTTGCTCCACTGCATATATATATATATATATATATATATATGTATATATATATATATATATATATATAATTGACAAGGCTTCTTCCATGGTTCTATTTACTTACATGTTTATTTATTGGTTCTAGAAGTGACCCATTCATTTATATGAATAACATAGAAATTCATGAATCCATGATTACTATAACAATATTCTTGTATTTTCCTAACACCGATCCACAGGAACATTGTGTTGGACCTCAGACTTCCAGACACGTAGCATTCATCGTATATGACTCATACGCCACCAGCTGTCATCATTGGTCCATGCACAAGCCTCCTTTTCTTTATTCTCCTATGCATTTTTTAAGGATCAATTCATCAATTCACTTTGGTGATTAAATAAATACCTATGACTCACAAAAGCCCAAGGACAAGGGCCTTCAGTAACCCTATCATTTTTCTTTAGAATCATTTCATCATTGAAATACCTTCCATTAATCATCTTCACTGTTGTATAAGCAGATTAATCAACATCATGTTTCATACATTTCCAGTTTCATGACTGGATCATCGTTGGTCTTTCCTCTTATACTGAACACTTGTTTTAAATATTACAGAGAATCCCCTAAAGAAACCACCCAAAGTGAGATGAAAATGTTGACTATGACTCACGTTGGTATCCATGTTCCTACAGGCAAATGCAGAGATCATTGGTCGAGGCATACTACTTAAACCACCTTGAGTGTGTGCATTCTAAAAAGTAGAAAGCAGAGTAGACAATAACATGATTGAGATATTTCCTCTATTGATCCTTGCACTACATTTCATTACTCAGTAATTAAACTGCCTATTAATTTGGGGTAATATGCATTTAACTTTTTCTTAAGGAAAACAAACATTAAACTTTCCACTAACTCAGAACAAGAATATTGGCCTTTGTTTATATTACCTATAACATTCTTATCTAGAGGTAATACCTGCAAACTATTTCTCTCTCACTCTTACCTTACTACATTTTTTCTTCTATTGATTCACCTACTGCAATAGGATCAAAATTCATGAATGCAAAGACTGTAGAACAAGAACCTTGTGAAATCCTAAATCTGTCTATAGGAACATTTCCAACATAGGCAATAAACTAGATTTCTTTTTTTGCTGGACCTCAGAGTTCCAGATGCATACTCATCAATCATGACTCATACGCCACCAGCCACCATCACTGGACCACCCTTGGCCTTTGTTTTCCCCACTGTCATCTACCTTTGTTTATTAATTAATCAATTAATCAATTTATCTGATAGTAATAAATACCTATGAAGTAAAAAAAGAAAATAAAACCAACAACAACAACCTAGAATAGAGGCCTTAAAAAGTCCCATATCTGTCCTTAGAATCATTTACTACATCAATATATTTCCTTGATTAATCATCCTCAGAGTTTCATAGAGGGACTAATCAATGTAATACAATGTAATATTAATTCTATATTTATCAGTGGACCATGGTGGCTTTATTATATTTCATACTTTTCAAATCCAGAGTATATACCCATAAAAACTCACCCTTCTTTCTATGTACCAAACACATAGAGACAAGCAGACATCTTGTGACCATGGAAGAATCAGGTCCAATGGATCCATTCTGAGAAATGCAGATTACAGAAGGTGATATAAAAAAAATTAGGCCTTTTCTTCATTGATTTTGCTTTCCACATTTCATTTACTCAGCCACTTAGGTATTTATTAATTTTCATAATTTACAATCCACTTATTCATATTTATTTAGACTGAATTATTGATTCTTTCACTTCTGTTTATACTAAAAGAATCAAAATCCATGAACACAAAGACCAAGAACATGATCCTTGTACATTACTAATATCTATCAATATAGTCATTTCCAACAGAGAAAAAAGACTAGATTTCTTGTTGTGTTGGACCTCAGAGTTCCCGACACGTAGTATTCATCATCCATGACTCATACGCCACCAGCCGTCATCATCAGTCCAGCACTGGCCCTTTTCCTTGTACATTTCTTTACTGATCAACATATCAATAAATCAATGACTATAAAATAAACATCTATGAAGCAAAAATACTTAAAAATAAGACCCTGAAGCATCCCTAACATCTGACCATGGAATCATTGCCTCCTTGAATATGTATTTCATTAATCATCTACAATTTTGCAAATACCAGTTAATCAATATAATGTTTCATATCAATTCTCTATTTATCATGGGGCTGTGGTTGGCCTTTTTTATTATATTTAAATATTTCTTAATATTACAATTAACATCCTAAGCCAACTACCAAAAATAATATAAGAACTTTATACTCACGCTGGTCTCCAACTCCTATAGAGCTCATAATAATGAAAGGTGCTTTAATCATCTTGTGTGACCACTCTGAGAAGTACAGAGCAGAGTAGATAGAAAAAAAGAGAGAGAGAGAGAATTATCTCTCCATTAATCCATTTCAAGTTTTATTTAGTGAGTAATTTAGGCATTTATTATTTTCGGATAACATTTATTAATATTTTTTTAAGAAAATAAACCTCAAATTTGTCACTGAGCCAGAATAAGAACAATGATTCAACACTAGCCGAAGAAGTCACACCATTGAACCATGTCTTTCTTAATCGGCTCAGTGTTTTTAACATACAGATTCTCTTATGTTGTGACACATTTTCATAATGGAACAATATTTTACTAATTTATATTTATTGATCAATTGTTTATAATTTTAATATATCCAATTATAATAATAGAATCAAAATCCATGAACAAAAAGACCAAGAACATGGTCCTTATATATTCTTAACATCTGTCTATAGGGCCATTTCCAATAGAGGCAGTAGACCATATTTTCTTTGTTGGACCTCAGAGTTCCAGACACGTATCATTCATTATGCATGATTCATACGCCACCAGCCATCATCATTGATCCAAGCCTGAGCCTCTTTTTCGTTTTCATCAATATTTGTTTATGAATTAATTTACCAATTCCCTGGTAATAATAAAACAAATACCTATGAATAAAAAAAAAAAAAAACAAGAATAAGGACCCTAAATATCCCTATAGAATCATTTACCAAATCAGTATATTTCTTATATTAATTATCCTCAATGTTTCATATAATAATTTATCAGTGGGCCATAATTGGCCTTCTTTGCTTATACAAAATATATCTTATTAAAACAGTGAATATTCTTTTTAAAAAATAACCATTCAAACTAAGAGCACTGTAACTATTACTCACATTCATGTCTCTGTTCCTAACAATGGAGCCAACCACAGAGAATCATCTCAAATGCGTCCATTCTGAGGAGTACAAAACAGAAGAGATGGTTTAAAAGACTGAGATATTCTCTCCCTTTAGCCTTGCTTTCACATTTAATTTACTCAGCCATTTGATTATTTATTAATTTTTCATAATATTTACATATTTTCCTCCTAACAAAATGAACAACCTTGCCCATGAGACTGGTCTGTGACAACAAAAGTGACTACTATTAATGCCTATATGATGCCTGCTCAGAGGTAACACAGTTGGTCCATTTAATTCTTAATGGACTTCTATGATTTCAATTAATATTAATAGTATTTCTTGCCTCACTACATTTTTTAGCTTAACAATACTTCATCTTTTTATATTTACTGATGTATATATTTGTTTATGGTTCTATCATTGATCCATTTATAAATATGAAATCAAAACCAGGTATACATAGTGAAAGAACAAAATCCTTATGTATTCCTAACATCTGTCCATAGGATTATTTCCAACATAAGGAACGCACTAGATTTCTTATTTGTCGGACCTCAGAGTTTCAGACACGTAATATTCATCATCCATGACTCATACGCCACCCTTTGTCATCATTGGTCCAGAACTGGCCCTCTTCTCCTCCATTAATTTCTACTTTTGTTTGTTGGTTAATTCCTCATTTCATTAGTAACTTAACTCTGAATCACAAAAACTTAAGAACAAGATTTTTAAGTATCTGTAATAGCTATCTATAGGATCATTTGCTACCTTGATTATATCTCTCATTAATCATTCTTAATTTTGCAATCATCAACAACAGTGTTCACAGCAATGCCATATTTATCATGGGGCCATGGTTGGCCCTTTTGGATCCTTTAACAACGATCCAAACCAAGACAAAGACTTTGACCATACTCACATTGGTCTCTATGCTCCTAGGGAACCAGAGAGCTCATGATCATGAAGATGCTTAAATTGGCAGGGAGATCCATTCTGAGAGTAGAAAAACAGATAATAAAAAGGATTTGAAATATTCTCTCCATTTATCCTTGCATGCCTCCTTTCATTTTATTTGTCATTTAGGTATGTATTAAATTGTTATGTTTTTTTCCTTGAGGTAACAAACAACATTGAACAAGGCCCTGGTCAAAGAAGAAAATGGGCTATGATTTACGCTGTACATATCAACCTGAGCCAAAGAGAGAATATCTTTAGGACATTTATTTCCTAATAGAACTCAGTGTTTTTTAATATTTAGTAATAACATTTCTGGACTCATCACATATTTTCATAATTGGATAATACTTCACTTTCCTGTTTTATTTATGTATTTGATTCTTTTGGTGATCTATTTACAATAACAGAATCAAATTCCATGAACACAAAAATTATGGATATCCTTATATATTCCTAACATCTGTCCATTGGATCATTTACAGCAGAAGGTATAGACTATGTTTCCTATTGTGTTGGACCTCAGAGTTCCAGTTACATAGTATTCATCATCCATGACTCATACTCCACCAGTCATCATCATTGGTCCAGGATTGGCCCTTATTATCTTCAATCATGTGCACATGTTTTAATGCTTAATTGATCAATTTCCTAATGATAACAAAATTCATAAAGGTCATGAAAACTTGAGACAAGATCCTTGAATATCTCTAACATTTCTGTATAGAATTATATCCCACTAATATATATCTTTCATTAGTTTTCCATACTATATAGACTAATATAATACTTCATATTAACCCCATTTTACTATTTGAATGTGACCAAACTATGTCTCCATAAATAAAGGGAGGTTTAAACCAACTGTGACTCAAAATTAAAATTGAATAATTCATTTTACATTAATTAATTGAATAACTAACTGTGAAAATGAATAAAATGGTCCTGTTTTTTTCTCCTTAATTGACCACAGATGTGCTGTACTGGCCCACACATGACCTTCATTCATTTTATTTGTATATGCAGCCATTTATTCCCTTTCAATAATGGAGTTAACACCCATGACAGACCGCCAAACCAGAAGCAATTATCTCGACTGTTACTTACATAAGTTTCTACACTCCATAATTGATTCATCATGCATCCATCCTGTAGAGTATAAAGCAAATATAAAAACACAGAGATTCAGTGATACAGATGACAGATATAGAAGAGCCTAGATTCAGATATTTTAGTTCAAGTCAACAATAAATGATTAGAAATAAACTTTAGTGCTTATTATGTATTAAAACTCAGAACAGCATATTTATTGCTTGATTGATCCAAGCAATACACTTAACTGACATAATGAACTTCTCTGAAATCAACACCAAATAAAAGAATAAGACCCAAGACTACTACTCATATCTGTTTCTGTGTCCTCTACTGAGCCAAGTGAGAGCTCTATCTTTTTGCTAAATGAATCTTGCTTAGAAAGAACTTGGTTGGGGCATCCTGGGTGGCTCAGTGGTTTAGTGCCACCTTCAGCCCAGGGCATGATCCTGGAGACCCAGAATTGAGTCCCCATCAGGCTTCTACCATTTCTCTATCTCTCTCTCTCTCTCTCTCTCTCTCTCTCTCTCTCTCTCATAAATAAATGAAATCTTTAAAAAAAAAAGAAATGAAAGAACTAGATTAATCTGAATCCTAGATTCCAGGACATTCTCAACAATTGTGCATCCTTGTCCATCTTTATATATTTATGTAGGAACACAGTTATGTATGGAGTCATTTATCTTAGGCTTTTTAAAAGAAATTGCACTAAGCCAGAAAAAAGAAATCCTATCTAAATATATTCACTGGGGCACCTGGGTTGCTCAGTGGTTGAGCGTCTGCCTTTGGCTCAGGGCATGATCCTGGGGTCCTGGGATGGAGTCCCGCATCAGGCTCCCCGCAGGGAGTCTGCTTCTCCCTCTGCCAATGTCTCTGCCTCTCTATGTCTCTCATGAATAAAAAAATAAAATCTTTAAAATATATGTATATATTCACCATTCCTAAAACATAAGAGTATAAGTCTTATTTTATCTGAAAAGCAATTGTATAGAACTGGATTGATTAATCTCTCTCCTCGTTTCAAAACACATGCTCCTCATGGTCCAAATAATTGATTACAATGTTAACTTAGGGACGCTGGGGTGGCTCAGTGGTTGAGTGCCTGCCTTTGGCTCAGGGTGTGATCCCAGTGGTCCTGGGATCGAGTCCCACGTTGGGCTCTCCACAGGGAGACTGCTTCTCCCTCTGCCTATGTCTCTGCCTCTCTGTGTGTGTGTGTGTCCCTCATGAATAAATAAATAAAATCTTAAAAAAAAAAAAGAAAAGATGCCATGATTCATTTAAAAAAATGTTAACTTATTGTTTTATATATTTATAATAATATTAATATGTGTGACTCCACAGAAACAAGACAATATTAATGCATGCCCATATGCTCCTTTAGGCACAGAAAAAAAGATCAGATCATTTTTCCTTTTTTTTTAAGTTAAAACATAGTGAAGATCACTGGTTTAGTTGTAACTGGTCATATGACACATTCTCAACATAAGTCCATGTGTAAGCCCTCTCTCAATTATGTAGTTATTTAATCAATAATTAATTTTAAGTAAATGTTTTGCTCTTCTCTGAGTAAAACAAAAAACCAACAACCCAACCCAGAAATACAACATGAGTTCTTACATCCATTTATCTAAATTATCTTTACCCAAAAGGGTCAGATTTAATCAATTTACCTTACTGGAACTCAGTGCTTCAGAAATTTATTAACAATGATTTTTATATTCATATATTATATTACATACTCTCCTATTTGGACCAAGAATAACCCATTTTGTCTTTATTCGTTTATTTATTTCTTGATTTATTCATGCATTGATTTACTGAAAATACAATACTCAAAAGCCCAAGAACAAACTCCTGAGTATTTTTAACTCCTAGAATAAGCTCATTTCCCATAGAGACAACAGAGAGGAATCTTTTGTAATGGACCTCAGAGTCATAGGGTTTAATCAAAATCCTTGATTTCAGACACCCCAGGGTACTCATCATTGATCCAGGTTAAGCAATCTTTTTCTTCATTTATACCTTTGTTTATTGATCCATTCACTGATCCACCAACAGTAATAAAATCAATATCCATGAATTTTTAAAAAGCCAAGAACAAGGTCCTTGGATATGACCAAAGTCTACTTACAGGCTCTTTTCCCATAAATAGACCTTTTCCCAAAGGACTTTTTTTTGCAGGGGCCCTCAGCTAGGTATGTATTGATCAATTAACATCCCAGCTTCATGTACATTCTATTCCAACTATCTTCAATCTTTCTATGTACTCCTTCAGTGAGAAGCTATCCAATAATTCTTTGCATCATAATATGGATGTGCTATAACTGCACTCTCTCTCACGGTCACCACTAGCCACACGGAGCTACTAAGTACTTGAAATGTGGCTAGTGCAACTGAAGAACTGAATTTAAAATTCATTGAATTTTAGTTATCTTAGATTTAAACAGCCACATGTGGCTAGGAGCAACCACAGTGAACAGCACAGTCTTAGATTTTATTACTGGATAAATGTTTAAGTCAAATGCACTACAACAATAAGATGGATTATTCACATACTTTGAAAATGAATAAAATGCCTTCCATCTTATTTTTAACCACAATTGTACTGAATTGGATTAAGCATAATCTTTATTTCACAGCACATTCATATCATTGATCTACGTATAGCTTAATGTAAGTAATTCAGTGAACACTAATGAAAAATTCACCCCCGTTGACAAGATCTTTTGACTATTATTTACCTTAGTCATTAGGTTCCTTACCCACAAAGGTAGCAGCCAAGATCTTCATCAGCAAAGACGGATTAAATCAACCATGGTCTTCATTCTGTGGAGTCAAGTGCCAATATTCAAAAGAATGAACAGTTCAGATTTAGATTGATTTAAAAGACAATAATTGTATGATACAAGATTAATCAGGAAATTTGATTCACCTCTCATTTTCATTACTGACCCAAGAACATCACTTCTTATTTATTTCTTTATTTGACTATAAATTTTAAATAATACAATGTTCATCACACAAAAATAGAAACTCTGACCATTGCGCATATCTGTCTAGAGACCTCCTACTCACATAGGCAAGAGCCTAGACAATCGTTTTTTTTTTTTTCTGAAGGATTCAATTTATGTAGAAATAGATGAGTTTAAATCTGTGATTCATGGCATATTCTCACCAAGATCTATGCTTGACCCTCCTCATATATTAATTCAATTGTTCACTGTTTTATTTATTCTTTTATGGAGTGACTTATGGAATATTTGATCACATATTTAAACATGCTAAATATATTAAATATACACACACACGTTTACACACACAATGGTAAACCCATGAACAACTCAGAATAGAAATGCTCTTCATATGCAAGGGTCTATATACCCATACCCAAGCCAGGAAGAGAGGACCAATAGTACAGACAGATTAATCCTTACTCTTGCTCTTTACTAGGCCATGTTTTTTTGCCCCCTTTTAGAAACTGTGATTAGGACTTAATCTACTCAACTGTAACAATTCATCAATATTTGGGAATTAACTAATATTAGACAGGAAATGTGAATAACATTATTTTGCCTCCATACCTATTATATTACCCATAAAGCTTTAATAATGAGCTGTTTCTCCTTCTTTTTAATAAAATTCAGTAAACAGAGGGAGATTATTAATAACTCAGTTCCTAAGGCACATTCTAATATGAACTATGCTCATTCTTTTTCTAATTAAGTATTTAATGACTTATTTATATATGCAATTTATTCTTTTCAAAATAAAAAACAACTAACCAGTAAATAACCACTTGTATCAAACAATGATACTGAGTCTTATGTACTTCTGCCTACCCATTCATTCCAAAAAGGGGAAACAGCCTTTAGAAATAGATTTCACTAGAATTCAGTGCCACAGAAATGTATAATAATAATAATAAACTCTATTTCATTACATACTCTCATAGTTGTCTATGCTCAGATTTATTTTTACTTTTTAATATTTATTTAATTTATTCTTGCATAATTTACTTACAAGAATTCAATCTATATCCATAAAGTGTGTATGCCCATAACCAAGACACTTGAACACTCTGAACTTCTGCCCTAAGCTCAATTCCAGAGAGGAAAAAATGAGGCCACCTTTTAATTATGGACCTCAGAGTCACAGATGGCTTTAATCAAAATTTTTGATTCAGACACCCTCCAATCTCATCATTGGTCCACACTTGGCACTCTTTTTCTTCATTCATTTCTACCTTCATTTTCCCATGAATCACCAACTCCCAGAGCAAGATACTCAATACAACTATGATATGTCTCTAGACTGATTTCTCATAAAGCTTTCATACTAGGTCTCCACGTGAACCTTGTTTCATATCAATGCCATCATTAAAAATGTTCCATGATTGAGCCATGTTCATTTCATTTGTCCAATTTTAATCATGGTGTAATCAACAATGGAAAACCACAGGGCATCCCACATCTAGAATACAAGCAATATGCTCTACCTTCTGAGAGCTCCTTCCTCTAAACAGTTAATAGCCTGGATCTCTATCAAAATGCAAATGCTTCAATCAACTGTGGTTTAGAAATAATATGAAATATCATTATTAGTATTAATATTAATTAAATGCCTTCCACTCAAAAACAAAATGCATCTCAGTTGTGCTGAAATGGGTTAATTCTACTTCGTGGCCCAAAACACATTCCCACTATTGGTCCATATTTGATGTTCCTAGATTTTATTTTTGTGTAGATAGGCTTTTGTTCTATTCAACGACTTTAGTGACCACACATGGACAAACCATATAAATGAGGACAAACTCTGACTGTTACATTGGTTCTTACCCACAGAAGTAACAGTCAAGATCTTCTTCATTGGATAATAGCTGAATCCAATGTGGAGTATTCATCCAGGAGGATAAAGTAGATTTTTAAAAGAGTGAAAAGTATAAATTTAGATTTTTAAATAAAAGTTAGTTCTGCATTAGATTAATCATAAATATTGGTCCATGTCACATTTTCATCAATACAACAGTGCTATCCTTTTCAACTACTGAATTACTCAATTTTCAGTGTGAAATAACATAAAGAAGACCTTTTATAATCTGCCACCCAACACAAAAAGAACTAAAACTATTATTGATATCTGACTATATAACCTACCAAAAAGTAAAAAGTCCAGATAATATTTCAGTGGGAAAACTTTAGCAAAATGGAATGAATTTAAATTCTTATTTCATAAAACAACCCGAACAATGAGCCACACTGTACTTTCATACTTGTGTTTATCGATTTGTTGACTCATTTATTTATTCACTTTTTAAGCAACTCTAAGGATAATTTAATTATCTGCTCTTTTTTTTTCTACAGAAAACACAAAATGGTAGAGCTATCAACTACTCAAAACTAAATACTATTACATGCAACTTCCTATCTCAGCATTGTTTGCACTGATGGAACTTTCTGCAGTAATGGAAATGTCCTCTATTAGCACTATTCAATATGGTAGCCACTGGCCACATTTGGCTTAAAATGTGGCTAGTGTTACTAAGGAAGTGATCTTTTATTTTTAATTAATTTGAATTTAAATGTTAACAGTAAGATGTACTGGAGAGAATGGGAGTATATGATCCTTCCCCAAAGGAGGAGCCTGGATCTTTTTTATTTAAGTGGACTTTGCAAGCACAAACAGGATTTTTTTTTTTTTAGCACTGGATGTTATACTACATGTTGGCAAATTGAACTCCAATAAAAAAAGATACAAAAAAATAAATAAATAAATAAATAATAAAGTTAAAATTTAAAAAAAAAAGAACAGGGTTAATCACACTCCTTCATACATTATACATGTTTCTCACTGACCCATGATTTACATTCTTTTAAATAATGGATTGAAATATAAAATTATTCTTTTACTCACTAATAATAATAGCATCAATAATGATGAGCCCTAAGGATACTTCACAAGAAGGCTGAGTGATACTACAAGTATCCATTGGCTTTTCACTTTCAGAAATCATCAACAAAATACATTTACATTTTTCTCTCATTTTTAGTTATTTACTTATTTTTACATTTTTCTTTGAAAAAAAATCAATGAACATAATTACTATACTCACTCTTCTAATGTTCATGCTTCGGCCTTTCCTAAGTTTCAATAATTATTTAATAATTTATTTTATTTTTTAACACTGATTGTATTAAATTTTTATTTATTAAAATAATTTTATACTGGGCAGCCCGGGTGGCTCAGCAGTTTAGCGCTGAATTTGGCCCAGAGCATGATCCTGCAGATCCCCGATCGAGTCCCACGTGAGGCCCCCTGCATGGAGCCTGTTTCTCCCTCTGCCTGTGTCTCTGCCTCTCTGTGTGTCTCTCATGAATGAATAAATAAAATCTTTTAAAAAAATTATTTTATATTAATGGGTTTATCATGATTTGCTAGATTATTATTGGTATATGTATTCTACTAAGTATTGCTGATTACTATGCAATTATGTAAGTTTTTTGTCCCTTTTGAAAATAATACATGCCACCAATTCACTACCACCTCAAAACAATATTGATGTTCACATCTATCTATCATATGTTCCCAAAGGAGAAGCAGCCTTAGTCTACTTTATTTTAACTCAAAATTCCAGAAATATATTAATAATCCTGGATTCGTTAGCTCCTTTCATGATTAGATAAGGTATAGCCCTTTCTTTACTTATTCATAGTTGTGAACAATAAAACAATAACAACAGCACAAATCAAGACTACAGTCCTTGAATATTTCTAATTTTGTCTATAAGCATATTTCCTATGAACGCAATAGACCTCAGAGTTACAAATTGGGTTTAATCAAAAATTTTATTCAGATGCCCCACGCACACTCATCATTGATCCAGACTTGGTATTCTGTGCTTTCATTTAATATATTGTTCTGACTTATTCACTGACTCATTAATAATTCAGTCAACATGCACGAATTAGGAAAATAAAACAAAGACCCTTGAAAATAGGAGTATGTCCAAGAAAGTGACTTACTACAGAGCTACAGAACTGACTCTCTCTGTGCAATGTACCCCAGCATTGTAAATATGAATTAATCCATTTCCTTGCATCATCTTAATTCCATTAGTCATTGGTCCCTGCTTGGGCCTCTTTCATTTGACATCCGTGTTTTAAAGATGGTAGAGTGAACTACCACTGTGTGCCATGATTAAGGAAAAGGCAAAATTTCCCATTTTCTTATGTTCCTCCTTCAATGAGTTCATAGTCTGTAATGATGTCAACCAATGGACAAGTGCTTAAATCCACCATGGAACAAAAATAAAATGGAATATTAAAATGTTTTAAAGATGATTGAAATGATTTTCATCTTTCATTCCAATAAATTCAGTAATGCTGAAATGGATTAATCATAATTCTGAATTCATAACATATTTTAATCATTGGTCAATGCATGACCATCTTTGAATTGTTCATGTATGCAGCCATTTACTCTTTCAAAACATTTCAGTGAGTACCCATGACCAAGCCCCCAAGCAATACATGAACACTAATTATTGCTTTCATTGATCTCCTCTCTCTTTACCCAAAGAGATAAAAGGCAAGATCTTCACCATGAGATAAAAACCAAATCTAGTAGATTGTGCTCATTCTGAGGAGTAAAAAGCAAACTTTAAAAAGAATCAGTCTACATTTAACTATTTTAAATGATCAAAAATCTAGTAGCCATAAAACTTAGTTTGCATACTTTTGTAAACATCCGGAAGAGAGAACTCTACTTTATATTTACTAATTTGTGCAATTTTTTATTTTAAATAATATAATGAACATCACTGAACTTAGCATTAAAAAGAAGGAAGATAATTATAATTATTAGGAATATCTGTCTGACTTGATGGGATGAGCACTGGGTGTTATTCTGTATGTTGGTAAACTGAACACCAATAAAAAATTAATTTATTAAAAAAAAAGGAATATCTGTCTGGACTTGCTACCCATGTAGGTAAAAGTCAGGATCATCTTTTCTGTTGAATTTTATTTGTGCAGAATTGGATACCTGGGAGATTCAATTCAGGACACAATCTCACCAATGATCCAAGCTTGACCATACTTAATAAATTTATTATTCACTCACTAATTGTTCTGTTTAATTACTCATGGGATAATAAGGATATCCCTTCATTTTTCTAAAAGAATTCCAAAAATTAAACAACCATCAAAACAGAAGCAAAAAACTTATTATTTACAAATGTCTGCATGCATCATTAGAAAGGCCTAGAGCTTTTTGTCTTCCTATGGATATCAGTCGTGTAAAACATCATGATCTTTACATCCAACTGCATGCTTTCCTTTCATGCATTGTGGGCTTTTTAAAAAACTGATATAAATGCAAATGCATTTGCTCACTTATAATTATATTTCAATATATGTCAGCCCTCCCACACCAGATAAGTACCTTGAATAATATTTACATTTGTCCTTATGTCATTACCCAAAAGAATAGCAAACTGATTCTTTAATATCTGTTTGCTTACATAAAACTGCATAAAGAGATTGCATTAATCATGAGTGTGGTTGTATAAAACATTATCATCATTGCTCCATGCTCTCCCTCTCAATTACATAGTTTATTCAATCAACTACTTATGTAAATGTATTTCCCTTTCCTTAATAAAATGATCAATTGGCAATATGCCTCAACATAAAACAAAACACTGACTCTTATGCACAGTTGACCATATGCCCCTTAACAAAGTGATAAAAGCCTTGGCTATTAATTTATTGGGAATAAATACCTCAAAATTGTTTTTAATAACTACTCACGTTCCATTATATGCCTTAAAAGTAGTGCATCCTTATCTCTCTTATTCTTTATTCATTGATATATTTCTTTATTCATGGGCTAATTGTATTATAATAATGCAATTCATACCCCAAACCACAAAAGCCCACGAATAAGATGCTGTAGGCTCATTTCCCACAAAGAGAATAATGAGGTGTTTCTTTGTAATGGACCTCAGTTGCAGATGGGTTTAATCAAAATTCTTGTTTCAGAAACCCCATGACATTCATCATTGGTCCATGCTAGGAAATTTTTGTTTATTGATTAATTTTCTGATTCACAAATAATAATACAATCACAAAATTCCAAAAACAAGATCCTTGAATTTTAGGCTTTTCTCCTATAAAGCTAACAAACTCATTTTTTACAAAGACACTCAAAGCTGCACGTGTGGATGGGTCAACTTCCCTGCTTTGTATCAAACCCACATTTAGCACTGCTTCCTGTGTGGCCCTCTCTTATTTAATTTGTCCATATGTCAAAGATGGTTCGATGAAAAATAATGAAACCACCATCTTCAATCACCTCTGGGCTGCTCCCAAAGAGCTATCAGCTACCTCTATCCATATGGGAATGCTTAAATCAACCATGGTAAAAAAAAAAAAATAAAGAATACTAAACTGCTCTGAAAATAAATTAAGTAACTTCTATCTTCTTTTAAAATTACCTCCACTGTACTGCTTTAGATTAAACATAATTTTTGGTTTATAACACATTCCCATATCAGTCTACACTTGGAGTGTTTTATTTATTTTGTATGTGTAGTACACAATTATTTACTTTGGTATCTTCAGATAGCACCCATGAACAAGCCATCCAAAGAATGTGAACTAAGAGACTTACTTATATTAGTCTTCATGCTCCTGGTTGACTACAATAATTCTTACTAAACGATTGAGTCAGCCATGCTATTGTTCACTCTGCGTAGGAAAAAGCAGATTTGGACTATATTTAGAATTTTTTAATGGCTGTTAGACAAAGCTAGATACCAGTAAGAACTTTGGCTCAAACATGCAATTCTTTATTAATCCAGGACAGAATTCTTAGTGATAAGTAATATAATAAATACTATTAAGTTCATCACCTAGTCCAAAGTTAAGATCTATAATGGTTACAAATATCTACCTGTATCAACACTTATTAAAGAGATGGTTATCTAACAGATTATTGACTGATGAAAACACTTTCCTTTTCCGTAGTTTAAAAAAACCCATCAAACTACAGAAACTCGAAACACTGCCTCTTAGCTGTACACACTAATATGTTCCACAAAAAGGGGGATTACAGAGTAAGCCTTTCCATTTTCCTTCAGGATTGTATTGATATTAATAGTGTTTACTGCACTCTGCTAATCGTCCCACAAGGAGGCTTTTGGTGTTTCATGTATTCATTTCTTTATTTATTCACACATTGATTCACTTGAAATAATACAATCCATATCCATGAACCACAAAAGCCTGGGGCAAGTTTATTGAATTTTCCTAACTTCTACTATTAGCTAATTTCTACAGAGAATATCGACCAATTCCTGCTCTGTAATGGACCTCAGAGTTACACAGAGGGCTTCATCAAAGGTGTTGATTCAGATACCTCCACCAATACTCATCATTGATCCAGGCACAGCTTGCTAGTTCTTCATTCACTTAGGCCTTCTTGAATGGATTCATTCATTCATGGACTCATGAATAATAATTATACAATCAATAACCTTTAATGACACAAAACTGAGAACAAAAGTCTGAAAGACTACCAAGATCTGCTCATTGCCCCCTTTATGGAGAGCAAATAGTCACTCACTTTTCACAATGAACTTCTGTTTTGCCATAGGGATTAATCAGCATGCTTGCTTCACATCAATCCCTTACTTGTGACTGGCATCCACCTGCTTTTCTTTCACCGACTTGCCTATACATTAAAGCTGGTGTCATCAACAACCACAAACCTATCATCTTAACCCACAAGTGACAAAACTGACCTCTGCCATCCTTCAAGATGTTCTAGCCTCAAAGGGTTAATAACTGAAATTTTTATCAGTAAAGGAATGTATTAAGCAAAGGTGGAAAAATTTATTAAATGGGAGGATACACTGCTTTGAGAATATGTGAAATGCCCCCTCCCCCTCACCTTAGTGATGGTCCTTAGTTGGGATACATTAAAGTAAATACAAATTTTAATTCATGACACATTTCAATCACTGAGCTCAGGACTGACACTCTTTAATTTCATATATTACTTAACTATTTATTTTATTGAAATAATTTAGTGGGCTTCCGTAAATAACCTCCATCTTAGAACACAAACATTGATATTTACTTACATCAGTTTTTATGCTTCTCAATCTCAGAATTAACAGCCAGGTCTCACAATTATAGGATGATTAAATCAGCTCTATAAACAAAGGAAAAAGTGGGGAGGGAAGTCAATTTGTAAAAACAGTGAAAACAGAGTTCGCTTTCCTAAACTGAAACTAGTGAGAGGACTAGTTAATCAGAAGTTCTATTTCATAACACATTCTTATCATTTTCCCAAGGATGGTACTCTCTTACTTAGTAAAATTTTTACTAAATAATTTGAATACTATTGAATTTCTTGCTCAGCACAAAATTAAATAAAAATTACCAAATAGAAACATCTGACTTTACTTGCTACCTACCTAGAGGGAGCCATCATCACCTTTTTATTAGACTTCTATGTGTTAAATTTAATGTATTTAATTTAGTTTTCTGATCCAATCTCCCAATTCTCCACTACATGGATTTATGGATTTATGGATTCACTCACTTACTGGTTGTTTTTATTATTCAGGGAATAACAATACCATCTTTCTAAAGAAAACTCGAAAAGGTTAAACATCAACCCAGAACCAAAATATCACAATTTGGAAAGGTCCAGATGCATCTTTCAAAAAACGGAAGAGCCTAAAATTTCCTAGAATATTTGTCATTGGAAAACTAAGATGAATCAAAAGTCCTCATATTTAAACATGTGTTCCTAATTGGTCCATGATTTGCTTACTTTTTAAAAATAGATTGATATATAAAATTATACTTTCTCTTATACAAAGACACTAGTAACTGTGATCTTATCCACCAGACAAGAATAGTGAACAAAATTTATGTCTGACCATAGCCATTACCATCAATAACAGACTTGCCTCTTTTTTTATTGTTTGAATAAAATTGGTTTAAAAAGATTGGATTAATGATGAGTGTAGTCATATAAATCATTCTCATCATTGGTCTCTGCCTGTCTCTCAATTCTGTGGTTATTTAACTATTATAGAGTAAATGTGTTGCCATTTCCTTAATAAAAGAATCAGTTGACAACCCACCACCAACAAACACTCCTGGGTATTATGTACAAATAGCCAGATAGCCCTTTAATTTACTATTAATTTATTGGAGTAAGAGTTTCAGACAAATTTTAATAATACTACTCCATGTTGCATTACATTCCTTAATAATAAGTGTATAATTTGTCCTCTTTTTTTCATTCATTGGTGCATTTTTTTAATTTGTGGGTCAATTTTAGAATAAAATAACAGTCCATCACTAAGAACCACAATAGCCCAAGCACACGGCACCATGTGCTCCATTCCCACAGAGGGAATAACTACGTGTCTCTTTGTAATGGACCTCAGAGTTGCATATGGGTTTAATCAAAACTCCTGTTTCAGATACCCCATGGTACTCATCATTGGTCCAGGCACGTTTTTCTTCCTTAATGTCTTATTTATTTATTTATTTATTTATTTATTTATTTATTTATCCATCAATCCATGAATAACAATACAATCATAAAATTCCAAGAACACTATCCTCCCACTAGTGGCTCTTTCCCTAAAGAGCAAATAGATTAGATCTCCTTTTACAATGGACCTCAGAGAACACATCTGATCACTTAATATCCATGCCTCATTCCAAATCCACATTCACCATGGGTCTTCCTGTGGCTTTATTTTATTTTATTTGCCCATGTCTTAAAGATGGTTCAATGGAAGGTTATGAAACACCACCTTAATCACATCTCAAAACAAAGTCTTCCATTTTCTTACAGGCTGCCACACAAAACAGTTGTCAGCCAGTACTACCCCAATATGGAAATGTTTGAGTCCTCTGTAGAGGAAAATAAAGTGTAATATTAGGTAATTCTGAAAATGAATGAAATGACTATTTTTTTAATCACTTCAGTTGTACCCAATTGGATTAAAAGTAATTTTTGATTGATAACATATTCCCATCACTGGCCATCATATATGGAGATTTTTATTTCTTTTATAGACAATGATTCTTTCAATACACCACTAAACACTTGTGAACAAAAGCATCCCAACCAAGGTTGGGAACTCTGAATCTTACTTACATTTGTCTCTATGTTCTTTACACACAGAGCTAACTGTCAAGATGTTGTTTCTTAGAAAATGAGTAAGTTTGCTGTTTTATGGTCATTCTGTGAAGGAAAATGTAGAATTAACCTAGGTTTTTTAACGTATGTTAATCATGTAGAACTGGATAGTAATAAACTTTGGCACTTCTTAGTCTAATATTTACTTTCACTTTTAAATAATGTACTAACCACTGTCCAATAAACCTCATAAGAATAAAAACAGTATCTATCAAAAATCTTTATATTTTAATAGTTTTAACAGAATAAAAAACAATTTTAACAGATGTTACTTTTGCAGAATTGGATACATTTAAATCCTTATTGGGACACCGAGTGGCTCAACAATTGAGCATCTGCCTTTGGCAGGGGTCATGATCCAGGGGTCCTGGGATTGAGTCCTGCATCAGGCTCCCTGCTAGGAGCCTGCTTCTTTCTCCCTCTGCTTCTCTCTCTGTGTCTCTCATGAATAAATAAATAAAATCTTTTTAAAAATAAATAAAATAAATCCTTACTTTATATTCTCTGTAATGACTCATGCCATGACCAAATCAAAATCACAATGAGATACCAGCTCACACTGGTCAGGATGGCTAAAATTAACAACTCAGGAAACAACAGATGTTGGTGAGGATGCAGAAAAAGGGGAACCCTCTTACACTGTTGGTGGGAATCCGAACCGGTTCAGCTCCTTTGGAAAACAGTATGGGAGGTCCTCAAAAAGTTAAAAATAGAGCTACCTTGTGATCCAGCAATTGCACTACTAGATATTTATACAAAGGATATAAACATGGTGATTCGAAGGGATACATGCACCCCAATGTTTATCGCAGCAATGTCCACAATAGTTAAACTATGGAAAGAGCCTAGACGCCCATCCACAGGTGAATGGATAAAGAAGGTATAGAGAGAGAGACTCTGTGTGTGTGTGTGTGTGTGTGTGTGTGTGTGGTGTATCTATAATGGAATATTATTCAGCCATCAAAAATAATGAAATCTTGCCATTTGCAACAATGTGGATAGAACTAGAAGGTGTTATGTTAAGCAAAAAAAGTCAGAGAAAGACAAATACCACATGATTTCACTCACACGTGGAATTTAAGAAACAAAACAGATGAACATAGGTGAATGGCAGGAAAAGTAAAATAAGATGAAAAGAGGGAGACAAACCAAAGGAGATGCTTAACTCTAGGAAACAAATTCAGGGTTGCTGAAGGGGACATGGGTGGGGAGGGGGTAACTGGGTGATGGGCATTAAGAAGGGCACATGATGTAATAAGCAACTGATGAATCACTGTTCTACCTCTGAAACTCATAATACACTATATGTTAATTAAATTGATTTTAGATTTATTTTTTTTAAAAAAAGACTAAAACTAAAACAAAAAATCTGCTACCAGAGGACATTTACCAATGTCTAGAGACATTTTTGATTGTCACAACTGCAAGGGGGTGGTCAATACTGGCATCGAGTAGAGGCCATGAAGTTACTAAACATTCTAAAATGTACAGGCAGCCTTCCCAGCAATGAATTATCCAGCCCAAAATGTCAGTAATGAGAGGTTGAGAAAATCCTGCTGTACCCTCTTCAAAATAATTGGTTGAGACATAAATGTATTTATACATTCACTCACAGTATCATCGATACCTACAAACATACAAACTGGATTAGAAATTTAAATGGAATTAACAGCTGTTCATATGCTCATTACTCCCAGATAGAACCAACTAGATCATATTTTCTTATTTTCAACAAGCAACCAGCATCTTAAAGACAATACAGAACAATACCACATTGCTTCCCTGGTACTCATCTGTGTCTGTTCCTGTCCCAAATAGTTATGAGATTTAATCAATTTATTTTAGAACTGAGTGCTTCACAAAATATTAATAATAATAAGCACATTACACAGTCTCATATTGGGCCACATATAGCTCTTTGTTCATTTATATATTTATTTATTCATTTATTAATTTGCTTATAGTGTTACAATCCAGACCTATAAACCTTCATAGCTTAAGAACAAAATCTTGGATATTACTAACCTCTGCTGTAGATGGATTTACCATATAGGCATTAACTAGGTCTCTGACCTCAGAGTTATAGGGTTTAATCAAAATCATTGATTCAGACACCCCAGGATACTCATCATTGGTCCAAACATGGTACCTTTTCCTTTACTCATTAATACCTTTGTTTACTGGTTCCCTCATTAAGTTACTAATAGTAAGAAAGGCAATACACATGAATCACAAAACATAAAAATACGACCCTAGAATACTACTAAATTATATCTGTAGGTTTATTTTCCATAAAACTAAGAAACTACTTTTTTACAATGATTCTCGGCATTATACACACAGACTGTCAAACTACTTGTTTCACATCAACCCCATATTTATACTTTGTCCGTGCTTGCCCTTCTTTCATTTAGTTACCCCATGTTTTAAAGATGGTACATAAGGTAGCCAGCCTCCAAGATGGCTCCCAATGATTCATGGCTTCTGGCATTCCAGCCTTGTGTAATCTCTCCCATTTGAAATAATGCCTGGCCTCTATGACCAATAGAATCCCGTGGAAGTGAAGGTATAGGACTCCTGAGTCTAGGTTATAAATACATTGAGGCTTCCATCTTCCTCTCTCTTGGATTGGCTGTTCTTTGCAAAGTCAGCTGTCGTGTTGTGAGGATACTCAAGAAGTCATGAGGAGAAGTCTAGGAAGGGATTGTGGTCTCCCACCAACAACCAGCACCATGAAAGTGAGCCATGGAAGCAGATCCTCCAGCCCAGTCAAGCTTTTAAATGACTGCACTTTACCACCTGACATCTTGACTCAAACCACCCAAGAGAACCTAGGCCAAACTGCCCATCCATCCACTCCTGGATTCCTGCCCCATAGAAACTGTGACAGATAACAAATGTTTATTCTTGTTTGAAACCACTAAGTTATAGGGACACCTGGGTGGCTCAGAGGTTGACCGTCTGCCTTTGGCTCAGGGCGTGATCCCGGGATCCCAGGATCCAGTCTCGCATCAGATCCTGCATGGAGCCTGCTTCTCCCTCTGCCTATGTCTCTGCCTCTGTTTCTGTGTGTCTCTCATGAATAAATAAATAAAATCTTGTTTTTAATTTTTTTAACAACCACTAAGTTATAGGGAAATTTGTTGCACAGCAGTAGAAAACTAATATAATACAATGATGAACCAACCACCATCATATCTCACAATGAGGATACTGATACTACCTTCCCATTTCATATTTGCCCCCTGACATATGAAGAGTTAATGGCCTAGATCTTTATCATTGAAAAAATGTTTGAATTAACCATGATGTCAAACTAGAACATTAAAAGCCCTAAAAATGCATAAAAGTCCTCCATGTTTTAATAAAACCTAATTGCACTAAATTAGATGAATTGTAAAATTTGGTTAATTTCCTATTATGGGTCTCTGCATGGCATCCTTTCATTTTATTTAGGTATTAAGTATTTATTCCTTTGACATAATGTCATAATGAACAAACCATCTAAACCAAGGACATGAATACTAACTATAATTTACTACAATCTCTAGGCTCCTTACCCACAAAGGTAAAAACTAGAATCTTTATTACTATTGAAAAATTAAATCAGCTATAGCATTTTCATTCTGTAAGTTAAAAATACACTTTTTAAAAAGAACCAGACTTCTTTATAAAAAAGACTCGATTTTTTTTAATGGACTGAAATCATGAGGTACTGGATGAATAAACCTTGATTCCAATCACATTCTCATTATTGACTCAAGAATGACTCTATTTTTTATTGACTTATTTACTGTTTAATTTTTAATTTACATAGTGAACACTGTTAAATCCACCACCCACTAGTTGCTAAATGTAACTAGTACTAGTAGCCATCTGTATACTCCCTAACCACATGGCTGACAGCCTCATTAATCTTTAAGATTCCATACTCCTGCACTGCTCAGAGTGTGCCATGAAGCACTGGCCTAAGATTTACTTTAATTTATATACATTTATTGATTCATTCATGTTTCTCTCTTATTTAATCACTCAAAGAATGCTTCGATTATTTGTTCTTTTTTATTTTTAAAGAAAAAAAGTAAAACCCATCAGTACTCCAAAATTGAAATACTAGTTCATGCAATTGCTGATATCCACTTTGTCCAAAGTGGGATTAAGTCTAGATTTCTTCCTCTTCATCTAAAATGGTTTAATCATTATATTTACTTCATGACATCTGCTCCTCTGCCTGCTTTTAAATAATTGACCAATATATAAACTCTGTTCATTAACTTTTAACAATACATTCAAAGTGAAGGCAAGCTAGGGCCCTGGACAAGGACATTGGCTAATACTAGTATCTGTCCATATGTTCATTGTCCACAGATAGAACTTGGTAGATTCCTTTTTGTTTTTTCAAATAATAATGAACAGAATTTGTTTGATCATACCTACTATCAAATTCTCAATATTAGTCCATGCTGGGCTTTCTTTCAATCAGGCACCTATTTAAGCAATTGTTTTTAATGTAAAGGATTTATTTCTGAGAACAGGACCAACAACCAGCTACCTTCCAGCAAATGTGAAACAACATGGACTTTCATAGAATAGGATACATATTCTTTATGGAAAAAAGTAAGATAAACTTGATCTACTTATGATGAAACTCAGAGTTTCAAGGAATAATATAATAATAATCCTTGTTTCATTGCAAACTCAAATAATTAGTCATCATTCACTTACTCATCTTTATTCTCGCACTGCATTACTTACGATACATTTCACAGACATTATGAACTAAAGCTCAGGAACCAGATCATTGACTCCTCCTAACTTTTTGCTGCAAATCTCTCTCTCACAGAAGAAATAACCAGATTTCTTGTTTCTAATGGACCTCCAAGTCACAGAGTTTAATTAAAATCTTTGATTCATACATCTCAGAATATTCATCATTAATCTATACTGAACATCATTTTCTCCCTTTATTTATGCACTGCTTATCCCTTTATTCATTGATTCACTAATAATAATATAATCCATTCTCATAAATCAAAAAGCCCAAGAACGACATCCTTGAATGTTGAGAGGACTGGCTCCATGCCCATTTCCCGCAGTGCTAATAGACAAGGACCTTTTTTGCAATACATATGTATGCTCTTCGCAAATATAAATTAGTCAACATCCTTGCTTCATATCAATTTCATGGGTCCATGCTGGCCCTTTTATATTTAAAGATGATTCAAGAAATAACCACAGGACCTTTAATATTTCTCCACATCCAGAATACCAACCATTTTGTCCATCTTCCTGTGTGCTCCTGCCTCAAGGAATTCATAGCTTAAATCTTTATCAATGGAGATGTACTTAAACATATTTCAATGCAAAATAAAACACAATGTGGAGCAGCCCCAAAAATTAATGAAACACCTCGCATCTTTTTTTATTGAATTCCAGTAGTACTAAATCAGATTAATCATAAATCCCAATTCGGGTCTGTGCTAGTGTTACTTGGCTTTACTTATTAATATATCCATTCATTACTTTGAAAAATTCAAGCAACACCCATAAGCCAACCTCACAACCCAAGAATATAAACTGCTACTTACATCAATTTCTTCTCTCCTTACCCACACGGTTTGTGAAAGGCAAGATCTTTAGCATTAGAGAATGATTAAATCATCTGTGGTGTTTTCACTTGGTGAAAATGCAGACTCTCAAAAGAGAGAAAGAGCCTGTAGTTAGAATTTTTAAAGTGGAGGTTAATCTTGTAGTATCAGATCAATCATGAACAAGGGTCCTTTTAGAATGTCGTCATTATCCATGAATCGCACTCTCATTTATTGACTTACTTAATTTTTCTTCTTAAACAACACAGTGAACACCAACATGAGAAGAAGAACCATTACCTACCATAAATATCTGTCTATGTACTCCCTATCCATAAATTTAACAACTCAGTGGTTGCTTTTAATGGACCTCACTTGTACAAAATTGGATAAATGTAAATCTTTGTTTTATGGCATATTCTCACCAATGAAGCACAAATTTTTCTGATTGATGTCTACTGATTCATTTATTTATTCATATATATAATTAGGCATAAAATAAATCAATTACCTACCCATTTTTCTAAAGAATTTCTCCATGCAAATTTCTATGTTCACTTGAACCTAATATTACACTGTATGTTAACTAACTGGAATGTAAGTTAAAACTCGAAAAAAAAAAAAATGTGTGCTTTACCCAAAGTGGAAGAAATTGGTATTTCTATTTCTTTATCTGGACAACATTTGGATATAAAAGGAGCAATCATTACCTTTGGTTCATAACACATATTCCTCATTGGCCCTTGCTCAGCCTTCTTTTGAATAATTAACCTATGCAGAAATGCACTCCTTCATTCCCTTATGACAATATGCCAGTATCAATGAAAACCAAGGCACAGAACAGGAATACTAAATATCCAGTCTCCATGCTCATGGCCCAGAGACATAACTGATTACTAAAACCTCTTCTGATTTTTTTTTAAATTAAGCTAGTGAATACAGTTATATTAATTGTAACTCTGGTCATATGACACATCCTCATAGGTTCACGTCTGGCCCACTCTTAATAAGACAATATTTAAACAATTATGCTTTTTATGTAAGCCTTTATTTTTTGTCCTTCTTAACTAAAACCACCACACAAACAATCAAAACAGCAACATGAACTCTTAGGTGTATCTGTCCATACCTGTCCTTATGGTAGAGTTCAGAGCTTTAATTGAATCTTTGGAAACTGGTGTTACAAATATACACTAATTATAATCTTTTATTACATAACTTCATAGTTGGTCCACATGTGGTCTTCCTTATCTTTGCTCATTTACACATTTCCTTATTCATTCCTGAGTTCATTTCCCAAAGAGTCTACCTTATGTCCTTTTTGCAATAGTCCACAGATTTCCAGACTAGGACTAACACAAATTTCTTTGTTTGTTCCATTTTTATTTTTTTTTATCTTTTTAAGTTTTTATTTAAATTCCAGTATAGTTAACATACAGTGTAATGTTAGTTTCAGGTGTACAATATAGTGATTCGGCACTTCCATACAATACCCAGTGCTCATCACAAGTGTACCCCTTCATCCCCATCAATTGTTTCCCCTATTCCTGCCCCTGACCTTCCCTCTGGTAACCCTCAGTTTGTTCACTATAAGTAAGAGTTTGTTTCCCACTTTGTCTCTCTTTTTTTCCCTATCTCATTTTATATTGTTAAATTCCAAATTGGAATGAAATCATATATTTATCTTTCTCCGATTGGCTTATTTTGCTTAGCATAATATTCTCTAGCTCTATCCATGTCATTGTAAATGACAAGATTTCATCCTTTTTGATTAATATATATATTTATTAATTCTTTAAGTAATTACCTAGTAGTGCAGTTGCTGGATTGTAGCTTAGTTCCATTTTTAACTTTTTAAGGAACCTCCATACTGTTTTCCATAGTGGCTTTACCAGTTTGCATTCCCAGCAATAGCGTGAGAGGGTTTCCTTTCCCCATATCCCACAGGATTTTATTTTATTTATTTTTATTTATTTTTAAGATTTTATTTATTTATTCATGAGAGAGAGAGAGAGAGAGAGGCAGAGACACAGGCAGAGGGAGAAGCAGGCTCCACGTGGGGAGCCCAACGCAGGACTCAATCCTTGGGTCTCCAGGATCACGCCTTGGGCCGAAGGCGGCGCTAAACTGCTGAGCTACCCGGGCTGCCCCCCACAGGATTTTAGGTTCAGACTCAGCCTCCACTCGAGGTCTCATCATTGTCTCCAGCTTTGCACTCTTTTTCTTCAGTCCTTTATCCTTTTGTTTATTGATTCATTCACTGCTCCAAAAATAATATAGTCAATACATATAAATCACAAGAGTTCAAAAATATTATCTTGAAAATTACTGAGATCTATGCATATGCTCATTTCCCACAAAGCTAATATATTAGATCTCTTTTTGCAATGGCCTTCGGAGTAGCACACATGTGCTTCCTGAATATTTTGAAGAGATGAATGTTAAAATCCACTGTCATGTAAATATCATGTATAAACATGTATGAAACACCTGCCTTTTGTTAGGAGTCATCAGTTGTGCACAACTGAATCAATCATCATTATCTATGGTTCCTAATCTATCCCTGTCATAGGTAATGTACAGCATTCTTTAATGTTATACTTTCATGTAGCTCTTTATTAATTGAAATACTTCAGTGAACACCCTTGAGGAAGTTCCCCTAACCAAGCACATAAACTTTGACTATTACTTCAGTATTTATGCTCCTTAACCACAGATCCAAAATCTTCATCATTAGATTTCATTAAAGCAACTATTCTGTCTTAATTCTGAGAGAAAAATCAGGCTTTAAAAATAATGGGAAAAAAATAATGACAAAAAACATAAATTTAGGTATGCTTAAAAGATATTAATTGTAGAGTTCTAGATTAAACATAAAACTTAAAAAAATAAAAATAAAAAAATAAAAATAAACATAAAACTTGCTTCTTTTCATTGGCTCAAGAATATCACTACTGTTTATTTACTTAATCATTTAATTTTAAATAATATAATGAACACCGTGAAATCTAACACTCAACCCACAAGGGATAACTACGATAATTATAAACATGCCCACGTACTTCACATAGGTAAAATCTACATTGTCCTTTTCAAAGGATCTCCCCTGTACTGACTGGATAAATTTATTTTTTTTTAAATTTTTTTTCTTTTATTTATTTATGATAGTCACAGAGGAGAGAGAGAGAGAGAGAGAGAGGCAGAGACACAGGCAGAGGGAGAAGCAGGCTCCATGCACCGGGAGCCCGATGTGGGATTCGATCCCGGGTCTCCAGGATCGCGCCCTGGGCCAAAGGCAGGCGCCAAACCGCTGCGCCACCCAGGGATCCCCTGACTGGATAAATTTAAATCCTTGTTTCACAGCATATTTTAACAATGGTCTATGGTTGACTCTACATAATGTATTCATTCATTCATTCATTCATTCATTCAATTACTCATGGAATAATGTTAACTGTTGTTCATTATATAAAGAAAAAGCAGGAGCACCTGGGTGGCTCATTCAGTCAAACATCTGACTCTTGATTTCCGTTCAAGTCATGATCTCAGGGTTCTGAGATGGAGCCCCAAGTCAGGCTCCTCACTCAGCAGGGAGTTTGCTTGAGGATTTCTCTCTCCCTCTCCCTCTTCCCCTCCCCACACTCACTCTCATGAGCTGTCTCTCTCTAAAATAAATGAACAAATCAAAAGAAAGAAAGAAAAAAAGAAAGAAGAAAAAAGAAAAGAAAAGAAAAAAGAAAAAGAAGAGAAAAGAAAAGGCAAAGGTGGTAGCTTCACTGTTTCACTTATGGTGAGCACAGCATAACATATAGAGTTGTCAAATCACTATGATGTACATCTGAAACTAATGTAACACTATGTGTTAACTATACTTTGACTTAAAAAAACAAGAAAAAAAAAGAAAAAGTGAAATGGTAAAATAGGCAGCACCTCAGAAAGGAAATAACTACTACATGTATCTGTGTACATTATACAAAGCAGGAAAAGCCTAGCTTTTTTTAAATATGCATAGAGTAGTGTAAAACAGGATAATCATCATCCTTATTCCATAATAAGGGCCCTTGCTGGTGTATGATTTTCACCTTTTAAATAAAATATGAATCCATTCATACGCTTACAATAACATATAATGTGTCATTATTATAATTATAACTCACTGGACAAAACTTTGAATAATATTAACATGTGATCATATGCTCACAGTAAACCATCTTGTTACAGGATCTATTCTCATCACTGGTCTGTAACCTCTTTTTTCAATTAGAGCCTTATTATTTACTTATGCAAACATTTTTCCCTTTTCTTAATAGAATAAACCATCAGCAACCCACCATCAATTCATAATCACAACATTCAATCTTGGGCATATCTTTCTATCTGCTCCCTGCTGAACAGAGTAAAACCTTGACCTACTTATTTTTCTAGACCTCACTACTTCAGAAAGGTCTCAAAACATACTCTCATAATTGAACGAGGTGTGGCTTTCCTTGTCATCATTCACCCCTTCATTTCTTTCTTTAATCAGGCCTTATTTCATTTGTGAATAAAAACATCCCACACCCAAGGAACACAAAGCCTAGGAAAAGGATCCTGAATATTCCCTTCTTCCTTCACAAGTACATTCACCACAGAGGAACTCTTCCTCTTCTTGGAATGACCTCAGACCTACAGAGCTTCATCAAAATCTTTAATTCAGACACCCCAGGGTACTCATCACTGATCCAAACTTGGCAATTGTTAAAAAGATTTTATTTATTTATGAGACAAGGAGAGAGCACGAGCAGAGGGAGGGGCAGAGGGAGAGGGAGAAGCAGACTCCCCACTGAGCCAGAGTGGGGGGGGTCCTCCATCCCAGGACCCTGAGATCATGACCTGAGCCAAAAGCTAATGTTTGACTGAGCCACCCAGGCACCCCTAAACATGGCTTTTTTTGGTCTTCATTCATATCTTTCTGCATCATTTTTACATGCACAAATTTTAACAATACAGTCAATAGCCACGAATCACAAATGCCAAGAATGAGATGTATGATTCTTACTAACGTTAGCCTATCCTCACTTGTCCCACAAAGCTAATATATTTGATGTCTTTATTCAGTGCACCTCTGGTTGCACATGGGGATTGACAGTGAGCTTCATATCAACATCACATTGATACAGGTTTTTGTTTGTCTCCTTACAAGTCCACATTGCAAAGATGGTAAAATGAACAACTGTCAACCCTCCTCTTCCCTAAAATAATGTAATTTTCTCCCATCGTCCTATGTTCTCCTCCCTCAGCAAGTAAATGACCTTGATCTTTATCAACGAAGGGATATATACTTCTAAATATACTTTGGTGCCAAACTAAAATGACATATTATTAGGTGGCCTTGAAAATGACTAATCTAAAAAAAAAAAAAGAAAAAAAGAAAATGACTAATCTATGAACCTTGATTCATAACATATTTATACTCTTGGTCAATGCTTGATGTTCTTTGATTTTATATATATGTGTATCTACCTATCTATCTATCTATCAAGCCAGTTTTTTTAAAAAAATTTATTGGAAATTCATGAACAATCTCCTCAGAGAACAGGAACTTTGAAAGCTATTTATATTGGTCTCTGTGCTCTTTGCCCACAGAGGCAACAAGTAAGATCTTTACCATTAGAGAATTATTAAGCTGGCTTTGGTGTGTTCTTGCTTTAAGTGAAAAAGCCAATTCTAAACAGTCTCTATTAAATGTGTCTAAGTGGACGTGAGTTTTACATTGCCTGATTAATAATAAAGCTGGACTGTATCACATTCCCAGTGTTGGCACAAAAACCGTACTCCTTTTTATCAGTTCATTTTATTTTTAATTTTTGGCAATGTAGTAAACATCATGGAATCTGAGGTTTGACTCAAGAAAAAGGCTTGTAACCATTATATTCCCTACTCTTGATAGCCTAGTAATTATTTTCCAGAACTTTACTCGTGAAGAATTGTATGGATTTAGAACCTGGCATCATGGCACATTCTCAACAGTCTTAGTTTTATCACTTATTTATCTAATTACCAATGGAATAATGTGCTCATCTATTTATTTCTCTAAAAGCATACATAATATATGAAAACTCATGTTTCACAGCATTTTACACATATAATGTAAATAGATAATATGGTAAAATTATGTATATACATATATAATAGTAAACTTTCCAACTGAAGCCCAGAACTGAAATACCATCATTACATAAAACTGTTTCTATGTCCTTAACCCAAGTAGGAAGAAACTAGACCTCATCTTTTTTATATGGCCATCAGTAGGGTAGATTAAGATTACTTGTTAATGCTCCATATTGTCCATAATTTTACCTCTTTCAAGTAATCATTTGAAATGATCATATTGGGGCACCTGGGTGGACCAGTTGGTTAAGTGTCCAACTTTTTATTTCAGCTCAGGTCATGATCTCAGGGTCATGAGATGGAGCCCTGCAGCGGGTTCCACACTGGGTGTGGAGCCTGCTTAAGATGCTCTCTCTCCCTCTCCCTCCACCCTCTCCTCCTCTAAAAAAATAAAATAAAATAAACTGATCATATTCACTCACTCAATAACTTATAATAATATATAATTACTTGAGATTCTATAGACCCTATACTTGCACACTTAGACATACTATCAACTGCCCACACACTCACTGCCCACAGAAATAACTGTCTCTTTTCAGTTTGTGCTCTCAAATAAAATTCAGGGAACACAATTAGATTAATCATGACTGGTGTCACATAGCACCTCCTCAACACTGACTCGTTCTTGCTTCTTTTCAATTAGAGTTATGTAATCATTGGTTTATATAAACATTTTTTTCCTTCTTCTTAACAAAACTAACAACCAGCAAATTCCCAGCAATGAGACTCTGGACATGAACATGTTGATACATCTGTGTGTGCTCCTATGTGTCTGGACTTCCTATGTGCTCTAAAGGGGACAACAGCTTTAACCTATATATAGGTAATATATATTCAATATATATTATATTGAAATTCAATGTTAAACAAATATGTTACTAATAATACTTGTTTCATGACAAGTTCTCGTAAGTGATTACATGTGATCTTCTTTGTCTTCATTCACTTACACATTCATTTATTCATGCATTCACTGATTCACTTACACAATACAATCCATACACAAAATCACTAAGACCCAAGAACCAGATCACCAATGGGCTTGAACTCTATTCCCTTAAAGAAAACGACTAGGTCTCTTTTATTGCTTTTTCAATTTCAGTTCCTGTATAGTTAACATACAGTGTTATTATATGGACCTCAGAGTTAAGGGTTTAATCAAAATTCTTGATTCATATACCCCAGAACTACTCATCATTGATCCAAGCTCAACATCCTTTTACTTCGTTTATTTATGTATACATTGTGTATTGATTGTTTATGCATTACTTATTGATTACTTCATTCATGACTTCACTGATATAAAAAAGGTACTTCCTATGAATCACAAAAATCTAGGAACAAGATCTTTGAATGTTGCAGGGAGCTGTTTATAGGCTTATTTCCCACAGAGCTAGTAAATGAGATCTCTTTTTAATTGGACCTCAGTGTTGCACGTATGGATTAATCAATAAACTTGCTTCATACCCATCCCATGTGTTTCACTGCACTCTGCTTGCTCATCTTTCATTTAATTTCTTCATATTTTAAAAATAGTACACTGACCCTGCCTTCGACTTTCTCCACAACTAGAATGCTGGCAATACTTTCCATCTTCCCAGGTGCTCCCTCCTCAAAGATTTAACTATCTAGATAGCTATCAATAGACAATGTTCTTAGAATGTGGTGCAGAAATAAAATGGAATATTAAGCATCTCTGAAAATGGATGAAAACCCTCAAATTTTGTTCCCAATGGATCTCAATTAGACTAAAATGAACTAATCTTAATCCGCGGTTCATTACACACTCCCAGCTGTGGTTTGTGCACAGTGTGTTTGGTTTCACTTATGTTTACAGTGGCCATTCTTCCTTTGAAAACAATCCCATGGACCACATGAATTACTTTCAAATCAAGAACACAAACTCTGTCACTTACATGAGTCACTTTGGTCCTTATCCATAGAAGGGACAGTCAATATCTTCCTCTTGAGATAATGAAGAAATCAGACAGGGTACATTGAAACTGTGGAGTAAGAAGCAGATTTTAGAAAACTGAAGAAGCAGTATAGATTTAAATTTTTTTAAAGACATTTTGTCCTACTGTACTAGATTTATCATAAATCTTGTTTTTAATTACATTCCCATTCTTAGCCCACAAACTGAATTCTTTAATTATTAATATATGTAGTATAAGGATAACTGCTAAATCTATATCCTAGTAGAAGAATTAAGAACAATGCCTATTCCAAATTCTGTCTATTAAACCCTAGCCACACAGGTCCAAGCCTGGATTGTCTTTTGTATGGGTCTTCCTTGATTAGAATTTGGTAAATTTACATCTTCAATTCTTGACATAGTCTCATCAATGATCCATGCTTGATTTCATTTTATAAATTTATTTATTTATTTGTTTTGGGTTTATTTGCTTATGAAATAATTTGTTTGAATTTTCTCTTCTTTTCAAAAAAAAAAAAAAAAGCAAAATACTATTACAAGTAATTGCCTCTACACCCTTTACCTGAAGTGGGCAGAGCACCAAACCAACCCCTTTTACCTATATGGACATCTGAATGACAGCGAAAGATTAATAATGAATTTCTTCTAATGACATATTTATCCTCATAATATGTTTGCCCTCATTTAAATAATCTCTTCCTTCTTTCATTCATAATAATATCAATATTTGTGAAACTACATACCTAGACATACCTAAATAATACTAATATCTTCCCATAAACACAAATACCCAGAGAAAAACAGTTAGATGTGTTTTTTAAAAATGATACTGATTTAGAATAACTAACCTAATCACAACTCCTCTCATGTAATACATTAATATTGGGCCATGCTTGGTCTTCTTTAATTAAGTAGTTCTGTAATCAATATTTATTATGTTTCCTTTTTCTCCCTTTTCTTAATAAAATTAACAACCACGAATCCAGAAGTAATACCCATGGTCACAGACATCTGCCTACATGTTTCTGATAAAACACAGTAAAAGCCTTGCACTCTTCACTTACTGGAACCCAGCTCCTCAGAAGTATTTTAATAATAATGTATTTCTCATTAAACACACTCATAATTGGTAAATACCTAGCCCTCATTGTATTTGTGGATATATTTCTTTCTTTACTCATACTGATTCACTAGTACATGTGAATAAAAGTACCTAAAATGTACCAAAGCCACAAGCAAGGCATTTGTATTCCTAACTTCTGCCACCATTCATGTTCCACCAAGGCAAGAAATTAGGTTTGTTTTTTATGATAGACCTCAGAGTTATAGGGTTTAATCAAAATCCTTGGTTCAGACACCCCAGGGTACTCATCATTGGTCCAGGCTTGGGACTTTTTAATTTATTCATTTATACATTTGTTCATTCATTCATTCATTGACTAAAAATTATTCGATCATATTCATGAATCACAATAAAGCAAGAATAAGTATAAGAATATCACTAACTTCTGTCTTTTGTTTAATTTCCCCCAGAACTAATACACTACAGTGACTCACAGTTGTCTATACAGATCCATCATTCTTCATGCAAACTCATACTTATCATAACCATGTGTAGCATTCTTTCTTTAATTTGGTCAAATTTTAAACATATAATGAAGAAAATCCAGGAACCAACGGTTCACCAACAATCTTTACTTGTGTTCTCTATCACCATGTTAGACACTCAAATCTTTTTCAGTGGTGGAATGTGTAAATCAAGAATGATGGAATATAAAATGAAATATTAAACAAAGGTAAAATGAAGGAAGCATCCTCTTTCACTTTTTAAAAAGGACCTTGTTTGTTCAAAGATTAAGCTAAAATTTTGTTTCATGGCACATTTACCAGTGCTCATTCCTGAGCCTCTTTATGTATTTATCTTTTTTTTATTTATTATTTAATTTGATAGTCATGGATTAACTAGTGATTTAACTATCTTATAGAAGAAAATTAACAAGAGTCTACCAGCAGCCTAAAGTGAAATAATATAACATGAATCTATCTATGAACCTGAAACAACTAGGTTGGAGCCTAGACTTTGTTTTTTTTACATGGGTATTAACAACAAAGACTGAATTTATCCTAACTCTTGCTTTATGAGTTATGCCCATCACTGGTCTATGATTTGCTTTCTTTTCATTAATTGAGTGATGTAAATGTATTCATCCATTCCCTTAGAATCCCTAGTTTGGAATCTGAAGAAACTGACCAAAAACTCTCAATAAAACTAGTACCTGTCAACTTGTTCATTACCTCCAGAGGTAACCAACTAGATCTTTGCTATTTTTTAACGCACTCAATAAATAAACTAGGTTAATTATAATTCTTATATAATCTCCACATTGGTATTCTTCAATTTTCTTATTTATTTCTACTTTATTTCTCATCTCCTTTTTAGAAACGGATATCAGTGCTTTATTTTTTTAATGAACTTCAGTGTTTCAAAAACATATCAATAATAATTCTTGGTCCATGAGATACACTCATCATTAGTCCATACTTGGCCTCTTTTCTTTTCATTCATTTATACATTTGGTTAATGATTTGCTCACTGATTTGCTTAGGCAATAATAACTTAATCAATACCTGTGAGCCTCAAAAGTCTGAGTAAGACTGCAATCTTTCTAACCCCAGATGACAAGCTCATTTCCCATAAAAGTGAGACCTGATTTTTTTTGCAGTAGATTTCAGTGGTGCCCATCTGGATTAACCAACACCTTTGCTCACAATGTTATCTCTCACTCTATGCTTACCATGATTGATTCTCTTCTAGTTAGTTAGTTAATCAGCTACTTGTTCACATAGGTCATTTTCTTTAAAAACAAAAACAAAAACTAGCAACACATCAACAACCCAATACAACACCACTGATTACCACACATATCTGTTCATATGCTCATTAACCATAGGGATTAACCACTTTACATCATTTTTATGGATTTTGGTGCTTCACAAAAAAAATATTTAAAATAATTCTCACTTCAATATACACATTAATATTTAATGTGTGCTTTTTCCTACTTTTCTCTTTCACTACTCATTTTTCATCGATCCATTAATTGACTAATAATAAAACAATCAGGACAGCCCGGGTGGCTCAGCAGTTTAGCGCCTCCTTCAGCCCAGGGCATGATCCTGGAGACCCAGGATCGAGTCCCACATCAGGCTCCCTGCATGGAGCCTGCTTCTCCCTCTGCCTGTGTCTCTGCCTCTCTCTGTCTCTGTGTCTCTCATGAATAAATAAAATATTTAAAAATAATAATAATAATAATAATAATAATAATAAAACAATCAATATCCATGGGTCATAAAAACATAAAGGAAAAGATCCCTGAATATTTTCACCACTGGTGCATAGTAGTGCTGGCCAGTAGACATAGTGCAAGCCATCCATAAACTTTTCAGTTTTCTAGAATCTACATTTTAGGAAATTAAAAAGAAACAGATAAAACCAACTGTAATTGTATATTTTATATAATCCAAATTGATTTAACCTAAAATACTATCATTTCAACATGTCATCTATATAAATATATTTCAATGAAATATTCTATTTTTTGGAGTGGGTCTTCTAAATTTGGTGTGTATTCTCAAAATAGATCACATCTTAATTCACACTAGCCACATTCTAGTGCTCAGTCACCACCTGTGGCTAGTGGTCACTCTATTGGGCAGCATATGTGCACAGGCTAATTTCCCACAGAAATAATACACTATCTATCTCTCTATAATGATCAAAAACAGATAAGTCTATCAAACTCTTGATACACTCATTACCAGCCTGTTCATAGCCCTCTTTCTTTTAATTTGTTTGTTTTTCAGATATAAAACAATGAACTATTATGAATTCCCCATCATCCAGAATAGAATACTGGTAGTGTCTGTCCATCTCTCCATGGGCCACCCTCTTGACTAGTTAACAGCATAGAGCTTTTGTACCAATGAGAAAATGTTTAAATCAGCAGTGAACAATAAAATGCCAATAACACAAGTAAAGGTTTGGTATATTTTTAGTAGAACTAAGTTGTATTGAATTGGGTTCATTGTAAGCTTTGGTTCATACCACACTCATCATTGGTTTACGCACGGCCTCCTGTGATATTACCAATATATGAAGCTATTTGTTTCTTTTAAGTAATATAGTTAACATACATGAGCAAACCACCCCAACCAAGAACAAGAACTTTGTCACTTACATTAGCCTCCATTCTCCTTACCCATAGAGGCAAGTTGCTTATCTGTTACAGATGGCTATTCAGCTCTAGTGCATTCTTTCTGTAGAATAGAAATCAGGTATAAGAAAAATGAAAACTATTAAGATTTAAAATTCTTTTAAATGAATGTTAGTTGTGAAATACCAGAGTAACTATAATCCTTGGCTTCGGGGAAGTGTGGAAGTGGTTCCAACACAGTATGTTGTTCACCATGTGAGAACAGATAATCTATCTCTAGAAGTTTCTGCATAAGGAAGAGTCTTATTCAAACCAGAAGTGAATCATAATGGCCTAGACTTTGAACTAAAGCACTGGCTTTATGGACTTTTGTTCCAAAGAAAGAATAACTGTACTTTATGTATGACATGAAGTCCACATACTCTCACCAGTTGGGAGAAATGTGGTAGGTTATGTCATTTTTCAGCAAATGTTCCTTTTCCCTTCCTTAAACTCCATGGGAGGAATACCTTCCCTACACCATTGATGCTGCGCTTGGTCATATGACTTGCATTGCCCAGTGCAACATAAGTGGATGTGGCTTAAAGCCTCTCCCAGAGGAGGCTTTCAGTGTGCTTGGGTGGTTTTGCTTGGCCCCTGGAGCTTCAAGCTTTCACTATAAGAAGAGGATGTCCCAGACACTACAACTCCTATATCTAGGGGCCTTGAATAACAAGGCAAGTGAAGCAGATGTGAACCCAACCCACAGCCTGGAGTGTAACTGCCGCAAAAGACCCACAGACTCATATATGAGAAATAAATATTGTTGTCATTATTATTCTATAAGCCACTGAAATTGTGGATTACTTTTTATGTAGCACTGTCACAGCAATGACTAACTCATATATTTCTGTCCTTTTATTTTTAGGAATTTTTTCATTTACTGATTTTCTATAATTTTGTCAATGAAATCACCATGAAGTCACCATCAAGTGCACCAAGAAAACTAATTTGTATCTATATATACGTTACATATATAATTTTAAGTATTTATTACATATAATTAACACTATTTGTAATATTTTATCATATACAATCACGTATGTGTACATGAATGTCATATGTGGATATAAATTATAATTAGAACAATAGATAAATAATCTTTGAAATCCTTATCCATAAATAGAGAAAGACCTTTATATGATGAACTTGTATTACCTTATATAAATATTTGGTTCATGATACACTTTCATCATCAGTCCATACTTACTCCTCTTTATGCATATTGACAATTAGTTACATCTGCCTCTACTCTCCTCAGTGACAAATGTAGAAGAGACCTTTTATTAATGGACCACAGTTGTGGTGACTTGTATGAATCACAAAAACTTTGGTCCATGCCACATTATCATCTTTGTACCATGCATGGACTATTATTTTTATTCATTTTTAAATTAAATAATATAATAATGCAATGAATATTGACAAAACCACTATTCAGCCATCTAACTATCACTTGGACAATAGATTTTTAATCCTTTCCTACCAAGATGCAAAGATCTTCATTCAATTTTAGAGAAATGTTCACATAAACTGTGGAACACACACACCAGGTAATATAAACAGTTTATAAAAATAAACGAATAAGCCTATGTCTTTTTTCCATAACTTAAGACTTTTATGCCTGTGAATCTCAGTTGCACAGAACTGGATTAATTAAAATTTTTGTTTCATGAGGCACTCTCCTCTCTGGCCCCATAACTAATCCTCTTTTATTAATTTATGTATTATTAATTTATGTGTTTATTCTTTTTAATATTCAAGAAATTCCCATTACCCAACTCCTCAACACAACTAATAGAGTAGCCATGAGTCACCTATGACTATTTAAATTAATAAAAATTTAAGATTCAGTTCCTCATACACACTAACTACATTTCACAGGCTCAAAGTCAAATGTAGCTAGTGGCTACCATATTGGACAGAACAAATTATATAAAACACATCTGTCACTGCAGAAAATTCTATTGGGCAATGCTAATAAATACTCTTTATCTTTAAGGAATAGTCTAGAACTTTTCCTCATGAAATTAAACCGCATTAATCATAGTTCTTGATCATTGGTCTATGCTGATTCTCTCTCGTTTGATTTGGTCATTTCTAAAGAAGTTTTAATGAAAACCCATAAATTCAATCTCTTACTCCACAGGTAGAACACTGACATTATCTTTTATCGACCTTGGTGCTCCTTGCTCAGAGTTAGCATCTTAGATCTTTATCCATGGAGAATTGTTTAAATAAACTATGTGTGTGTATGTTTATATATACATATACAGTGAAACAAGAAGTAGTTGGTAAAAGGAATGAAACAGACTAGATTATTTTGATAGAGGTCAAAAGCACAGAACTGAATTAACTGCAATCCCTGGGTCCTTCTTATCCCCAGTCTGTGTTTTGGCCTTTCATGTATTTTATGTATGTATGTAATTATTTATTTGTTTTTAGCATTAAAATCAACATCCAACACACCATCATGCAAAAACAAGAATATGGACTACTCCTTAACCAAATGTTTTTTTAAAAAGATCTTAGATGTACACAATTAGAATAATCTTAGTCCTGGGATCATGAGATATTATCATCATAGGCCCATGTTTGCTATCTCTTATTTTATTCCTCAATTTGTTCATTCATTCATTTATTTAGTTATGAACACTCTTGAATAACTTCCCCTCCAACGATTTAAGAACATCAATAATTACTTACATTTTCTTTACGTACCTTATCCATCCAAATAAGATTCAACATCCTCACAAATATTGCATGATTAATGCAGTATGGTGTGTCCATTTTGTGTAACAGAAAGCAACTATTTAAAAGTTGAACACCCTGGATCGTTTTCAATGGCTTTCACTTGTGTAGAATTAAAATAGCGAGCCTTAGCTTATGAAACATTACCCTCATTGGTCTACACCTGGCCCTTTTTCATTTTATTTATCCTTTTAAAAACATCATAAAAAATTACCTGTGAATCTTACCCAATAAATAGAAAACTATCAATATCCATGTCTCTGTGCGCATCACTTTTGCCAAGTTAACACCCAAATTTATCAATGCAGAAGTGTCTATATAAGCCATAGTGTATAGATTAATATAAATGCTATTAAAATAAATAAAATTGCATATATTTTTTGTTTTAATGTCCTTCAAATTTGCAGGATTGGGTAATCATAAATCACAAATCTTGTCTTCATTAGTCCATGCTTAACCTTTTTTTTATTTATGTACGCATTCATTTATTTTTCATAAATCAATAAACACACATGACCTCACCACTCAACCTAAGAATAAGAAAAAGTAACAATTATATTTATGTAGAGATATGCATGTTATACACATATATATACATGTATACAACTAACATACATGAATATAATTGTTTCTTTTTATTTTCTCATCTCCTACATGGAGAGCAATCTAGTTATATTATTCTTTTTAAAGATTTATTTATTTATTTATGATAGACATAGAGAGAATGAGAGAGAGAGAGAGAGGCAGAGACACAGGAGGAGGGAGAAGCAGGCTCCATGCAGGGAGGGAGCCTGACTCGGGACTCGATCCTGGGACTCCAGGATCGCGCCCTGGGCCAAAGGCAGGCGCTAAACTGCTGAGCCACCCAGGGATCCCTATATTATTTTTTAACTTGGTGACAGTTATGCCAAATGAGAGTCATCACCTTGGTTCATGGCACAGTCTCCTCATTGGTCTTTGCTTGACCATCTTTGATCTTATTTGTGCCTGTTCATGTTTAATAATGCATACACACACACCCATCAGCCAACCACCCAACCTTAAAACAGTAACACCAACCATCACTCACGTTGGTTGGTCCGTGGCTCATTTCCCACAGAGGTCACAGCCAAGATCTTCATCAACAGAGTGTCATTAGACCCACTCTGGGGCCTCCATTCTGTGGAACACAAGGCAGGTATTAAAAAGGATGAAACAACCCAGGTATTTTTTAACAGCCGTTGGATGAACAGCACAAGACTAATCACAATTTCATTCATGACACGATTCCACCATTGGCCTAAGCATAGCTCTCATTGTACATATTTTTTCACTTAATAATCTTATGATAAACGTGGGTGACCTAATCAAAAACAAGAGTAAGAGTAACAGCCATTACAAGCATCTGTCTCTATGCTTCTTACCCACAAAGGAACCAGCCCAGATCTTCTTCCTAATGGACTCAGATATGCAGAGTTGAGGTAATAACAATCTTTGATTCCAGGTATAATTGCATCATTGTTTCCTAACATCTCCCTTTTACTGTTTTTACTTAATTTTTTAAAGGTAATAAACACATCAGGTCAGCACTAACACAGAACAAAAATATCAATCAGCACTTATATTAGTATTTATATACCGATGCTTCTTTTCCACAGAGGTAAGAGCTTTATTTTCTTTTATGGTCTTAAACGGTCCACAATTGTACATAAGTGCATTAATCTCAATCCATAATTCATAAAATATTGTCTCTGGTGGTTCATGATCAGCCCTCTTTCATTCTTTCGTTTATTTTATTTACTCATCTAATTCATATTTAACTACACAGCAAATACACTTGAATCCACCATTCAGCCCAAGACCAATGACTGTTTTATATAACTGTTGATATGCTTTCACCCACCATCCTAACACCCTTGAATTCTTTGGGCTTTGTTTCTGTTTTATTTTGTTTTTTAATAACTACAGTTGGATACAACACATTACTCATAACCCTTGTTTAAAAACACATCCTCATCACCGGTCCATGCTTAGACCTCTTTAATTTTATTTATGCATTTATTCATTTTTAACTATTCAGTAAAACCCATTAAGCCCCACCTACACTCCTCTACAGCTCCTTTCCCCACAAAGATCTTTCATCTCCTGCGAAAAACCCCGGTGTGCCCATTCTATGGAACACAAAGCCCCATTAAAAGGAAGAAAATAGCCTAGACCTTTTTTTGTTTGTTAATGTCAGGTTAGCAGACCTGAATTAATCATAATCTTTTGTCCAGAACGCATTCTCACAATTGCTGTACTCAAGGCCTTTATTACATTATTTCTTTATCCTTTATTATTTTTAATAATAAAATTAATAACCACAAACCACTCTGATCTCTTAATAACCCTCGGTTGTGGAGAATTAACCACGATCCTTGGTTCAGGGTTGCTTCTGGCCATTGCCCCAGGGTTGCCCCTCTCTTATTTTACTGATTCTTAGAAACTATACAATAACCGTGCGTGACACCCACCTACCTCCATTTCCCCCGCTCTCAGCCCTTTTCTGCCCTCTGATTTAAATGGTCACTCCCCAATCTCCACAGTACCCTCCCCTGCCCCTATTATATATATATAGATAGATAGATAGATAGATATGTATATATATATATAGTTTGATCACATATATGTATTCTTTTTTTTTACATATATGTATTCTTTACAAATATTTTCCATGGGCCCCTGGCTTTACAAATATTTTCCATGGGCCCCTGGCTTGCAGGGCCTCTGTAGGGCTCTGTCAAAGGAGAGAATGAATCCATGGCTGAGTGAAGAGAACACCCACCAGGGGATAGTAGAAGGACTCAAACCAAGATCTTTGAACTCCGTGTGCCATCTTTACTTCGCATGACTCTGTGCTCACAGTCAGAAGGCACTGTCAGCAATGCTCAGCGCACAACTGCTCACACCACACTGCCTGCCTCTGAATCCAGCCTCAAGCCCTGACGAGCTGGACAACATCAGAAAGGTGAACTAACCTCTCTGTGCCTGGTTCCCCCCTCTGTAAGATAGTTGTAGCACTATGCCCTAAGCAGAATTATTCATTATTTTCCCACCAAAGGCAATCAGGTAAGCTCCCCCACCCCCACCCTGTCTCTGAGCCCCTCACCCAAATCTTTCTTCCCTCTGTAGCAGCGCCGGAGCTGTGGTGCTAGACAGACAGACAGACCAGGTTCCACCCCAGCAGGCACTCATGAGCAGAGACGTGACCTGGCCTCTCTGTCTTGTGCCCCGACTTGTGCGATTTGTAGACTGAGGACAGCAGCACCCTCGTGGGTCCAGCGTGAGGGCGCAGTGAACTACCGACAGTTCCTCAAGCAGCTCCCACCCTGAACCCCGCCACCCCCCACCGCGACCCCGATCCCCACCCACCCCCCACTGGCCACACAGCCCCCAATCTGATTAGAGAAACGAATTATCTCGATGCTCAGGCCAAGCCGAGGGTTTCGGGAAGGATGGGCCTCGGGCAGGAAATTGTTGGGATCTGTTCTTTTTTGGACACGGCATCAAAGCTTAAACAAGTGCCCTGGAAAATAGAAATCCAACTAAGGGATGCGCTTTAGAAAACTAAAATTCATTTCATGAAATGGGGCTGCCCTCGGGGGAGTCTATGCCAGGAGATTCTTGATGATCAAATCGTTTCCCAGAAACTACAAATGCCTCTACTCTGACCCTTACTGACAATATAGCCAGTTGCCTCCCTAGCCTCCCAGACTGGCCTGATAGGTGCCTGGCACACTGACCACAGTGCAACTCTTGAGACATGAAAAATTACAAATGAATTAAATTTTAAAGCAGACATACATTGTGTTTATGTGTGCATAATGTAAGAGATACACAACTGTATCTACTCAGGGACCTTCTTAAGGGAGTCATGGGAACACCATCAGGCTGGGACACATAGGCTCCTGCCTTTGCCTTCAACACACTAAATGGCCTTGGGTGAGGCCCTACCCCCTCTCTGAGCCTCAGGTGGCAACAATCCACCAGTCTGTCCTCCCTCCCAGGTGGTGTGGAAGTGATAAGCATAAAGTTTAAATGCAAGTTCCCTTCAAGCATCAGAGGATCATTAATGTTGTACCTCCTGTACCCAGCACGTAGTGTTCACAGCATGCCTTAGCATACATTATCTTGTTTGATCCTCACAGCAGCCCTGCGAATTAGACATAATAATCATAATTAGCCAATATTGATTGAATGCATACTCGGCACCAGGCACCATGCTGCCTGCTTGGCATGCATTGACAGTCTGCTGGGGTGGGTACAATTCAACAGCATCTTGTTTCTTCTCCCCCTCCCCCCAAAAGTTCTGAGCACACATTTTGGGCCAGGCACTGGTCTAGGTGCTGGGATACAGCAATGAACAAAACAAATAAAATCTGAGAGCTAACATCCCTTGGGTGGAGACAGAACAGACTACTAAAAATAAATAGTGGTGTATGGACTATGAAGAAAATAATGGTGTAAGGACTATAAAGAAAAATAAAACAGGAGAAGGAGCAATAGCAAACAGCAATGAGAGAGCATCACCAAGAAGGGGATATTTGAGCAGACATGATTAGTCCCATTTTACACAGGAGGAAACTGAACCTCAGAAAGGATAAGTGACTTACAAGTGGTCACACAGTAAGGAAGATGCTGAGCTCCAGAGTTTGTCTTACCCAGTTATCCCCATTCCCTCATTTTTGTGGCAGTTCTTGCTCTCTGATACCCCCACTGTCAGCCTATAAGGTGAGTGTGTGAACACGTGTATGGCTGAGTACGAGGGCTTGTCTGACCTCCTACACAGGCAGTCCCAGAAGCACAGGGCATCTCCAGGATATACTAACAGCCATAGATGAATAAATACACTGCCTTTCTTTTTTTTAATTTTTATTTATTTATGATAGTCACAGAGAGAGAGAGAGAGAGAGGCAGAGACATAGGCAGAGGGAGAAGCAGGCTCCATGCACCGGGAGCCCGACGTGGGACTCGATCCCGGGTCTCCAGGATCGTGCCCTGGGCCAAAGGCAGGTGCTAAACCGCTGTGCCACCCAGGGATCCCCTAAACTGCCTTTCTTAAAGAAGATGCAGTGGTGACAGTTCCTGCAGGACTTGCACAGATTCAGTGTCAGGTAATGCTGAATTCATAGCATGCTCCCAACGTCCAGCAAGTCAGCACGGAGGCTAACCCCATATCCTGTCATTTGGCTGGTAAGGCATCCAAACACACTCCTCCCCTAGTACTACCCCCATATGCAGCTACACATTGCCTAGGCCTAAGTTGCAAATATTATGCACAGAAATGAAAGGAGGTCACCCAGTCCTCATGCCCTAAGTGAGAAAAGACTCAGTGGAACAATTCTTTGTTCCAACTAGCCACCCTCAAAAGAGCAAACAAAGAAATATCTCTAAAGTGACTATTTTCTCCCCCACCCCCCAAAAAAAACAGATATAGAAAGAAATTTGGTAAGAACGTATATGAGAATACTTGGGGAACTTGCCCACTGCTTCTAAAAGCCATGAAGTTGAATCAAGACAACTTAATTGTTCATCTTGCCCTTTACCTACTCAACTTCTTTTCAGCTTCCATTAAACTTCAATATAATTCTCAATACTCCCAAGGAAATTCCTTTGGGGGGAGTTTCACCTATTCTAAGGCTTAATATTTCATTAGATGGATCGTGTCCATTTGGTATGTATAATTCTCATTTCCCTAACTAGAGCTAAAATCTTCTAGTCTTAAATCTATATATGTGTTTCTATTTCACGGACACCCCCCCCAAAAACAAACTCATACACCTCGCTGAGCACCTGTTCAGCTATCTATAAAACACGGATAATGATTTTTAAGCAGTCAGAGATATTAATACCATCTCAATAAAAATAGTTATGACAATTTTAATTTTAACTATAATAGAGTATTTATTGATGTTAACCATATGGGAAACATTGTTTTAAGCTCTAAATGTTTAATTCATTTAATCTTCAAGTACCTATTAATAAGGTACTGTTGGTATCCCCATATTACAACTGAGGAAACTGAGGCACAGAGATTAAATACTCACAAAACTAATAAATGGCAGAATCGAGAATTAAACATGAGCATCTGGGATGTGTCTAACAGGACTTAGCCCATATGCGAGGCATCAAAACCTATCTGCTGAATTTGAGTCAGGCCTTCAGAAAGGCTTGCTGATTTGCCCTTCTGCCCTCTGTCTGACTCTCTCTCTCCTTACCTTGTACTCCTTCAGGCCCTAGAGTAATTTTTACACCTACTTGCCTTAGTATTCAGTCATCATAGGAAATACCAAAAATTTAACTTGATTAATTATACTGCAAGATGTCAATGGTATAGTTGACCCTTATATGTATGATAGTCACAAATAGGACAAACTAGGGAAGGTGTTACTTGAGAAATAAATTTAGAGTCTGGGGGCTGAGGTCTAGCCCCCTGACAGATCAGGAGGGCGATACTAACATGGGTTAACCCCAAGGAGTGAATTTTTTTTCAGACACGGTCTCAGAGAAAAAAGAAATGGGAAGAGGGTATGTGTTTGGAAGAAAAAAGGAGACTAGAGTTCAAATCCTGGTTCTGTATTGTTCCCTATATGATTTGGGGCCAATCCCTTGGCATTCCTAAGCCTTAATTTTCTTGTATCTTAATTGAGGATGGTAGTTGCTATCATGGGGGGTCACTGTGATGATTCAAAGGAGATAAAATTATGCCAAATGGCTACAAAAGGACTGAGCATGCGGTTGGGCTCAGGGCTTAGTCATCCAGGAGAGCCAGAGGAGGGAGGCTGCCTGCTGTTTCTCAGTGCAGTGTGAAAACTGCTAGGAGCGAGAGTTGCTGCTGAGACGCTCCAGCAGCACAGCTGGGGCTTGGTCCCTGGGACCTGGCAGCCCACCTGTTGTCCCAGAGCCACCTGAGCCAGTCAGGACGCCCAGAGGCAGAACAAAAGGCAGGAGCTTTGCCACCAAGCTCCATTCAGAGGAAACATCTCTTCAGAGACCAAAGAAGCCTTTGATATTGGTGAGAAACTGACTCTTCTCTCTCACTCATCCATCTAGCCACCCTCTGCACTTGAATTCATTCCCCCATCTCACCAGCATGCATCATCCACCACACCATCTCTCCATCTGCTGATGCCTCATTGAGGCAAGCATCCATTCATCAGACCGGACATCCATCCTTCCACCTCTCCATATTGTACACAGGAATCAGACAAACCTGGGTTGGGAATCCTGGTCTTGCTTCCTAGCTGACCTTGGGCAAGTCATTAGCTTCTCAAAGTCCTCTCATCTGTAAAATAAAGGGAAATCAGTCATAGCTGGGGTGAGGATTTAAAGAGAGAGTGGACATACCAAGGCCTGGCCTGAGCAAATGATCATTAAATGTTAATTCCCTCTGCTTCTGCAATCGGGCTGGTATATATACAGGGAGAAAACCAGTACGTCTCACGTGTCATATTGAGAAATGACTTTCTAGAAATTACCTGCAGTGTTTCAGCGGTGTGTATCCCCCTGCAGCACCAGGGGTTGGGCAGTGGCCAGAGCAGTTTGGGGTAGTGGTCCCTCCTGGACTCACAGCAGAGAGTGCCATCTAGTGGATCGGCAACCAGCGGGGTCCCTGGTAGGCCCCAGGTTGGTTGCTGTCTGCTGTTGGGTGACAGTTCTGAGCCAGCCAGGAGGTCCCAGCCCTCAGACTGCAGACTGCCCTTGTTGAGATGTGCTGCACGTACTGTCTTAATCACTCAGGGGGCCTGGACCACCAGAACCTTTTGTTTTGTGGATGATAGCCAGTTCTGTGTTGCCTACCCTAGCCCAACTCCCCTTTAAATGTTTCCAGAAAAAAAAAAAAAACTATTCTAGCACCTACTGTTTGCTGAGTGTCTGTCATGTATTAGAAATAGGGCTGGGGCTTCACATGCACTGTCTCTAATCCTCTAAATGATCCTCGGAGAGACTCAGGAGTTTCCTCATTTTTAGTAAGAAAACCCACATTTACTGAGGGTGGGTGAGGGTATACAGTCAGACCCAGGAATTTGTAGCTGCACTTACCTGCTGACATCCCAGTGCCCCCTTGAAACTGCAGGTAAGAATTTGGACACTGACTTGAACAAGCCAACTGTAAAAGAAATTTATGAGTCAATTGGGGATATCTGAATGCTGAATAGATGCTGGATGACATTAAGGAAACGCTGTTAATTTTTTAACTGTGAAAGTGGCATTGTGGTTATGTTTTTAAAACAGAAAAGAGTCCTTCTTTTTTAGAGAAAGGCACTGAAATATGCTCAGAGGAAACAATATGGTGTCTGGAATTTGCTTCAAAATAGTCTTGGGTGGAAGTGGAAGGAGGACAGTACACAGCTCTGACAGGATACGGGGGGCTGAGAGCTGTCGGCACCTGGGTGGCAGCAACATGAAAACTGTGTAAATTGTGATGGGGATATGTATTACTTTCTCTACTTTTGTGTTATTTCAAATTTTACATAATTGAAGGTTTTAAAGATCAACAGGTAAAAATGAAGTGCAGGAGGTGAGGGGGTAGGAGAGAGCCCACTGAAAAAAGCAAAGAGGCCTAGCGTCCAAACTAAATGTTGGGGGGGGGGCGGTATCAGGGAGCTGATTCATCGGAATGAATGCCTCCAAGTGGAGAGGGCACAAGAAAGGGGCCAGGGCTGGTGGGAGCAAGTCATTCTAAGTTGAGAGGATTAAGGAGAAAGTGGAAAGGTGCAAGATGTTAAGGAATTAGGTGCCCACCAGCCACCCCTAGGCCCTCCCACCTTCCTCAGATGCCCCCTTGGTCCCCCCAGGCCCTCCAGCCCCCTCCATGGCCCTCCTGCCTCCCTCAGACACCCCTGTGACCCCCCAGGCCCTCCAGCCCCCTCCATGGCCCTCCTGCCTCCCTCAGACACCCCCTTGGTCTCCTCAGGCCCTCCAGTCCCCTCTATGGACCTCCTGCCTCCTTCAGATGCTCCATGTTTCCCCCAGGCCCTCCAGCCCACTCCATGGCCCTCCTGACCCCCTCAGAACCCCCATGCACATACACACACACACACCCGGCCCTGGCCCTCCTGGTCCTTCCCCACTCCCTAAGCCATCCTGGCCCTTGGCAACCTTTTCACTTGCTCTAAAAGGACCGGCCAGCACCTCTCTGCTCCAAGGCAGAGCTGCCCACCTGATGAGTCCCTCCTGAGACCAGCTTGGCTGGTAAGGATTGAGCTGTCTAGCTTTGAAATGTCTTTTTTTTTTCTCCTTTTTTTTTTTTTAATTGCCTTTGGGGAAGGAAAAGAATCAGTGCTTTTGCCCTGAAACTGTGTGCCAAGCTGCTCTCCCGACCTCAGCCCCCCTCCCCCCATCAGCCACATCACCCACCGCAGAGTGACTAACTCTCAACCCCAGGTCCGATCCATTTCCCCAGACCCTGCGGGGCTACCGCCGAGCCCTCCACCTGTCTGTCCCCGGTGATCCTGGCCCTTCTCCGGCCGCCAGGGTCTCTGTGCAGTGGCTTCCCGGGCACCTCGTCACCCTGGAAAAGCTCCCTCCCCCTTCCTTCGTTTCCCATTTTGGAGAGCCAGCCGCGGGACGGTTCTGGGACCCTCCGGCCGCCGCTTACTGCATTGCAGCAGAGCCCCGAGTGAGGAGGGGCGCAGCCAGCAGCCACCCCAAGCCGGAGCCTGCCCCCCCTGCGGACTCCAGCCCAGGGCAGGGCCCGGCGCCCCCTCTCCCCTCTCCCTGGCCGCAATCAGAAGCGCCACGACAAAAGTAAAAGCACCAGTTGGTCCCGACTGACGGTCTCCCCCTCCTCACTTTCTGGGCTCAAAAATGTGGCCCAGGCAGCCCCCTTGTGGCACTTGGGGGCGCCACAGACTCTTGGCTGGTGTCTGAAGAATTCAGACTGTCTGATTCCACTGCACCGTGAGTTGGCACAAATCTGAAGTGGCCCAAGTCCTACCCGATGCAGACCTGGCTCGGCCGCCTCTCTGAGTCGGGGGCACGGCTCTCCCGCCTCCCTCCCCGTCCTCCCTCCTCCCTCCCTCCTCCCTCCTGCCCAGAACCGGCGCTCTCCTGTTGAACACTGCTCCAAGGCGCAGACAGGTGTCTGCCGCCTGCTAACAGTGGTGGGAGCAGGAGGGAAGGCGTGGGGACTGGGGCTTTCCTCACTGTGATGTTTGGGGAAACTGAGGAGTGGGGAGGCTCACAATCCCTGTGCCTGTCGGAAAGGGGGCCGGAGACCCTCCCTCCGAGAGTGGGTTCCAGCTCAGAGCATCCCTCTGAGGTGAGGGGCTGCCCTCAGGACTGGCCCTGCTCCCCCTTCTCAGCCATCAAGCCCTCATCCCCTCCAAAGCCAGTCCTCCCCACGAAGAAGCCCTGGTGGCCCCCCCCCATGTGCTCCATCCTCTTCTCACGCACTGTCCACATAAACAAGCCCCAGCCCCCTCCGTCTCTATCTGCAATCTGCTTGGAGGTGGGCAGGGCCCTCTCCACGTCAGGTTAATAATGCCATTTTCATAAGCCTCTGCCCATAGGTGCTACCACCTAATTTTGAATCTGCCCTTCAAACGGATTGGGCCACAGAGGAGCTGGGATCTCAAGCACCGCTGGGAGGTGCTTATAACTAATCAATCCATCCCCTGCCCACCCACGCCCCCCCAGCACTCGGCTCTGCCTTCCTGAGCAGTCTTCAGCAGCAGGGTGTGGTGGGGAGCTTCAGACGGCCTGGGGTTCCAACCTAGCCTGGCTTCACAGCAGCTGAGAGACGGTGAGTATGTGCCTTCACGTTCCCCTGCCTCAGTTTCCTTATGAACCCAACAGGGGATTAAGAGCTTGGTGCTCAGAGGCTTTCCTCCGGGGTGAGTCCTGTGGAGGCAGCCCAGCTCAGGGCTTGGCCCCTAGACAGGGCTCCATAAATCTCACCTGCCATCATCCCCCCCGGATCACTTGATGTGCAGTGACTAACTCCCTGTCTCTCTCCCCCAGCAGACTGAGCTTCCAGGCCAGGAAGCCGACTGCCACTGCTTGGGGTCCAGCCTCTCACTCAGGTCTGGGCCTGACAAGGTAGGTGCACTGCGGTGGTTTGGAGAATGAGTGCATGGGTGGATGCCCGGAGCCCACAGTCTGTGGGATGCCCGGAGCCCACTGGGTTACTCTTTCCCAGACTGCCCCCCTACTGTCTAAGCCAGCCCTTCCAGGCAGCCACAGAGCAAAGTATTCTTTTGTGCCTTGCCCCGGGCCCCCGCGTGCTGCTACATACAATGCAAATTCTTGCTGTATTAAATGCAGATGTGGGCTTGCATGTCGTTTCTACCGCCTGCTGCATCTACTGTGAGCTCACAGGCCAGGGGCTGCCTCTGGCTGACTTGATTTGTGCGATTAAGCCCACAGAGGGGTCTCTGGCAGGCGACGTTCCTGTTAGTATTCGGGGCAGGGTCGCGGAAGGCCGGGCTGTTTTCTTTCTTGCGCACCACTTGTTACATGTGCGCCTCCCTCCCCGAGTCCCACTGGCCACTCCATAAGCATTCATGAAGTGTCTGGTGTGTGTTAGGCTACTCTTATCTCGTTTCATCTCACGGGGAGGGAGCCCTTCTCATATCTAATTCACAGGGAAAAAGAGAGGCTCTGAAAAGTAAAGGGAATTGTGTGGTCTCACAGCCAGGAAGCGGAGAGTCCAGCCTGGTCTGGGGTGTCTGTCTCGGGAGCCCCCCCGGCCCCACCGCGGCTGCCTGCCGCCGCTGTCGCTGCCGCTGCTGCGGGCTGACCAGGGCCGGCCAGCCGCCAGCGGCTCCTGCAGAAAAGGCAGGGGGTTGCATAGAGAGCGTTCTCCCTGGCAACTAGCAGAGGGGCCATAAAAAACGGAGGGCTCAGATGCTTAACAGAAATTCTAGCAGCTGGACCTGGGAGGGGAGACCCGCGCCCTCCCCTGGGCTCTCTGCAGAACAGCAGGGCAAAGGGCTCCGTCCCAGACCCCACGGAGCAGGGGCAGAGGCGCCCCGGGACAGGTGTAGACGGCTGTGATCCGGATGGTGACAGGAACCCCAAATCTGATCCCTCGGTGGGTGGGGGGCTCGCTCCTGAGCACGGAGAGGAGAGGAGTGAAGTGAGCTTGCTGTCTGCGAAGAGCAGAGGGCAGAGGGGGCGAGGGGGCTGCAGCAGAGCCGCGGAGGCAGATGCAGAAAGCAGGGGAGGGCTCGGCAAAGCAGCTCGGTGTGTGCGAGCCCTGAGCGGGCTGCTCGGGGAGAGAGGGAGCTCCCTGTTACGGGAGGCATCCGAGCAGAGAGAGGCAGGCCGGTACTTGGCCGGGAGGCTGCAGCACGGCTCCCTGCCCGGGCTGGCAGCCCGCACGTCTAGGCCTTTGAGAAGCTCCTACAGAGCTAAGTCCCGAGCGGGGCTGGCTGCGGAGGAGGCAGGCTGGGGTCAGAGCAAGGATGCGCAGACTTTCCCATGTACCTTGCCCTGAGCTGCATGGCAAAGGCACGGAGATGGCTGGTGGAGCGCTTCTGTCACAATGAGGCAGTGAGGGAGAGGAGCAGAGAATGGGGGTGAGTGCTCGGGGCCAGCGGGGGGGACGTGGGGGGCTGTCCTGCAGCCAATTCCCCATCTCAAGGGCCGGGCCACCTGGAGTGGCCAAGTGCCCGCCCCAGCTCCCAGGCCCAGAAAGGCTGCCCTGGGTCCTCTCTGGGGCAACAGGCTGGTGCAGCGGGTGGTGGGGGGAGAGCCTTCCTGCGGGGGAGGGAAGAGGGGGGGTCTGATGAGTTGAGAGGCCGCCCGGTCATGGGAAAAGCAAGGCCCTTTTCTGGAGGCTGGGCCGCAGCCACGGATTCAGCCGGCTGCTGGACCGTGACTTGGATGCTCTGGGGACTCGTGAAAGCCCCTCGCCCCAGCGACGGGGCCCAGGGGCCTGCATGTTGATGAATGAGGCCCACGCTGCATCGGGCGCTGGCTCTCCAGGCCCATTCATGGGGGCTCAGTTCCCAGGAACTCTGGGTGGACGGGGCCTTTATCAGGGGACCCCCGCTAGACGAGGCTCTGTTCTGCAGTTTCTAAAGGAGTTTTTTTTGTCTTTGTTCCCAGTGTAGGCACTCAGCGAGCGCACGCAGGCGCGCGCACATGTGTGTGCGTGTGTGCGCGCGTGTGTGCGTATGTGTGTGTTTGTGTGTGTGTGTATTACAGGCTGGCTCTGAGGGGCCAGCCCGGGGGTCCTTGTCTGTGAAATGGCCAGGCTGTCCTAGCTCACCCTTGAGGCAGTGACGCACTTTCAAGGGGCGGCAAGAACCAGGGAGGGCTGAGGCACCTGGGGACCTGGGGACAGAGCCCCGTGTCAGGGCAAGCCTGATTGTCCCGCTCCTGACAGCCCAACCTGCCAGGGCACTGTCGGGGTCCCGACAGCTGCTCTGACCCGCCGTGGGGGGGCAGCATCGTGTTGCAGGTGGAGAGTGCCTGGCTGCCTCCCCACAGACAGACAGACAGACAGACAGACAGGCTGCCCTTACCGCCCTGCTTAGGAGCCGCGAGCCCGTGGGGAAACTGCTTTCCAGAGCCTGGGGTTTCTGTTGTTATGTTGTCACCGCTCCTGTTTGAATCTATTAAAGGACTGCTTTGAAACTGTCGGATTTGCAAATGTTTGGTAAGGTGGTATTTGCATATGCGTCCCTGCCTCTGCGGCATTCTGTGGGGGGGCCGTGGGGGGGCCGATGCGGTGCAGAGCAGAAGCCACGCACTTACGAAACGTTGCAAATACAGGTTTCTGGTCAGGGGCTCGTGTTGCAGGCAACAGCTCAGAACGTCACGGGTGTGCGTGTGAAAAGTCACCTGCGCCCCAATCCCTAACCCCCAATCCCTAACCGGCCTCGGAGCAGCACACCCTCTAGCCCCTGCCGCGCTGGCTGGCTGGCTGGGGAGGGGGCTCCGCCTCCCCACTGCACTTCCTTCTGCTCCAGACGCAAACAGAGTCGGGCTCCCTGGCCCCTGCCCCTGCGTGAGGAAGTCGGGAGTGGGCTGGGGCTCCAGGGAAGGGGCGCAGGCGGCTCCGCACGCGGCCGCACAGAACAGCCCGGGGGCGAGCCGCCCAGAGTAAATAAACCCAACATTTCGGAGAGAGGAGCCTTTGTGCCCCGGGGCCGAGGAAGTTCACTTTTGTGTAAAAGGCACCATACAAGCCCTCCTCAGCTGCCCCACACAAAAACCTCCTTCAGCCTGGGCCCGGCCCAGGGAGCGTTTTCTGTGAAATTCAGGAGAAGTCAGGTTTAGCCAGAAGTTTTTCCAGGAATGATTAACCCCTGGAGACTGTACCACTGTTCCTTCCGAGCCCTCCTTGCCAAAGTCCATAAAATACACGCCTAAAAAATCTGCCTGAAGAGCAGTCTGACATTTTATATATATTTATAAAAAAAAATAAAATAAACTCTTGCCAAACTTTTCAGGAGAACCCAATTAAACCCGGCGGGGGCAGCCCCTTCCCCGGCTGGGGTGCTGTCCCTTGGGGGGTGTCTTCCCTGGGGCGAGGGGAGTGGAGGCCTTTATTCCTGTTCACACTCTTCCAGACTTTTCTTTTTGCTTTTTTTCCCCCCATCTGTGGGTCTCCCCGCCCTGAAGAGGAGCTGCCTGCGCCTCTGGGAGGGAAGGTTAAGCGTTTCCAACAGGGGGGGCCGGGGGGGGGGTCGGGAGGGGAAAGGCTCCTGTTTTCCGCTGGCTACTGTGCTGGGTGATTTATCTGTGTTATTGTCTCCCTCTGCCTATCACTACTCCGTGTGTGCACATGCCTTCCTGATCAGGAAACTGAGGCACGGGGATTCTCGGGGCCTGCCCAAAGACACACACACCATGTATGTTCTGTAGGTGGGCTTGTGCTCTCAAAATGGTCGGCCTCTCTGGGGTCTCCCACCCACCACCCTGGGGTGGGCGGGTGGGGGAAGAACCAAAGCCTCCATCAAGTCAGGTGACTTCTGTCCCTCCCACAAGCAAGGGAGACCCTCTGCCCTCTGCGTGATGTGGACCTGGCACCAACGTCCCTCTGCCTCAAGCCTGTGCTCTCTAGAATATGACCCTGTCCCAAAGGTAGCAGCCACTCTCAGCCTGTCCTGTCCCCAAAGCCCTTGTCATAACCACAGCTGGTGTCCCTGCTGTCACATGCTAAGACTTACCTCCTTCTTATGTTCTGGGAACAGGCCCATTTCCCTCTGGCTAGGAGAAGGCCATAAAAGACGCAATCAACCATTTCCCAGCCCTAATCATGCCCCTCAAGCCCGTGATCATCAGCACACTGGACCCTCAGCCACCCCGTACTCGTGGACCACAACCCAGGGTTCTGGGGTCCTGCTGGTAGGGAAGCTGGTGCGGTGCCCCCGAGGGCAGGACAGAGCCCTTGGGGGGCGGTGGGACGAGGCAGCCTGGGCCCCCCAGGCGTGTGTTTGTGGTCTGTCGCTTTCTGAGCACTCACCCAGTAGCAGGGCAGATGGCTCAGTCCTCAGGAGAAGAAGGAGGCTTCTCCAGTTAGGGGAAGGCAGATGCAGGCGACCCAGGAGCCCAGGGCACTGGAAAGGGACAAAGGAAAGGGGGTGATTATTAACATGTGGCCGCTTTCTTAAATTCTAGAAAAGTGGCAAAACATTTTTGTTTTGAACTAGGAAAATGTGTCAATGAGGCATCACATTCATGGGGACTGTGCTTCGCTGGACTTTTGAACAAGGTGTCAAGGGGAGTTCACCGTGGGGTACGTTTCAAAGCCTGGTTTTAAAGGCTCAGGAGAAGCTGCTTGGGAAGCCCCAGCCAAAGCCCCCAGGTGTAAAAAGGCAGGGCACACAGACAGGAGCAGGCGGCTCTTCCGGGGCCCAGTGCGCCCAGTGGGGGCAAGGGGCAGGGGCGATGACGCTGGGAAGCTTCCAGCCAGACCCCAAAGGGTCTTAGGTACCCGGCTGAGGCTCTTGGACCACATCCCAGAAGCTCCAGGAAGTCAGAGGGAGGATTTAAGCAAGACAGTGACAAGGTCAAAATGGCATTTTAGAAAGATCAATGAAAATAAACTTTGCAAAACCATTTAACCCAGCTACCCCACCTCCAAGAAGCTGGGATAAAGAAATAACTAGGGACGTGTTTACAGATTTACCTATAAAAATGCTCATTGTGGGGCCATTAGCAATAACAAAACACAGGAACGGCTTAGATATTTTTTAGCGGGTATCAGTTGAGCAAAATCGCATTAATTAAAACCTCAGTTCCTGTCCTGCTCATTTATTTGTGCAAGGGCCACTTTTATTTCATGGATTCCTTTTCATTTATTTTCTTAAATGATGTAACAAGCACCCATGAACCTGTGACCCCCACCCAGACGACCAGGAGTTTGACCAGAGATTGTATCTGGACATATTCTCTGCCCCCCCCAGCACGCTCACAGCTGGGATTTTCAACAATAGAAGAGGGTCTAATGGACAATGGTGCATACATACCCCGGAATATTAAACAGCTCTTAAAAAGAATAAAACAGCCGAGACCTATTGTCTTTTAATGGACCTCAGTATTTTGCGCAGAACTGGATTAATCATGATCCTTTGTTCATAGACACTTTGTCATCATTGGTCCAGGCATGACCCTCTTTAATTTTGCTAATTGATGCATCCATATATTCATTTGTGATAATGTCATAAACACTTGCGAGCCCGCTCCTGAGAAATTACTTACACCTGCCCTGCGCTCCGTCCCCACAGGGTAAGGACCTGGGGCTCCTGCGACAGACAGCGGTGAAGGGGTTAAAGCAGCCCCAGGGCGTACAGATTACAGGGTACTAAGGTGTATTCCAAGGCACAGTGTCGATCTTTATTATCTCCAAGCGGATTCCTGAGGGAAGAAAAATAAGCAGAAGGAAATGTACACTGTGATACAGCTTACGTAAAAAATAAACAAAATCATATATTTTGGAGGTCTATTTATATACATACATAAAAGCACAGGAAAATATCTGGAACCGTGCGCCTGAAACTGGTAACAGCAGTGAAAATGCTGGGGGTGGGGGGAGCTGGGCGTGAGGGAGGGGTTGCACACGGCTTTAGCTTTTATCTGCAATGTTTGATTGTTAGTAACAAGTGTATTAATTATCAGTGCATTCCTTGCATAATTAAAATAAACACTTTGTGTGGGTTTTTTTTTTTTCATTTATTTGTTTGTTGGGGGTTGGGGATGGGGTGGGGTTGTTATCCTGTTTTTACAACAAAAGGAAGAGCATTTTAGCTGATGGCCCGGGACCAGGCACATATCCCCAAAACTAGTCGTGCAGACACGCAGGATTTATTTTATCCCAAAGATCATTCCTCTTTTAATTTTATATGTTCTAAAGCTGGAGCCCCGGGCCTCCCGGTGGCGTGTCAGTGACATGAGGCCAGCAGGTGTGTGCCTGCCGGCTGTGATTTCACCCCCCCCACCAGGCCCCAAATCCCTCCAGAGCCGCCTGGCGGGGGTGTCTGCAATGCACCCATCGGGGCAGACTTTCCTTTTCGGTCTTTAAGAGGCCCCAAAAGCGAATGCCCTGGCCCGTGTTCTCCAGGATTAGCTAAGTGGAATGAGAACGCAGGGAGAATGTCACATGAGCCAGGCCTGGCGGAGGGGACACGCGGGCCTCTGGGGAGCAGCGGCCCCTCAGCTCACATGCGTCAACAGCCGCGCAGCTTGCTGGCGAGGAGCCGAGGAGCCTCCCTGTGTCCCCTGACATCCCCTGACAGCTAGATTTCCGCAGAACCCCGTGGCTGCCATCATCCCCCCACTTCCCATCCAGAGGGAGTACAGCTCAAGGGCACAGGTTTGCCTGACCTGAGGGTCCCAGACAAAGGGGATGGGCCCTGCAGGTCCTTGCTTGCTCCTCCCTCGAGTCCAGGGTGGCACGCTGCACCCCAAGACCCCTCAACTCCCCCTTGCTTGCTGAGCTTCAGACTCCACTCCCCAGGCCCCCTCACAGTTGTCTAGCTGCCAGAATGAATCCCCTTGCAGGCGGGAGGCTAAGTGCGCAGCAGAGACCAGCTCAGTCTCATCTACAGGTGGAGAGCTGAGGCCCCGAGACCCCCCAGAACACAAACCTAAGCCAATTTGTGGCCCCAATCACTATGAGCCCTCATCCGCTATCACCCTGGCCTCCATCTGCACAGATCAACTAACCCATTGGTCGGTTACAGTCCCTCCCCTCACTCGCACAGACAGGGACCTTCTAGAACTTTCCTCCCCTCTGCCAGGCAGGGATTTATTTTCGACCATGACTTTGTGCGGAAGAAATGTGAGCACAGGTTAACCAGCGCTCTGCCAGCGTGACCAGCTCTTAATCGCCTTTCCCATACACGAGGCTCTGCTATTTATTACATAGCATTTTATTTTGGCCTGAGTTCGGTCCTGGAGAATACTTTGAGGTATTTGTCATAGTTTTTCAGATATGAAATATGGTAGGATAAAGAAAAATAAAATGCAGTACCGAGGCTGACATCACCTGCATCCACCTCGGGGCCAGGATAATTCAACATGAAGACGTTCACTCCTCCGGAAGGCCACATAAATCCAGACAATGCCAGTACAAGTTATACAGTTGACTCAAGAAAAGGATCTCTGGATCCCAGCATTGACCCGACTGTCCCCGCTCCCCTTGTCTTCCCTCTGTGTTCTATAAAAATGAGAAGGGCTTTCTAAGAGGGAGGGGACAGATCCACGTAAAATAAGAATGATTTGTATCTGCGCCGAATACCTACTGTGTGCCAGGCATTTTCTATTTTATTTCATTTAGGGAATCAAGGCAACACTTAAAGATGACGGTCCCCATCCTACAGAAGGGGAGGGGGACTCGCTATCACTTGACCAAGGTCACCCAGGGGAGTCTGTGCTCTCTGCTTCCCAACAGGGCCCTGGGGCCCCCTTAAGCCCCCATCAGAGAGGTCTCACTTGTTGCACCCCTTTGTATCATGGTCAGAAATTCTAACACCTCCCCTGATTACATATAACAGAGGGACAGCATTATTCTGGATTTTTAATTATATTACCGTATTAATGTGGTATGAGGCCTCTACCTCCCCAGAACCTGTGTGGTTAAAGACAGGGTGTGGGCAGCCCTGTCTTTACAGGTGCTGTAACCCGGGTGGCTCAGTGGTTTAGCGTCACCTTCAGCTCACGGCCTGATCCTGGGGATCAGGGATCGAGTCCCACGTCGGGCTCCCTGCGTGGAGCCTGCTTCTCCCTCTGCCTGTGTCTCTGCCTCTCTGTGTGTGTGTGTGTGTGTGTGTGATGAATAAATAAATAAAATTTTAAAAAAAGAGGGCGTACATACCTGGTCTACTGTGAGGTCAGCCTAGGAGGACCCCATCCATCCCCCTCCGGGCAGGGGTGCCATCTCGGTTTCGGGGGGCAGGGCCAGGGCTGGGCTACACCTTGGTCTCTGGAACCCACCAACTCACTGCCCATCCAGGGGGCAGTGAGCCTCAGCTGCAGAATAAAGAGCTCAGGTAAGTTCCATCCTGAGGGGGCTACACACTTACAAATTGTCCAAATTTACAACTCAGAAAAAATAAATTCATAGGGCAGACCTTCTGATTCGATCCTGGGCCAGGCATCTGCTCCCTTCCTGGGGGAAAGCGCAGTCTCACCTCCAGCCACCTGGGAGGGGAGAAAAGACAACCTGCTCACAAGAGTTCCACCCACCTCTCCAGCCTCACCTGCTGCCCTCAGCCCTACTGTGTGCTGACAGAGGGTGGGACGAAGGAGTAGCACATACATACTGATATCAGGAACGTGACAAAACACCACAGGGGTCCCCCGTCCTGGGTGGGGACACTGGGTGAGGGAAGGACCACCAGCCTGGGAAGATGCTACTTATAATCGCCTGTGAGGTTGAAGTTCAGGGAACTAAGAGATTTACTTGGGGTGACACAAGAGGCCCAGACCCCAGACTCTTGCTGAGGGCAAAATGAGGTCTGGCAAGAACGGGGAGGGGGGGTCTTGCCAAGAGCTTGGGGGTCCAGGGAGAGAGCTGAACAATGGTGCCATTGCAGACCTCAGTGGGTTGTGCGCTGTCCCTGGGGCCAGCAGGAGGCGCAGGCTGCGTCAGACCCAGTGGGAGAATGAGATCAGGCCTTCTAAGGATTTGAGGTCCGCCCCTGAGCCTCAGATTCCTCTTCTGAAGAATGGGAATAATAACAGGACCAGCTTCCCAGGTTGCCATAGGGATAGAAAGAATTAAAACTGTCTGGCACATAGTAAGTACTCGAGATAGATGGGTGATGGAGGCACCCCACGGGGGCAGCGCGACCCAGCCCGGGGAGAGAAGCAGGAAAGGAGGTGTGCGGTGTGCCGTGGGGAACGGGGGCATGTGCACGCACGGCCCAGAGCCTGGACTTTCATAATTACAGAAATAAACGTATCCAATCGCTTTGTAGAGAGAAGCGAGATTCCAGTTGACAACGGGACAGGAGCAGAGCCACTGATCGCTTGCGTCAAAGGTAAGACTTGGGGTGGAGGCTCATGCTGACCTCCCCTAGGGGAGGGAGCTCGCCGGGGGAGGGGGGCGTCCGGACGATCGATACATGGAGCAGGCGGGCTGGCTGGCACTCAGGAACAAAGGTTAAAGGGTTAGTTTGCAGGAAAAAACCATGACATGGGGGACTCAGTACCTCGTACAAATACTTGAGCGGCTATAATTAGCAGGGCCAGGGCCAGCTGTCCTGTCCCTCTGCCGACAACCAAATTAGCCAAAATGAGTTGGCAATGACCACATGAGCTTTTCAGGGAGATGGAGGCAGACGCTGAGGCCCCGTTCCTAGGTTCCGGCCTCCCATCGGGTCACGAGGCTGAGCATGTGGATGCCACAGAAGGAAAGCGGCCTCTCGGGCCGAGGGTCCCTCGGGGTCCCCAAATGGCCACTGTCTGCCCCCCGCCAGGACCGAGGGCATCCGTTCCTGCCCTCTCCAGCCCCTGGTGGAAGCAGGAAAACCTGGCTTTCCACACGGCCTCTTCCTTCCTGACCTACGTCCTCCTGGCGCCGCGAAATGGGGAACTCGGTCGGGAGCCAAGTCAGTGTCTGGGGTCAAGCTGCTAGGGTCGTGCCTGACACAGAGCAGACGCTGGGGAAACATCAGTTTCAATAAATAAATTCTAATTACCCCCGTCTGGACGGCACTGGCCTCCATGCGCGCAGGCCGCCCCTCGCCAGCCTCAGTCGCCAGCAGCCTGCGGCCTGGGGGAGGGGGCCCTCGGTGGTCTTGGTCCTCAAGCCGTGGCTCCTGCTAATAATTAGAGCTCCCGGGTAAGTCACTTCAGCCCCCCCCCCCCCGGGACCCCAGCTCCGCTGCACTCCCTTGCAAGGTGGAACGCCGTCACCTCACGGGGCGAGTGGGGAGATTAAAGTTGACCCAGGCGTGAAAATGCTGAGTGCTGACCGGCCCGTTACAGCAGGTGTTTCAAAACTAAAAATCCCAAGAGTCTTCGTGATGATCACAGGCCCTTCCTTGTTCAGACCGTTTTGCAGCCTACGAAGGTCCCATGACCCCTGGGAAGGAGGTCTACCTCTGACTCTGGCCCTACTTCCACCCACACCAAGGCCAAGGTCCCCCCCGCCAGCTCACCCCTAGGCCTACGGCTCCTGGCCCGTCCTCAGAGCCAGCAGAACACGGGGCATAGAGGGACCCCACCACAGACACACAGATTCCACTGAGACCCGTCCAGTCCCAAGGTCAAACAAGACCGACCCCAGAAGGAACAGGCCAGCCTGTGCTCCCAACCAGGACTTCTAGGTGGGGGCCTCTCTTTAAAGGAAATGGCATGAGGACCACCCCCCCCAAGTAGTAAGTAGTGTAAGGACCCCCCCCCCCCGAAGCTTCTGGAATTGAGGCAGGGTGGGGACCCTGAGCTCCACTTGCTCAGTCAACCCCCTCCTTTTACCGCTGCTGCCCAGGTCAGTCACTCCTCAGGCATCTACCAGAATCCCAGAGCTACAGGAACAAGGTGAAAAGACCCCCTGCCCAAGCCCGCCTTGCAGTTCTGGGGAAACTGAGGGCCCAGGAGGGGAAGGTCACGCTGAAAGTCAGTGTGGGTCCCGGGTTGGCAGCTGGTGCGCCTCCTTCCTCTGCCCGCTTGCCATGAAAGGCAAGAGCAGCCCGGGGAGCAGCTGATTGGCCTGGCCCATTTGGACAGCCCAAAGAAGAAGGACATTCTCATGTGTGACCCCTCTCCCAATCCCTCCCAGGGTTATTCTGGGCAGAGTGATCCAGCTGCCCCCTGGAGCTGCCAGTCAAGCAGTAGGGCGGGGGGATGGCCACAGGAATATTGCTAGGTCAGGGGCACTGCCCCTCACCCTGATGGCTTGAGGAGGCAAGGGGCCGAGCCATCTTTTCTAGAAGGCACCCCACCCAACCAGTTTGGCTTTGGTGGAAAAGCCCTGGGACCAGCCCCAACCCTGCTGTAACTTCATGTCTGTCCTGAATCACGGCCACCTCTCCTTCTATAGACTATCCCTACAGGGATGACGGAGGCCCAGTGGGGCCTGACACCCAAGGCCCCAAACCCCAGCCCCCAGGTGAAGAGTGGGAAGCCGCTGAGGCTGGCCACTCTGGGTCAAGATGTGAAGGGTCTCCCAGCTATAAGGCCCAAGTGGTCTTAACCCACAAGGCAGGGGGTGAGTAGGCAAAGCAGGAGTCCACAGGACCCAGGACCTACCCAAGGTACTCATGGGGTGCTCAGGGATCCATCTTGAAAATCCCTAGTGACAAGCTATGTGGGGAGTGACCGTACCCCTGGTCTACACCAGGAAACCAAGGAGCCACAGCCCTTAGCCTAATAAGGGTACATCTGGACCTTGACACTAGTTTAATAAAATAACTAAGACCAACCTACAGGCCCACCAGCATCCCCACGTGCCCACTTCCACAGGGATGCTCAGCGGGTCTGGGGCAATAAGGGAGTCAATGAGGGATGTTCATCTCAAGGTCACTTAGCCCTCAAGGCGTGGTGGCTGTGTCCCTCAAACCCAAGTGGCTCTGAGGCAGGCCAAGGCACACAGGGTCTCCCCCCGACCTCAGCCCTGATGCCTATCCTGGCAGCCGAGAAGGCCAGGGCTGCAGGTGTGGCCGCCGGGCGTCTGAGAGGCTGGGAAAGGCGAGGTCGTGACAGAGAACCCCGTGGTCCCTCGTTCCCCTCTGTCCTCCTGCCTCCTCTTTCTTGGCTCTCTACCTTCCTCGTCAGCAACTCAGGCTGCAGGCCCCCCTCCCCTGTCCTCACCTCTCCCCTGCTCCCCGCCCCTGGCTAACTCCGCTCCTAAATACCCCTCATCTCCTCTTCCAAGCTCTATTTTTAAAATCAGATTTCCTTTACTGTACAAGTGAGCCGACAAGGCGAGGTATTCGCTGAGGGATTGGCCCCCCCCCGCCCCCCCTCCCATCCAACCCTTCATAGACTCACGTTGGCAGCCCTGACCCAATGGGCCACTTGCTCAGCGGCAAGCAAGGAGCTGACCTGGCCGAGAAGGCTCTGGGCACTGAAGGTGGTGAGGCTGGGGTGTCTGTCTATGAGTGTCGGCGGGGGGCAGAGGGTCCGACTCAAAGACCTCGAGGGCACTTCTGACCTGAACCAGGTGCACTAAATCCTGATTTTGATTTTGATTTTTTTGGTAAGGTGAGAATTCCCCAATCAAGAGATATTTATTAAAGAAATTGCCTTGAGGCCTGAGACCTGAGCATTTATTAAGCTACATCTGTAGGACGGAACAGTATTACCTCTGGAGAGCCCAGAGAAGGGGCTGGGCAGCCTCCAGGCTGCACCAGCTGCAGCAGGTGGGCATGTGGAGGGTGGGCGTCAGAAGGAAGCCTGTAGCCACTGTATAAAGCCAGACATGGGAGGCCAGAGGCACCTTCACTTTATGAAACACGGCCCCAATAATGCCCAATGTCTTCCCAAAGGGTCAGGCGGCTGGACCCAGCAGAGCCTCAAAGGAGACGCTCACCATCTGTAAAGGGAGATCCCTCGGTCTTGGCCCCCAGGACCCTACACTCACCTCCAGCAGGACATTTAGCATGAGGGCGTGGTCCTCATCTCCTTGCTGGTGACGTTCTGCAAGGCATGGCTGCTTCCGTTTCTTCCCATCGGGGTCCTCAAACCAGCGCCTGGCCCAGAAAAAAGAATCAGGACACGTTGCTGTAATGAATTAATGAAATGGAGGCAGAGGAACCAGCTTAACAACATAAAAAGATCCAGAACTATAAAATTAAAATGAGTTCGGGGACAGGAAGTAAGAAACCCAGTCTTTGAGGAGCAAAGTGCGAGAGGAACAAGAAACTGCATCGAGAAATAAGGGAGGATGAAAAATGTTGGTTTTGTGCAAAGGAATATAGGCTTTATTCCCTAAGTAGTGAAAAGCAATGTAAAGATTTTTTAATATAACAAATACCTGGTCCAATTTTCATTTCATGCTCAGGCATTTGGATTTTACG